CAGATCTTCGATCGTTCCTGCTTAGGGCTCTGGGATTCACGAGACTCAGCTAGATGCAATCGATTAGCTGTAGTCGCCAAGGCCCGGCCTTCAGGTGTGCCGAACACACCGGAATATGCAGTTCTAGATGCTAAGACCGTTGGTACGGGTTTCGGTGCTTTCAGCGCTCGCCCATCCAGTGATACTGGTTGAGGCAATGGGTTTTGTAGCGGTGGAAAGACTGGAATAGAGAGCTGAACGTATTGAAGGTGAACGTATATCACATATCTAGTACATGTAGGCTTAGGGCGAACGCGTGGTGTGCTTCTGCGCTTCTGTTCTGCACCTTGCCCTTCGGCTGTAGTGCCATAGCACCTCACAAAACGGACATGTGCACAGGCGCCTTCTTGATGGCCAGCATCATGGCGATTCCAAGCAATAATCCATCAGACAGCTCTTCAGACCCTGGAGGCAATTGGAGAGCATCATCCACGGGTTTCGATGAGAAGTGGGGCATCTGATCTTGGCCTCAGTCGGCCGTAGCAAAATGCAGTGCTTCCACTAGCTCTACCTTTGTGTCACTGGGCACATCGTTAAAGAAATGCTTCGTTGGTGAGCTCGAGAAACTCATTCAACAGCATGCAATCCACAGGCCCTTGGCGGGTGTTTCTCTCTTCTTGATGGGCTTCTCGCACTGGCTTTATCTCTCCGCTTCTCGAAAACCAACTGCAGACGGAGCAAAAGCTGCATTGGTCTCGTGGGCTCTTGTGTGTTGTCCCAACGCCAGGAAGTAACCATAAGACTTCAATGGCAGGCCAAAACTGACAAGTGGGACGCTTCCAGGGTCTTTGAGGCAGCAACGTTAAGTTGAGGGCTCCAAGTTTGCGTTTAGTTGCACGTTAATTGCCAGAGCGGGACTGTGGGGGCATGAATTCCAGTTGAAAATGAGGGCCCAGGCACAGAACTCCGCGATCTCTTGCCCCTCACCAATGGTGGCAGTAATGGGGCACTGAATACCATCCTCAATCCTTGCAAGATAGTGCACGCAAGTCACTGAAGCACCCAACCCTAAAGCAAGCCAGCGCCGAGACTACATATCTATATATCTAGATATCTAGATATCTATATATCTATATATCTATATATCTATATATCTCTATATATTTATATATACATATATGTAGCTATATATATATATATATGTATATAGCTAAATATATGTGTATACATATGTATATATATACATATAGATAACTATACAGTTATATATTTATATATATATATACATATCTATATCTATCTATATATATATATATACATATATATATATATATATACATATTATATCGATGTAAACTTTGCATAGCTGCATTGCTGTCGCCCATCCCGCCACACGCTACACTGACTTCATAAAGCGACTATGCGACTCAGCGACATGGCGGTATCCTTGATCTCCACATTGTCTGCTGTTAGCAGCCTCGTGGCTGTCAAGCGAAAGAGGGCTTCTGGGGGTCAGCTGAGGCACCTGGCTGACTCGGAAGGGAGCCTAAACAGCCTAAACAGATCTATTTCATAGACGTCCTTGTCTGTCTTTTCCGGATTGGCCCGGACAGGCTCCCTAGAGACTGACTGAAACCCAACAGTGTGTGTCGCCAGATTGAGCTCTAAAGGAAATACTTTGTACTCCAGGCAAATGAGCAAGTCAACTCGGACGCAACATGCTTGAAACTTGTCGGAGCGGGACTGAGTAGCTTCTGGCTGAAAAGCTCATATGCAAACACACAAGATACATTCAAGATACCACAAGTGCAAAATTGAGTTACTTCTCCAAGAGAAGGATAAACTTTCTTATTCCTGCAAATTGTACTGGAAACCCCGAAAAGTGCAAATTTCATCTGTTGGCGAAGAGAGTTTAGGGAAACTTGCAGGTGCTTTGGCTCACTGGTCTCTGTGGAGCCTCAGGCGATGTGGCGTGATCCGCAGAGCGCAGCCGACGAGTTCCTTCAGCTCTGCGCCATTGCCCTGGAACTCTGCTAAATTCGCCTTGCCAGGTGCTGGCACATGGGGCTCGTATGGGACGAAAGAGCACAGCTGTAACTTAACAACAAAGTGGTTGCCCTATAGCCCCACACAGCTTCGAGCCCTGACTGCACCTCACCACAACCTCCTATCACAAGAGTCGTGACCTCGACCTCCCTTCCGCTGATCAAGTTGACCGTGAGGGCAGGCATTGCTGAAGCAAGAGAACGCCGTTTCAGCCGCCTCACCAAGCTTTCGGGATCCGGATTCTGAGTTTGGCTATTCCATGGTCGTGCTTCTAAAGAAGGCGCTGACTGCAACGATCCACTGACCCACTTGCCAAGCGTGCACCCTTTTGCGCCTGGTGGCCACCGACGGGCCCAACCGCAGGAGCTCCTAAACCCTAAATACGATGAAGTCAATTGACCCACTGAACTTTGTCTAACTCAACCCTAAAACACCCTACACTCACCCTCATGGGAGCCCTGTTTACCCCCCAAGCTGTCAACCCGAAACCATCGCATCGTTCGAGCCAGAGGTGCTACTGCTAAGGAATGTCTGGAATCAGCATGCCCGGGTGTTCCCGCAGGTTTAGGGTTTAGGGTTTCGGGTTTTTTCCCACCCGTGTCGCAAGGGTTTAGGTTTAGGGTTTAGGGTTTAGCCGCAAGTCATGGAAGACACTCACCAAGACGCAAATTTTTTGGGGGGTGGGGGGGGAGGGGCGGGGAAGAAGGAGCAAGTCCGATAAGCAGAAGCCACTCAAAGCTGGCGCAACCTTAGTAGGGAGTTTGGCTTCGGTCACTTCGGCCATTGCTCGTGGTGATTCTTGCGGCTTCTTGTTGCCGTCACAGCTGGGCTCTCATGCACTAGGCAATAGGGTTTGACAACTGCGGCGAAGACACAGCAAGTCCAAAGCACATACTTCCTTCCTCTGTGTGTGTGGTGGGTCTAGGGCTGGGCGTCGTGTCGCTGCTTGGGTATGCATCGCTTGGCATCGCTTGGGCAGATGTCAAAAAGACCCTTACAGACTTCAAAATGGCAGGGGCAACGAAACTCACGGCTGTGCCAACTGTTCAACAAGCTCCCGAGTGCGCCATTGTTCCAGTGAAGGCTAAGGCAAAGCCGAAGCCGCTAGCAACAGACACAGGATCGCGGGTGTCGAGCTGATGGGTGTTGGGCCGCACGGTTTGAAGCTCGGACGTGCTCAGACTGGGAATGAGCATGCGCTATCTGAATGCGCGCAAAGGGGATGCTTGTCGGACCCATCGGTCAGGATACTGCAGCCGACGTTTCGAGTGACTTAGCTGTCCTGTACATGAGATGGCCCCTCACACCCTGGGCGCCCTGAAGATAGAGCGCAGGGGGTCCCCTAGCCCAAAAGGCTTGTGCGATGGGCGGTTTACTCTGAGGACCTGTGTCTATAGAATTTCCGGATTGGGCAAAGCAGGCAAGGCTATCTTAGCTGTCTTACAATCTGAGTCAGGCAGACTCCGACGGCTGGGCCTCGTAGGTCCTTTTGCGCTGTTCACCCCTGACATTGGGCAGCTCCCTGCATGACAGAGAAGCCCTCATCTCGCCGATGAGCAGGAAGAACAGCAGGAACATCACGAGTCCAAGCACCTCCATGATGCCCAGAACAGCCACAGCGGCTGGGCCATCAACAGATTCCTTGATAGCGCCAAAGAGGGGCGGGCCGATGATTCCGCTGATGCTCTTGATTGAGTTCAGGATGGAGTAGGACTCTGCCGACTCCGAGCAGTAGGCGGAAGGCATGGTGTCCAGAGGAATATACACGGCCGCTGCGACGCCATACAGCACGCAGACTTGCGCAAGGGCTGCAGCAGCGGAGAGGTTTTCATACGCCAGCGGGAAGCAGAAGGCAAGAAGGGCTGCCAACAGCATGGCCACGGCTCCATGATACAACCGCTCGGAGAAGAACTTGATGCTGCGGCCGGCGGCGGTCATCAGCAGAGATGCGCACAAGTAGGGGAGACCATTCAACACGTCTACCAGACCCTGAGATGCAGATGCACCCAAGATCTCCTGGATCAGCTGTGGAGAGAAGAACATGAAGGCATAGACGGGAGTGGCAATCAACAGGCTCACAGTGCCCAAATACCATGCCTTCCAGTCGGCCACACCTCCCCGCAAGACTGTACATCTGCTGCTCGTCTGCCCCGCAGGCGCAGCAGAGTGGTGGGCGGAGTTGCCCCGGGCATTTGCCAGAGCGATCTGCTCCGTCGTGCTGAGCGGGGCGTCATCCATAAGGAACAAGTACACAACCACCGACACCAACACCGCCAAGAGTCCTTCCGCCACGAAAAGCCATTGCCAATTCTCGTCGACCAGGTTGTTGACAGGCAACTGAATCAGTGCTGCGGCGAGAGGGCCGGATATGATACTGGCAATCTGCGAAGAAGCGACGACAACGGACCAGCTTTGGGACACCTCCTCGGCGGGAAGGTAGCTGTCCAAGTGCATGTAGATGAGAGGGAAGGAGCCCGCCTCTGCAAAGCCAATCAGCAATCGGATGAAAACCAGCTCTGCAGCCGACTGCACCCAGGCAGTGAGCAAGGTCGCAAAGCCCCAAAGCGCGATCATTGCTGCCAGCCACGGGCGCACGCCGACCCGCTCGGCGATGAGAGCGTGGGGCCACTGGAAGCAGACGTATGTGTAGAACAGGGCGCTGCTGGCTGCCCCGTAGCCGACGTCATCCATGCCGAGCCTCTGCTTCAAGCCCTCAGCGGCGTAGCTGATGTTCCCCCGGTCCAAGTAATTGGCCACCGTCACAAGAACGAAGATGGGCAAAAGCCTCTTTTTGACCTTCCAAGCCGCCTGGGCAGCATCGGTGGCAAGCTGATCGCTCGCAATGCCCTTCACCATCTTCTGAGACGTTGGAAATTTCGCGTGGACCCTGAGATCTTGAGCCACAATCTCCTTGCTTTAGACTTTGGGTTTGTGCATGCGGCTGAGGTTTCGCCATCTGTTCCTGTGTTCCAGGCCGATCCAGGGTCAGCACGCTGCTTGCCTGGCATTCTCTGGGCCACAGCCCGAAACTCTACAACCACAGCTACAACCCGCAAGCCACGCGTCGGGCGTCTTAATGGCAAGTTCTTCATTGCCGCGGCACCCTCATCTTCCAGTTCGCCAAGCCAAAGCAAAGTAACCAAAACAAACACAACCACAAAAACAAAAGCTGCAACTGCAAACTGCAGAAAAAGACGCCAAGTTTCTCTGATTAGGGCGTCGCTTTTTATTGGGGGGGGGGTGTTAACTGCACGTGTTTGTGTGTACCTTTGTGTCGTCATGCTGTATGCTGACTATGCTGACTGAGGCCAAGTGTTATACTAAAACGCAAGTTATACTAAAACGCAAGAGACTGTATTCGGGAAGGCAGGCAACATCATTTCAATCAGGGAAATCGTTTTGCTTAGTAAAAACATGAATCCTACCACGTACTGTAGGATCCTAGTTGCTAGCGATGAAAATGCTCAGCTTCTAGATGCAACCAATTTCAGCTCGAGCCCCCATAAGAGCTGAATGAAATTCTAAGCAGAATGTGTAGTGTATTCTTTCTCCTCACCAGTACAGTGCCCATTGCGATCATACTTATATAGGTTCAACTGTGAAGAGGCCTCATGCATGTGTTTGGACGTCCGGCGCTGCATAGGATTGTAGGATTGTGGTAGACTCCTGCCTGAATTTCCCTTGCTAAGGAAAATTGCCTTCATTCACTCAGATGTGTTGAGCAAGGTCTTTTTCGGAGTTTATAAACAAAGACCCCTCATTGTGCAGAGTCATTTGTTGGAACCCCCTGATATGTGCCGCATTGTGTTTGCTAATCTCGGAATAGATTCCTAGCCATTTGGGCACGACACGAAAAAGCATTGACACCAACAATACTCACAAAGAACACGTGACCAAAACTTTCATCAGAGAGATGAAAGAGGCAATGCAGCAGCAAAGGAAATACATGACCCCCCCCCCCCCCACCCCAACCCCCGATAAGCAAAACCCGGAGCTTTCTAGTTCTGCACAAACACATACGCAAAGGGGTAAAGAATTGAAATGGGAGAGGCAAAGAAAATGCAGAACCTGAAGACAAACTAAAGCAGGCAAGTGCATTCTCAGAGCCCCCCGGACTCCTACAGTCAACGCCACGCAGGCTCTCAGGCTCTCAATCATGTGGGGGTTTCCGAAATTAGGGGTACCTTCTTGGGGTCCTATTTCTATGGGAATCCTACTGGGGATCTATCTTGGGGGTCCCCTATTTTCGTAAACCCCTATGTAGAGCTTCTAGAAGCACCTTGGCACCGACCACGGCTTGTGCCGAGAGAACTTCGTGCATTTCTTTACCCTGACAACTTACGGCAATCTTGACCTTGAAGACCTTTGAGGGGGTCAATCGGGTCAAGAAGGTCCGATGTGGTCCTTCGACAGTTCGCATCCCCTAGCCGATAGGTCCGATAGGTCCGACAGCGCAGCCAGATGCAATGGCATTGGTTTAAGGCTTGGAATGGGAGGGGAATTCACTCCCAGATGGGGCACACAATTCTCTGTCGTGGAAGGTCATCTCTGAATCTGGTCACGTCCTGTTATCTACTTTGCCTGCGCTTGCCAGCTGCTCGTCGCTTTTCGCATTGTGTCGGTCTGCAAGCTACGCCGCGCGAGTAAAATGAGGTAACATCCCCAACCCGAAGTGAGACGCCCAAATCATGAGCAAACCAGAAATAAGGGCGCCAGCTTCTGAACATGCCTGACATGACCAGCTCTCATCGCGACCCTGAACCCAGAACATCATTTACAGGATTTGCACCCTGCTCGAACTGGAACTTCTCCGATGAACATACACATTCAACCTGTGCTTCGCCTTCGCTGGCTTCCCGGCGCTTCCTTAGCGCGCAGCTGGGGAGCTCCAATGGCACCTGAACTCCTCCAAACCCCCTACATTCTCGCGCTGCACGAAGTTGTCCGGTTGAATCCTCACCAAGGTGAGGGCAAGCCCTCACGCACTCCCAGGATGTAGGCGATGGCCTGGCCTGATCCAGAGCCGGAGTGTTGTTGGAGTGGGGCGCTTCTGTCAGGGTTGACACACGCTCACAAGACGCAGGCATGGCTTCCATGCCCTTCATTTGGCCTTTAGGCCTTTACGGTTGGGTTCAGGGTTTAGGGTTTAGGGTTTAGGGTCTAGGGTTTAGGGTTTAGGGTTTAGGGTTTAGGGTTGGTTGGGTTTCTCGAATTCGGGCTGCTCAAGGGTTTCGGGCAGAGCGCGCTCTGAGCAACAGGCGGGTTTTTCCAAGGCCCATGGCATCCGCGAGGACTGCCCCTTGGCCACCGCGAGAAAGTGATGCAAGATCGTCTTTGTGCCGCCTGCAACTCTGTGAGGGAATCAACGAAAACTCAGCCGCAAGCCCATTCCTGCACTGGCGCGGGCCATAAGCCACCGGTACCCCTCCTCTTGGTGCGGCTGCAGCGCCTGGGTAGAGTTTAGGACCAAAGTTCATAAAACGGACAACCCAGGAGGTTGATGGCATGTTGCTGCAGCAGCTTTTCTGCTTGCCAAGGGCTCTACCCATCGAGGGCGAATCTGCAAACGCAACCTTCACAAGGGCTCATGCGACTGCAGCCATGTCTGGCTTGAGCAGGTTCTCATAGAAGCTCGATTCTTCACCCTATATTTCTTACATGGATAACCTGCTCTTGAAGCCCCCCGGCTCCCCCCCAAACGAGAAGGAAGCGAATCCCAGTTGAGGGCCCCTTCATCTTGCCAGCTGAGTCCCCGGGCGGGCGCAGAAGCTCTTTCAGCGCCGCTGCTGTGGCTGCATCTAGGGACAACCTTCCATTGCAACCGCCAGGGCTTTCTTGGGGGGTTACCCACCCCCGGCCCGGCCTGGGATGGGCTCCAGCAAACGCCAGCAGCACTTCCCCCACGGAAGGACCCGCCTCCAGAGTCAGAGATCGAAAGACTTAAACCCATTTTTTTGTATCTGGCCATGTTGCCAGACTGAAGCATTCGCAGACCCACGGGCAAGTACTCATGGTTTGAGGGTGACGATACCTTCATGCCAGTCATCGGGCACAGCTTCAACAGTGAGAACAAGGCGAAAGGCATGTATACAACAGCCTCAGAAATGCGGCGATTCAGCATGTGCCATATGTGCTGCCACCTCGCCCAGGCGACCTCTCTCCGCATGGCTTGGCGTTCTTCTTGACATGAGGCAAGTGTTGTGTGCCCCTCTACACCCGACCCTTTTGACCCCTGAATTTGTTTCCTCAAGGCCCAAAGCCCCCAAAGGCCCCTCAAAGGCCTCTCCTCCTTTCTTCAGTCCCCGGAGCAGGAGCGGCATGGTCCTTACCGCACAAAGGGGGGAGGGCTATCGCATTTGGGGGGGAGGGGGTGGGGGGGACGCCCTATGTTGAGCCCACACGAGTTGTGTTTTCTTGGCGTTTGATTGTGGCACATTGGGGTTACTTCTGAAGGGCTGTCAGCTCTTGTTTTGAATGTTCTGGGGGTCTTCAGGCTTTGGGTGAGGTAGAGCTTCACCAGGGTTTTGGGGCTCTTGACGTTTTGGGGGTGTTCTTTCGTGCTGATGGAGCGCAGGGCTTTCGATGCTGGAGAAGCCAGTAGAGTCAGTAGAGTCAGTAGGGGCCGACAAGCGGTGGGGTTCAGTCTTTCTAAACCCCACACCCCCAGCCTCGGTTTCAGAGTGGGATCGGGGTGTTAGAGACTCATTGCTGGCCGCAGGTCCATGTTGAGGCTACAAGAGAGCGCAGCCCCTCTTGGACGCGACATCGTAAACCCTGCACCCGAATCCTTTGAAGGATTCGAATTGTCCTGCAGTACCCTAAGACGTTGGCGATGACCTGTATCCGGTCCCGTATGTCTGAGGGCTGTGTCGCCCACGCATGAAGCAAAGAAAAACATATAGCTTTGATTTATATGCGTCTGAGCCCCGATACCCATGCCAACAAGCAGTTGAAAAAATAGAAATTAAAAAAAGTTTCAATTGAGACAGCGAGGTCAATGCCAAGAGCGGGTACCAAAAGTACGCACGAGAGGGCCCATCCGTTAAGTCAACCCTCCTGCCCCCCCCCCCCCCATGTCGATGGGATGCCCCACTTTCGCGCATCTTCCTCGGGCTTGGCGGCCTTCGCTTTCATCGCGGGCCTCTGAGGTTGGGCTTCTCGGGGCTTTGGATTCAAGATTTGGGTTTAGGTTTAGGGTTTAGGGTTTAGGGTTTAGGGTTTAGGGTTTAGGGTTTAGGGTTTAGGGTTTAGGGTTTGGGGCATTCCAGGCTTCGGGGTTGGGAACCGTGCCAGCCGCGACCTCCGCGAAGTCGCGCTGACAGCCCGCCTGTTTTTGCCGCTGTGAGCCGACATGCGTCAGCGCGAATGGGCCATGGCAGCTTGCAGAAGAGTACCGGAATGCCGGGCAATGCACTATTTACAAACACCCGCCGGTTTCTGCGACCTGTGCCGTGGTCACTGAACGCACAACAGTATTCCCATCAACGAGGTCGAGGCCAGCCAAGCGTTCAAATCGGCCACGCAGCAGTTGAAATTGACGCAGCTGTTGCTTTTCATGAACCTTCTGTGCTGCTAAGTCTAAATTCACATTGTCGCTCCCTTCCTTCCACCCACTCCCAACGCAAACGCTCGACCGGCTGCGCAAGAATTGCCCACGACCCCGAAACCCCCAAAAGGAGAAATCCCGCATCTCCCGGCACGGGAATGGTGGCTCAAGGCTCAGGTGGGGATGATTTCACCAAAGGCTTAGGTACAACAGCCCGGAAACCTGGAAGCAGGGAGCCTTGAAACTACGGGGCAGGAGCTGAAAGCATCTGAGGACTCGCTTCAGTTGCTTCACGGCAGCTTATCTTCGAACTCACAGCTTTCACTTGGAGCCGGCCATATCGGAACCCAAAGGAGAGGTGGAAACGCCGCTGCTGCTTGTCGCGTCCGCAAAACAGCGACTTCCCTGGGCGACTTGCAGAGGGGGGGGGTGGGGTCCTCTCAAGGCTTGATCCCCTTTGTTTCTGGTGTCAAAGACTGGTGCGCTTCTGTCGCGTGAGACCTTGGGGGGACGCCGATGCCTTCGGCATGCACACGATCCCTCCCGTGGAGAGGATGGCCAGGAATTCCAACCCGCTGAGACCTGGTACTAGGGACAGCTGGGATTTAATTCCAGGCATCCTTTGTGCTGAGGAAGCTGATCGCCCCGAAAAGAACCAGGATGGCATTATCAAAATGGGCCATCGAGCTGTTGCTTCTTTGAAGCTGGCTCAGGCTCAGACATTAGCTCCTCTGAGCCGGCATCGAGAAGAGCGCTCAGCACATCGACATTGGCACGCTGGAGCTGCAGGATTGCATTGGCCAAGCCCGATGCCTACCAAGGCTGGGCAATAGATCGTGTGCATGCGGTAGAAATGCGAGATAACCCAGCTGCTGTCCGATGTGGAGATAAACAACTTGCAGCAATTGACAGCAATTGCACGCCGCAAGTACAACCCCTTAGGTACAACTCCCTGAGCCCTGAACCTCATAAATCCGGAGACAGCTTGTACTGGCCTTTGTCCGGGCTGGCTTGTCCGCAGGCTGCTGCCTAAATGCCTGGCGAACATGCAACAATAACAATGCAAGAACAAGGCGTCCGACGATGTCTCACACAGGCCTGCACAGCTTCGAGCACCTCCGTCAGTAGCTGGCTGTGGCCGGCCAGCATGGCATGCAGCCCATGGCCTGTTGGGGCAGCGATGCTGTCAGCTCTTGCTTACTCACCGGTGGACCCACCTCACCCGCCCAGCAGGACAGTTCAGGGTTAGGAATTACAAAATCTCTTGGCAACTCGCTGATGTTCCAAGTTCAGGAGTTCTGCGGCGCTGAAAGCAGTTCCAGCTGGTCCGGAGACGAGTCTCAATTCTCTGCCCTGGCTGCGGTCGGTGCCGAGTGCGACTGAATTGACCTCTTGCTTGTCTTAAGTAAGGTTTTCCCCACGTCACCATGTAGGTTTCATATCTGTCCACAGCCGCCGCCCGCGCCCGTCGCGGCGCGCACACACACACAACACACGCCACACCACGTCGGTCACGAGGCTAGACCACCGGCACCACTTCGAGCACACGCGGCACTCCACCAACAACACGACTTCGAGCACACGCAACGACACTGCATGACCATGCCGGGCACTGGACCACTTGCACCACTTCGAGACGCACGCAACACCAACGACAATACATGTCACACTACGCAGGCCTCAACCTCGCTGTGGCCGCAGTTTCGGGCCTTTGGAAACCTCTGGTGGTTGGGCGCGCGCTTGGTGAACCAACGCCTGAAACCTCGTTGTGGCCGTGGCTCTGGCGAGATGTCGACCGGCACATGTGGACTCCGAACAAGGACAGGGCCGACGTCAACGACTTCAGGAGTGCTCCGTGGGGAAGGGAGGCTCTTGGAAAAAAACCCGTTATGCTCTTCGCATAAACTATAGAAACTGAGCCTTTGACGGGCGCATCTCCTGAACCCAAGTCCGAATCTCCTCCCTGCGCACCGCTGCCCAACTCCGTTCAGCCCTGATCGATCCTACCCCGGGGCACGAACTACCCAAGCAGAACTGAGAGGCAGGCATCGCAGAGAAGCAACGCAGGCATCAACAGCAGAGCAACAAAGACACAATGATGAGTTTTTACATGGCAATGCAAACTCTGAGCACACGTCTTTCTTCCCAAGCATGTGACTGCTGTAGTCATCGAGCTTCCACCCCCGCCGACCGTAACGACGCCTTGCAGAACCATCACGCACAATTGCACCGATCCGCCACATGGACGTGCATGCAGTCCGAAACACATCGGCCGCTCGCACCGCCGCTCTTCGCGTAAGGGCAGCCCAACAAAAGACATGTGGGTTTGTCCGGTCATTTCTTTTGTGTTATGTTGGATGACCCTATGCGCACCGGAGATTCTGCTTCCCTTCCATGTTGTACAGATTCTGCGCAGGGTTTGCCGCAGTGTGAAACCCGCCCAGCAGGTGGAGTGGACAGGAACGCTACCACTCAACAGAAAGTACAGTACAGAGAGAGGATGCCAGTTGGACTCTGCATGCACAGCTCATTGTCATTATCTCCCACAAGCACTCCCAGCTGCAACACCTTTTAGGTGGCCGTTTTGCAGTCTAAACCCGACCCGAAAACTGCAAAAACTGCAACGGAAGCCTTTCGATGAACGCGTGGCCGTGCCTGCTTCTTTGCCCGCTTCAACCAAGTTCGCCGCCACGTTGTCTTCAGCAACGTTGCACCCAGCACAGTCGCTGCCCGGACTCCTTAAAAGTGTTTCGGTGCAGGTGCCTATGTCCCTCTTCTTCGGGACTTTCGCTCCACCCTGTTTGCCAATTGCATGTTCACGCAAGTACCGTGGTGGCCTGATGAGCTGTTAACCGTGTCTGCATGGTCCATGTTCCATATTGTGCTGCACAGTGCTGGTGCGAGAGCTTCCAAGTAGCAGTTGCCACAAGGGAGCTAACACGGGTACTGCCAGCTACATTACACGAAAAGCAAAAGCACACCTGGTTTAGATCTGATGACTGAAAATGTGTCATGGATTGCTGGATAGCAACTGCGCTTTGGCTTCCATGGACCGATCCGATGGCTCCCCGTTCTCTTGGGTGCTCCTGCAAGAGGCCAAGGCATGCCAAGGCATCCCAGCACGTCTGTGTGCAAAATCGGCATCGCAGCCACAACGGGGCCCTGCATGTCAGCCCAGGCATTCGCATCACGATACTACGTCTGCTTCCCGTCCAGATGTCGTCGGCGTCGCCCTCGCCGTCCCATTCTGGTATCGCGTCCTGCCGCCAACATCACGTCATGTCATGTCCGACCTGTCTTACTGCATGTTCTGTGAGAGCTGTAAAGAATGACCTTGCGTTGCAAGGACCATCTCCGGCTTCCGAGAAATTTGGCAGTGCTTTTTGTAGTACCACTTGTGGCCCACCCTACCTTACAACTGGCAGCAGTAATTGCACAAGTAGGTTGGCCAGTGCTAGTTCTTGGGCCGCCAATGGGGGACGGCGCACAACTCAGCAAAAGAGTTGCCTCAAGCATCAGAATAAGACTTTTGTACTGTGGTACCAGTACTTACCCAAATCATCAACGACATAGTAGTACTCCATGCTGGAGTGTATGACACACAACCTCAGGTCCAACACTACAGCAACTGACATGCAAACGACCTTGCAAAGACGCGCTAAGCCTCCCTCCCTCCTCCTCTGCTCGCGCATTGCACCGCATGGGTCCCACTTAGTCATAGGGTGACCATGACTAACCAGGGTCCCCCACCTGGTGGAAGGTCACAGACTGGATGGTGTCCAAGTCATGCGACGTTCGCCTGTCCGGGTGCCATCCGCAGAATCCGGGCAGTGAATCTTCTTCCATGTGGGCTTTAGGCATAGGTGTGCTTGACGCAGCTTCGTGGGTCCACGTAGACTTCTGGGACCTAGCGCTGGGAGCGGTGGGAATGGCACTGGGCCCTGAAACTCCTTGGAGACTCCTTCCTGTTCAATCGCTGACGCGAACAAGGAACCGAGCAAAGGCGGTCCCCAAGGCATGCTTCGTCCAGCAGAATGGCCTGGAGTTGGCCCTTTGGCCCTCCGAAGGCTTCGGCATGTGGTCCGTGAGCCTCCTCAGAGAGGACTCCACGCTGTCCTGGCAGATGTTGACAGGGTGCTGCGGCTTACGGTCTCAAGGTTAAAATGCTTCATGTTCATGCTCAGGTGCCTCAAGCAAGAGCAAGCCGCCCCCCTCTCCCCCTCCCCGCCCCCGTCTATACACAAAAAGTAGGGCCGAGAGGCAATCTTGGCTTCATAGCCTTCGACCGTCTTCGCCAAGCCATCCACCTTCAACTCCGTAAGGTCCACTTTGCCGCAGGTCTTGGAGACCTGGACGGGGCGAGCTCTGTCTTTTGGGACCTTTTTGATACCTTTTGGGTTCAGGGTTCGGACGTTGGGGTCGACAGTGAGGGCTCATTTTGTTGTTGAAGGTCATTTTCAGGCTTTTGGGGACCCCTCTGACTATCCTCAAGGCTTCTCGCCTGGTAGTGGAGCTCCATAATGGACATGGGGCGGATCTGGTCGCACAGGCCAACCACACCCTGAATGAACTCGGACCGCTCGATGATGCCTGCTCTTCACGAAGGGGGCGGGGGGGAAGGGGGGTGGGGGGGGGGGGGGGGGGGGGGGGGGGGGGGGGGGGGGGGGGGGGGGGGGGGTCGACAGCTGGATCCCAAGGCAGATCTTTGCACAAAAATCCTGGCAATCCGCACCTAGCTTTTTTTTCTGGGAGGCCTGTGTCACTGTAGTCCATGACATAAAACATTTGGTCCAGATCTGGCCGCTGAAAGTTCACGCCATAGCTTTCCAGCAGTTCTGCAATCTGGTCCGTGCACTGCTTGATCTCATCTCGAGGCAGGACCCGGTTGTTGTTCCTCATTGCGAAAGGTGACTGACTTCATGCTGGCTTTGGAGGATCCAGGCCGGGAACCCTCAACTTCGAACCATCTATGGGGGACCCCACTGAGCATCTAAGCCAACCCTCAGCCCTAAGCCCTAAGCCCTAAACCCTAAACCCTAAACCCTAAACCCCACAACTCCCAAAAACAGTGCCCAAAGCACACGTCCAGCTCGTCGAAGAGCTCCCCGCAGCGCTGCTGCATCGTCTTGCGCTTCGTCTCGCGGTCCATTCGGTCAGCTTCGATGCGCGCCTGGTTCTTCTCCTGGGCATGAGGCCCTAGAGCTCAAGGTCCTTCTGGTCAAGATTTAGGGTTTAGGGTTTAGGGTTTAGGGTTTAGGGTATAGGGTATTAGTCCATATTTGGAAACCCATTACACAGAGCCGATTCAAGGTCCCCAAGAAGGGGCCATCATTTTAGAGAACTGGCCCTATACATTATACATTCCTCTAGAGAAAAGCCCTTTTCTTGCACGTGTGCCAAGGAAGGCACGATGGGAAAGGGTGTGCAGCTTTGATCTTTGACCCGTCAACAAGAGCGTGTGCAGTTCTTGTGTGCATGTGCCTGTGAAAAACTGCATCAACCTAGACACAACTCTCCGAGGGCTGGGAGACTTCTGCAATCTATCTGGTGCATGCAAGGAGTCCAGGATGCTCTCATTGATGAGGGCCACCAGGAGGCCATTGATGCCAAAGCTGCCCAAGATGATGAAAACCACAAGGAAAACCACCAGGGGAGGATTTGCAAACATCGCTTCCTGGCAGTTGCACTGCGTGTGCGCAGTGCGCCCTTGAAAAGCGCCAAAGCGGCCACAAAGCGGCCACATCATCTCCTACATTATGTCCAAGGCCCACCATCCATTTCCGTCCGTTCTCCCTTCCCCCATTTTTTCTCCCACGACCTTCCCCATCTACCCCGCGCGCCACATCGCCCCCTGACTCCTTTCTCAAAGCGTGGGACTCAGATTTCGAAGTGGGGGTAGCACAGCTTAGTAACTTAGTGCTGTCCTTCCTTACGTGTTGTGGCAAAATCGGAGCGCAAGCACGCTAGCAGACTGAAGAACTCCAGCAGCCTACCACGAGCCTGTAGAAACGACTCAAAAAATGAAGGCAAGGAACGCGGTAAGGCGCCAGGTCGGGAGCTGTAATGAGCTCGAACAACGCGAACATGGTCATTGGTATACTGCCTTGTTGGGACAGCACTTGCATACATTTTGCTATGGGTGCAGCCTCCAAGCTTCAACGCCTATTTTCGGGTTGCAGCTGAGTGTCCGAAGTGCGCGGCGAAGAAGTCATGGTAAGGGTCATCTTCCGGGGTGTTCCGGCCATATGCTCGGACGAGGATGACTGCACAAATGTACAGCATGAAGGAAGCCAGGATGGTCACCTCAGTCCATCAACCTTCCCACCCTTACAATAATGCCACCGAATCGAGACCGAGGCCACACGTCCGCAGTGACTCCGTAGTCACGAGTCCCAAACACGAAAGGGTAAGAACCGAGCTGAAACGGCGAATAAGAACCGATTCCGGGCGAGCCGACAAATCGGTTACAATAATTCGATTGGCACGGACTTCAAGCCGTTGAACTCAAACCGGACTGCCCCTACGCCCCGGGCGGAGCGCCACCTAGCGCTTGCTGATGGTGAGAGATGTGTTCGACCTTCCTTTCTTGTCAACCGCGGTCGCCTTCCGAGGTTGTCCATGTGTTACACAGAAGACCCCTTCAAGGACCTTCAAGAACCGTTAGCAACCACGAACCGAACCGCACGAACCAAAAGAGCGGAACAGCGTGTACCTAATTGCTGGCTTAACATTGCTTCACGACATGCAAAGCTGAAGCAAGTCGACGTGCACAAACATCAACAAAGCATTGAGGCAAGCCGCCCAGAGGACCGCCATGGTACCCTCAATGAAGCCATAGGCGAGCAGATAGAGCTGCTTCAGGAAACGCACAATGCCTGAGGTCAGCGTAGTGGAATGTGGTAATCAAGCTAGAGTAGGGGACCACATGGGCAGCGAAAGGCGTGGGTAAGTCTGCACAACAACCAGGGCTTAAGCGGAAACATGGCATGCTTGCGCTGAAAGTCTTACGCTGCAGAAAAGGTGCGGATGATTCGCAACACCCGGAGTATTCTCAACAAGCGGATGATGCGGAACAGGGTTGCGTTCCTGGCAACAAGCGCTGCAAACAGAATGCCACAGGAATCCTGCGCACAACCAGCTCCTGGCCAGAATATCTGTGGATCCCGCGACAAAGTGCAAGCCCAAGCTCAGAACCTCAAGCACTCAAAACAGGCGCAACACGCGGAATGCACCATGAGTGGCAGCCTTGTGCAGGATCTTGGGGCGTTCATGGCCCCGAACGCGGCCAAGAGCTACACCACCCTTACAGAACTGCACAGCTAGGCCAAGATGCCCCCATGGATACCAGCATGAAGTCGAACAGGTTCCAAGCAATGTCTGGATTGTTGCGGAAGTTGAAGAACTTGAACACCCCCAGGCAATAGATTCGAATTGCCTGCCGAGCAGCGAACTCTCGCAGTCCGATGTCTGCCCGCCGATGCATGCAAAGAAAAAAATGCACTTACTCATTCACACACATATCTAGACTCTTATTGCTTTTTATTTATCTATATTTATACTTATTTTTATACTCATTATCGTGTCTACGTATATGCGCACAGAATACACTTCCCATACGTAGACGACAAGCGCTTGGCGTGCTTAAGGTTGAGATTGTTTGAGAGCTCCGTGCCCAGTTGACTGAAATAGCACTCGGCCAGCGCGCGCGCCAACTCAAGCCAGCGAGGCTCTTTTTAGGGTTTTAGGGTTGTAGGGTTTAGGGTTTAGGGTTTAGGGTTTAGGGTTTAGGGTTAGGGTTAAGAGCTTCATGGCTAGTGGTCACTGCTGTCTTAGTCCGAGTCACCAGTTCGATGGTGAAGAAAACAAGGAAGATGTTTTCTACGATGTCCCATGCGAACTTCTCGGGGAAGTCTGTCTCTAGGCCAATGATGATCGCATTCATCATGATGAGGCCTCACAACAAAGGCATGTGGCGCTGGCATCATGGCTCCATCCTATGGCAATCCCATGCAACCTCACTGTGACTGTGAGGGTTTTGTCAAGCTGCCTGGGTCCCCTTATGGGAAAGGATTGGAACGGAATCTGTACCCTATCAGGGGCCCCAGTTCACAAGCACGCCAGCTGGACACAGAATGGGGTGCTTCCGAGAGTCAGATGGTCGCTCCCTGCATTGCTGGGCTGTCCAGGAAGTCCTACAGCTTTGGACAGAGAGGCTGGTTCTTGCCATGCACAATTCTTGGCGATTTATAGGGACTAGCTCTCAGTAGGGTATAAGAACCGGTCAGGGTATATGTGTCAGCACGCAGATTGGAAGTGCAGCTTTAAGGGTGATGGCCCATGTCCTGGTCGAGCATCTCCAAGCCCCACGGCTTCTCCACATCCACCGGACCGCTGGCCACGGACGTCATCCGAAAAGCATCCTTTAAATGGAAAGTTCCGGAAAGACGATCTGTGGTGGGCTCATGAAATACAGTCGGACAGAAGAGGACAGAGGCAAGAGATTGCAAGTCGCAAAGAGGAAGAGCTGTCACGAAGCCGGGTTGAGAAAGTTTGACCGGGGTGGAGAAACCGAAGAAAAATTGGCCTAGGCAAGGATGTGCCATCATGTTGTGGGACGGCTTCCAACTTTGGGAAGCAATGGCAGCCACCCTCTGACGGCAAAGGATTCACACATGGCACATGGTATCATCATACACGGATGTGAAGATACCGGTCCGCAAGGCGCTGCGCCGGGAAAAGGGGCTTATGCTTCCACTATGATACTTAGACAACGGGACAAAACATGCATGAATTGCGTGAACTGCAGACTACTGATTCGAAAAAACACATATCCGCCGACCCCTCAAGCGGGGGAGGCGTCAGTGAAGACTCATTTTCCCTGCACCGCCCTCCCCGCCCTCCCCGCCCTTCCCTGCCCCCCGCTCTCTCCGTCACTTAAAACTTCGTCGCTCTCTCCGTTCTCTCACCACCCCTACCCCTGCCTGCTGAGTGGTAAGGACAAAAAAACCCGTTTTTTTTTGTGGGAAGTGGGTGGGTTCAGTAAGTGCTCTTGAAACAACGTGTTTTAAGGGCTCCAGGCCACCACCCCCCCCCCCCCCCCACCCCCACCCCCCACCCCCACCCACCCCACCCCCCACCCCCCCCCCCCCCCCCCACCCCCCAACGCCCCGCCCACCCGCCCCACCCCCCCTGATGCTCATGATGCTCCCTTTCCTGGGTCCCAAATGGCTTCCCAAGCAAAAGAACGCGTGTTTACAGCGTTTGAAGACAAAACGCGTGTTTAGGATGGATGTTTTTGGGGCTCCCAAACCAACCGCACTGATGCTCCTGATGCGGGTGCGCACGCGCGCGGGCAAAGGTAAGAGAAAGAGAGACAGATAGAAGACGACGAAGAGAGAAAGAGAGAAAGAGACAAAGGTGAACGAAGAAGAGAAAGGTGAACGAGCAAGAGAAAGTGAGAAGACAGAGATATAAATAACAAAGAAAAGAGAGAGGAGAGAGAGATGGAGAGAGAGAGAGACAGAGGAAGACCAACAGCAACAGAAAGAAAAGAAAAAAGAGAAAGGTGAAGGAGAAGGAAAAAGGTGAAGAAAGAGAAAAGAGAGGGAGAGAGAGAGGGAGAGGGTGAGGGAGAGAGAGAGAGGAAAAGAAACAGAGAAAGACCAACAGCAAGAGCAAGAAAAAAACAATCAAAGGTAAGGGAGAAAGAGAAAGAGAAAGAGAAAGAGGAAGAGGAAGAGGAAGACGAAGAGAAAGAGGAACAGGAAGAGGAAAGAGAAAGAGACAGAGAAAGGGAAAGAGAAAGAGGCAGAGAAAAGAAAGAGAAAATGAGGAGAAGTAAGAGGAGAAAGAGAAAGACGAGAAAAAGAAAAACAGGCAAGTAGAGAGAGGAAGAAACAAAGACAGAAAAAGACCACGCGAGAGAGCGAGAGAGAGAGAGAAGGGAAAGAAAAACAAGAGACGGAGAGCGACAAAGCCCAAGGACACAGAAAAAGGGAAAGAGAAGACAGGGGGCGGGGGCCGGCCCGTGCCGCTAGGCCTGAAACATATATGTATATATGTATATATATATATATATATTGTATCTATTTATGTATTTATCTAATGTACTTATTTACTATTATTGATGACAATATACAAGCTATTTTGTTAACCTCTTCACCCCTTCCGAGGACAGTGAACATGTCCGATGCAAACTACCTATACTCGAACGCCTGAAAGAAGCAGCTCATATATGAGCGACAGACAAAATTTTTAAATATGAAAAATATAACTATATATATATATACGCACACCACGTCTGCGTTTCGGGCACCGCCTCGCCTGGCGCTGCGAGCCCACAACGCTGACAGCGCGGATCCGCGACTCGGCCTGGCTGGCCACCCCACGGACCGGCGTGTCTTGATCGCCGGTGGGTAGCAGGGCATAGGAGCCGGAGCCTGCACCAGCGAAACAAGTTCTTTTGGCGGGGTTGGGATTCTGTGAGAACCGCGAAAAAATGGTCTTGAAAGGCTCCCCCTGACTTGATTTGCAGGGAAGCAGCGTAGGGACAAAATGTCGCTCTTGGCCATGGCGTAACTATTGCACCATCGGAAGGATGGGGTGAATTCAGATGTATTGCTGACCCGAGTGCTGAGAACCAGCCGCCCCTTCCATGAGCTTGTTGGTGCTATTAGGTTGGCTCAGTTAGAAGTCCAGCAGCGTTTGCCGAAGCTCACAGGATTGAACAGTGACAGCACTTGTCAGGAATGAGACTCTAGAGTATCCGACTGCACTGGCGTAGGACATCCATGAGCCGTTCGCGCAGCCACAACCACCTTCAGTGAGCAATGCAAGACCGAGTCCTAATCCAGAGTCGAGGGTCGTAGATGTGCAGGGTGGGATTCGCCGGCGCTAGCTGTCTCAGGCTAGCTACTTGTTCACTGGCAACATTTTTAAATTTTGGCAAGCTTCTGCTTTCGCAGATTCAAGCAGTGCTCTTGCTTGACTCTCAACATGGGACCTTCAAAACGACATCCCAACCCCACTAGCAGGCTGTCCTCGAGCAGCACGATGAGCTACACAACAACGAAGCAGCTGCCACTCACAAGCTTTGAAATCTACATATCAGCCTGTTCATCCTCGGGGTTTTCTCGGGATTGCTTGGAACTTTCACTGAACTTTCTGTTCCGGACACAGCTTTGTTTTCCATGGCCGGCTGGTCGCTGACAGAAGGAAAGGGCTAGGCTTCTACAGAAGAGGCTAGAAGTCCAACGCCGGCAATGTGCAGGGTCTTTGACCATTCCGGGCTCAGCTCAGCACCTCAGCACTCATCGCCTTCTCACCTCGCGACGTGCAAGGGTGGTCCTGCCCTGGACCCACAACCACTCAAGGCCGTCCATGCGCTGAATATTGTTACCAGCAGACAGCCCCAATATTTAGGGAAACGTGCACACGCCTTTTTCTTGAGCCATGAGCGAACAACGGTAAGTAATGAAATGTCTTTCTGTAACAACACCCCCCGCGCAACTTAGTGCAACGTAAGAGGCGTCAAAAGTTGAGGAAAGACAAACGATGTTCGCTACAGTCGTACCTAGTACGCAAAACGACTGCATCTTGAGGAAATTTCACCTCACATAACCAGCTGAAAATAAATCCAGCCCGTCAGGGAGGTGCTCTTCACCTGTTACCCTGAGGATAGAAACTGACTACAACTGCTACTGTGTAGCCAGCTCGTCAGAGCGGCGAAGGAGATGCAGTGCGGCGCACGGGCACACACACGTAGGCTGATGGAATCAGAAATGCAAAGAACGAAAACAATTTGCTCAAAAGTGCTGGGTCGGCGAATCCGACCCGTCAGGGTGGAGTGTGCAACCCTGACCATGCCTCCTTTTAGGCCTTAGTACCGCCTCTCTTGCACACCAGTGTGTGGATTCGTGACGTGGTGTTTCCATCCTCTGAGATACCACAACACGTGGTCGTAGTCGTAGACGACGATCCCCCCTGGGTTTCCCCAAGCAGGAAGGGCGTTCACCACCTCTTCTTCCGACACCCAGTGCGCATCCCGGGCCTTGAGCATGGCCCAGTAGTACCCGTCAAGAAGGGTCCAGGTGCTCGAGCGCGTCCGCGTCGGGTCGATGAGATCACCATCATGGTCGAAAGGGTAGTGCTCTGGAAGGTCAGCAAAGAGTTCCTGAAGAATGCTGAGCCTTTTCCCAATCTCGACATCGACTCGGCTGCGCCTCTCGGCCAACCATTCTCCTTCCGTCATGCTTGGTCCAGTGGGATCCACGCGTCTGCGGGATGTGCGCACCTCTCCAGGGGAACCCGGGCGTCGCACTGGCGGAGGCCGCGGGGTCGAAGCCCTGCGCTGTGGCGGTGGCCTCGCAGGCATTGCTGAGCTGAGACCTGGAGATCTGCCCCTCGATGTAGCCCTTGACGGCGTGCGCTCCCTCGCTCCCATAGAAGGCCCGTACTTTGCTGTCGGTGGGCGGTAGCCTTCAGCTTCCGCTGGGCGACGGGCCGGCGCTGAGCTTCTGCGATCAGCTGTGGGAGGAGGAGGAGGTCGCATCATTCCGAGTGAGGACGCTCTCGTGGGACGAATCCACTCCGGCTCGACACGGTTGGAGTGCAGATACCGCTGGTAAAACCTGGTATCGCGGAGCAGCTCATTCAATTGGGTCTGACCGAGGCAAGCAAACCCGTCAGGGATGCGGAGAGATCGAGCCAAGTCCACGTGGCGTGGTGCAGGATCCTGACGGCTTCCGCTCAGGGGAAGTTGATCCTGGAAGAAACGACTGACCTCCGCCATCACTTCTGAGACGGTGCCTACCCTTGGTGTGAACAAGTCACCATCGTAAGAGAGAATCGTGAAGGGTCTCTGTCGCCCTTCCGGGGACTGCTGGGTGGCATAGATGATCATGGATATCTCATCAATGAGATAGAGCCTTGACTGAAAGGCCACAAAGAAAGCTTCATCCAATGAGACTCGGTCGTCTCCCGGACGATAGGCGATTGAGACTCTGGCGTCAGCCCGGTGAGTGCCAGCGAATGCTCTCCTCTCGTTGGCATCAGCCCCGGGTGCTGGATTGTGCAAATGGGCGAACATGTCCAGCTGGGCCAATGAAGTGATACCCATACCACGGGACGCAAAATTGTAGGCGTCGAGGGGATTGGTGAGAGCGTCAGCGATCGACTGGCCTCCCCTCTTCATTGCCGATTTTCTCATGCTCACGCATTTGCTGCGTACTGCTGCAGGGAGACTTTGATCTTGTGCTTCGCGCGTTCCTCGCTCTGCACGGTGCCGGTTCATTGCCAACCCCGGCCGGGGGGCGATCGACATGATGTCGATGTTCCGTCCCTTCCGGGAGGACTCCAGGCGTCGTTTGCTGGGTTCGGCAACATGTGCCATGTCACTCTCAGCTGCGATTCTGGAGCCGCAGAACTGGCACTCAATCATTCCATCGATGTAATGTTTACGGCAACTGGTGCAGTAAAACCAGGGAAAGGAAACAAGCTCCTGGACGATGAAATGGTCGAGCTCGGAGCGGTACTTTCGATCCACTCGGATGCCCTTTGCGGAGAACCACACCTTGAGCGTGGAACCCCACTTGGCTTCCGCCAGTGGCTCGGGCCGCGGTGCGTTGTCGGCGAACTTGAGGTCCTCGAGCCTGATGATCTCATCTTCAACCGTGAGGTTCTCTTCATGGGCGATTTGGTACGGCCTTGTCATGTCAGTGATGTAGTGCCGGTACTCATGGAAGTTGAGCCTGGTCTGGAGGCTTTCGAGGTAGTCAAGGTAGCAACCCTCCTCCGACCAATCGTCCAAATGGCCCTGCTCGAAGATTGGACGCGGCTCCCGCCCGTCGTGAACATCCTTGCACGCATTGTGCAGTCGGACGCGGAGCAGCTCGTACACACGGTTGTGCCAGATGGGAACCTGGGAGTGGCGATCATAGCAGTAAACAATGTACCTGTTGGAAATCCAGTCAGGTGTCTGAATTGCATCTGCCTTGGATCTAAAGATCCGCACGCCCTCCAGGGCTGCGAGTTGCAGGTCGATGACAAATTCAATGTCAGCATCTTCACGAACGCCTGCATGACTCTCCCTCTGCCACGCCGGTACGGGAGACATCATCACGAAGTAACGGCTGGCACTTCCATCTGCAGCAACCCCTCCCGGGATGAGACCATCTCGAACGATGGAGTGCAGATAGCAACGATACGTGCCGTGGTAAGCCAACTTTGGCATGCTTTCGAAGGCCTCGCTGGTGTAACCAGTGGTTCCCACCCTGGGCCTGTTTGCCAAATTGGGTTGCCAAAGAGAGGACAGATGGTACGAGTGGGTGTTCAGTGCCATCACGTCCGTCTCTTCCGAGAGGAGTATGCCGTCGTGCCCCTGAATCGCTCTAAAGGCACGCAGCTGGACCTCCCTGTCGGGTTTAATGACAACCTTGACTTCGAACCGCACTTTGTCGTGAGTGGATTTGAGGACGTCCACCACGTGCTCCACACGGAGGCCTCTCCACATCATTCCCAACTTCTCGAAAAATTCGGACCATTCAATAGAATTGTCCCTGGCTGAGATGTGGACCGCCATTTCTGGCGCTCGCCGATTGGCGAATCCCCGGGCAAGGAAGGACATCTTCTTCGACAAGCAGACCCGGGCGTTCTCCGTGAGGAAACGGTAATCATCCGGCAGATCGGGGAGCTGATCGGCAGTAACCCAACGCGGCAGCGTGGGAGGCCTCGGCTTTGCCTTGGGGACAAGGGGTGCCTGAGAAACGGCCTCGCTCGGCTGAGGGGCGTCGGGGTCACTGATGACGACCACGGGAGAAGGAGGCGCGACCACTTCAGCTCTCTTCAAGGAGTAGGTGTCGGCATTCTCATATGGATCATCATCCTGCTCCACGAATTGACTGAGGAGGGTAATTTCCTCTTCAGCCGCGACCGCGGTGAGTTCTTCCTGCGTGATGCCCTCTGCCGCTTGGTTGGCCATGACGAGGTGTTCCTCAGCAACCACGTTGATCGGGTCGCTGTCTTCAATCGCGAGGACGCAACCTGCGCCAGGCCTGGTGTCATTCCTGGCAAAGTCTAACTCAGTGATGGGCTGCGGATTGCAGCTCTGAGCCGAGTCGTCGTCGACAACTTCGTACTCCGCCTCCGCCAGGAGTGGACCGGCCAACACAATCTCCTCTTCTGCCTCCCTCGCCAGAGGTGGGTCCGGTGAATCGACAATCTTGGAAAGGATTCTACCGGACGCAGGGGGCACGGTGAGGAACGGTTCGGGCTTGTTCAACACAAAGTGTGCATGAAAAACGGCTTCTCTTTGATTTGCGATGAGTTGCTGCTCAACAGCGAGAAGGCGGTAATCTGTGAGTATGCCGCGGAGCATCGCCGCGTGCCACCTAAGGGTGCTCTGCAGATTTTGATCCGACGCGTCAGCGTGGAAGCCATCAGGCCTGCTGGTCTGCTCATAGAGCTCCACAGGGTCAATGATGGTGCATCCTCCGCTCATCAGATCTCGGGCGTGATTCTTCATGCACCTGTCATAGAGCTCCCCGACCGGGAAGAAACAGGAGTGATGGCTGCCCATCAAGAAAGACACACCCGAGACGTCAGTCCGGTGGAGGAGCTTGCACGCTCTCTCACACGCCCGATCAACACGAAGCTTCTGCTTTGCAGGCCAAGTGTCAATCTGCTCGAGCTCCTCGGCTGTTCGCTTTGTGAACTTGCTCTGAAGATGCCAAGTGTAGCCATGATAGCCGTGTTGGCCCCATACATCGTTTCCTGACCATCCAAAAATGATGTGGGTAGCCGCCCCTTCCGGGTGGTGATCCCTCGCCTCGTTAAGGTGCTTGAGCGCCTCATCGATGAGCTGGTCGAGGTGATACCCCCACTTCATTGAGTAGATTAGGCTCTCCACTTCTGGATTGTTCCTGAAAACGTCTTGCATGAGCGGCTCAATGGTCATGCGGTGCGTAGGCTTCCGCCCCGTGTAATGGCACAACGCAAGGGAAGAGTCTCCGACGATCAAGAACCGTCGCCTCTCTTCCGGAGGGAGTGAAATGCGCTGAAGGGCAGGAGTAAAGAGCTTCTCGACAAGACTCGAAGTCTTCGCAAAATACTGGAAGTCGGAAGCGCCTACGCTAAGATTGGCAATTCTGCGGCAAATGTCATAGTGCTTAGTGGAATCGATTGCACCGCCCGCCTTCGGTCCAAACGCCAGGGTGGCCAGATCCTGAGCATGTCGGTAAAGGATCTGTATCCAACCCCCCAGGGTGGAGTCACGAAGCACGGAGGCATCAATCTCGGTCTCCGAAAACACACGGACTCCGTGCTTGCGATAGAATCGCTCGTAAAGCACCGTCCAATGGGACGAAGGGTCCTCTTCACGCAGCTCCCGCCAGCGGTAGATGGGAATTGTGCCGAGAAATAAGTCGTCGTCAGCATCGTCATCCTGTGGCTCAACCACAGCTTCCGCCAGGTCACTGAAACTCGGTGGAAGAAGGATGCCAGCCATGGCGTCAGCCAGGCGGTCGGGGTCCACTAGCGCTTGCTTGAACTCCGCGACACGCTGCTGGCGTTCCTCGTCAGTCAGAAACTCGGTCATGGTCGGCGAGGTGATGATGGCTGGGCACGCTGGGACTACAGGGGAGCTTGATCTAGCCGCTGCAGAGGAGTTCACTTCCTTAAAGGCTTTGTGAATAGCCCGTGCAAGAGGTTTACTGTAATTTTCTGATTCCTTCAGGCATTTAGCATGCTCGTGGCTACGAGTGCACTTTTTGTCATTGAGACGATTGTACACTGTTTGAAGGGTAGTGGCAACACACCACGGCTTTTTCACGGGAACACCCTTCTTGTTATGCAATCCGAACCTGCAACCATCAAATTTGGCATAAACAAACGGATGCCTATCAAGCCACTTCCTCACTTTGTCCCATCCCCAATACTCACAGTCCCTTGGCCATTCAACACAGTAGTCGACGGACGCCTTATCAAGGCCCTGAGAAAGATCAACGAATGATGCCCACAACTTCTTGAACTTTCTTCTGGCATCAAGCACAGCATCTCTATTTTTGGGAACCTTAAGGTTGATTCTAGTCCATTGACTGCCACCAGTGCAAGGCAAGCTAACCCATGTTAGAACACGAGCGCCAGCTCGGTGGTGTTCTTTAGCAATGTCGATGATGGCTCTACGGGTATCTGGTGAGTTAAGGTCCATGCTTTCGGTGACTCTAACTACCTTACACTCGGGAAACTCATGATGAGCTATTTCCCCAATGATGGAGTCATCACTACAGCAAACCTCTATAATGACCCGCTTCGTTTTGCTGTCGGGCCTCGAGTCGCTCGCAACGGCGGGTGGCGGAACGCTGGCCGGTGTAGCCTTACGGCTCTCGAGCTTCCGCTGAGTGATTCCCATCAATAGCAAGGCATTTCGCCACTTTTCAGCATTGGTAAAGGGTTTTGTAAGGATGTCAGCAGCTTGAAGATTGGTGTTGATGTAAGCAAGGTCATAGTGCTTCCTACGAAACTGCTCTGCGATCCATCCTAAATTGATTCTTTGAGTCTTGTCAGAATGACGGAAGGCTGGGGATTTTCCAGACTCTAGGATGCGGATGGTGGCCTGATTATCCTCTAAGACAACTGGCTGAATCGAATGAGGCACAGACATTATTAGTCCGAAGTCGCAAGGTTTCCTAGTGACTCCAACCTCAGTATCGACACCACCCCCCGAACCCCTTATGCCCTCGGCTTCCCTCTGAAGGATGGCCTCCGCTTCCGCGTGGCGGCGGTATTCTGCGGTGGACCTTCTATACACGAGGATGCCATACTCGAAATCATCTGGAGGCAGAGTGCGTTCGTCTTCATCCAATTCTTCCCAAGCAACCGCCCTTTGATGCAAAGTCCACTTCCCCTTTTGGAGTAACCAAAGATCCCTAATAGGGTGACTAGTCAGCTCAACGGGAAAGGGTAAAGAGCTACTTTTGCTAAAAAACTCCACAATCCTTCCGTCTGCAAGGAGATGACGTCCTGTCTTGTTGATGGTCGAGATTCCCTGGAAAGGATAAGATTTGGGTTTGAAATCGTGCTTAGCAATGTCACTACGAAGAGGCTTGGGAGCTGTATCCCCCCCCGCGTTCAGGAGCACGCTCCATAGTGCAGATGAAGGAAGACCCAAGGCTCGCAGAGTAACGTTCGCACATACGACTTCTGCTTCAGTGGAACTAAGCGCGGTGCTCGTTTGCTTTTTGCTAAAAGCGGACAAGGGAAAGTAGGTGTTGGGTCCTACCAACGCGAGGAAACCTCCTGAAGTGCTTTTGTTGTCATGTTCGCCTGCGTGATCAGAATCAGCGAACAGCCAGAGCTTACACTTATCAAGGGAGTCTCCTATAAAGCAGGTCATTCGATGGTCAAGAGTGGACGCCACATAACACATGAGTCTGTGCAGTGCCTTGTCACAGTCGGCAGACCACTTAGTGACCCGGCTAGCTAAACCCTGGACAGCACGTAATAAGTCATAACGAGCCATCCTTGCTGCAAACAGCAACTTCATGAGCACACGACTCGCAATAGGAGCAAGCTTGCCTTTGGGTTCAGCCTCCGCGTCAGTGGGGCGAGCGATTTTGTCATCATAGAAGGGCGTTGATACCTTTTTAAGGTTATGCCACTCGGGACCAGTGAGTTCTTTGTAGCGGTCGATGGCCTGCTGCAAGAAGGAACTCATGTCATAGACGACTTGTCTGGTCTTAGCATACATACAACCCTGATGATCACTCAACTGATTGACATCATAGAAAGCGTGTTTGCGGGCTGCTTTCTTGGCATTAAGTTTGTCTCTAATCTTTTTCACGGCTGCCATTGCGGAACGCTCGGTGTGACCGTTGGCGGCAAGATAAGTAGCACCTGTCCATAAGTGATCACGTTTGTGCTTAGCACCCCCCGTGTCCCAGAGCTCGTCTGGCGCGGCCTCAGAACCTAGAGGGCGCATCAATGTGAGTCTGTGCGGACTAAGGTCAAGTGCGACGGCTTCCGCCGCGCGAGGCTTGAACAACGCCTTGCGGGGCTGAACGTGATGTCGGACAACCATCCCTTCTTCAGGGTAGTATTCGGTGAAATCTTCTTTGGCTGCGGCAGTGGCAGGTTTGGCAGCGGGATCAGGAAGGGATTTGTCGAAGACATGCGCAAAAGGATGATCGGCTTTTCCAAGCGATGAAGACTGAGATAAGTGTTCACATCCCAGATATCTTCCGATGGGAGTAGGTGTATCCATATCGATGCGAGAGCCGATGAGTTCCCAACCCTTGGCTAGGTTCTCTTTTGGCCCGGCCATCTTGAAATCATCTACATACACGGCTAATAAAAGCTTCAATGTGGGATGATAAAAGACAGATGGCCATGCAGCGGGAAACACGAGCTCAAAACCAACCTCCCGCAAGCGCTTTTCGCAATGTTGCTCCCAGAAGCCCCCGCTGTCTGGGTGCCCGTAAAGAGCCAATCTGAGGCGGACGACGGGGTCCCTAAACTTGCCGACCCACTCCTTAGGCCAACGCTCACGTGGGAGCCTGACCCAAGTGTCAGCGCCTTTCAGAGTCGTTTGCGTGTACGCCTGTTTACCATCCCCCTGTTCCACATCGTGGCCGGGGGCATGGCCATAGGCGTCGAGAACCTTACCCGCTTCCATGGTGGCGGGACTAGAGCCCAGCTCACTAAAGAGAGCGGTGTCATTGTTCTCGTCCTTCACATTGTTGCCCTGAAAGACGGTCCTACCCTTGAACTTCCGTAAGGGATTCCCTTTAGGAAGCTCACTGCCCTTTTCCACGCAGATTTCAAAGATTTTGCCAACGTGGGCCTTCTTTCCTCTTTTGGCTGCCTCTTTAGAGACTTCTTCCCATTCACGAACAGATGACATGTCCCAGGCTTTCTTCTTCATCAACTTTTCCCATTCAACGTCAAGAGAAGCTTGGGCCTGAGGATCAGCTAACAGCTCTTTTCTTCCTACTGGCCTGGCAACCATAGCCATAGCTTCCTGAACTTGCTCGGCAGTAAGAGCGCGGGAAACAGGGATCTTGTCCCTATGTTGATGATTGGACATGGGAACCGTAGGCATACATGGGAAATCTTTAACAGCTTCTTCCGAAGTGTGGGGTTTGGTAAGGATGTCGAACTCAGTACGACCAACCCATTTGAAGCTGAGCTTCTTGTTGCGCTTGCGTACATGACGCCATTCATCACAATCGGCTATGATGTCCTTACCTCCAATTGGCATGATTTTGGTCAATCTCTCTTTACCAAGAGCGGAGATAGGAACAGGACAATCAGTGAGATGAGGGGAGAACAGTTCACGTCTCGGAGAGTAGTGAAAGCGGATGAGCTTATCCCCCCGAATTGTCCATTCATCTTTAACCGGATTAGCTACTGCAGATGGCCTGGCGCTGCTACTTGACGAGGGAGTTTCTCGGGCCTCGAGATCTCTCAAAGCTTGCTCTCGAGCCTCATCATCAATGGCCTTCTCCTTTTGTGCTTTAGAGAGACGGACCCATAGATCGCTCGGAATGCTGTCCGGCTTTCTAGAACCTCTAGTCCCCCCGTAGCGACGACCTAGTGTACCCCCCGAATCATAGTACCTCCCACCTTCCGGCAGAGGAATCTCCTTGCCGGTTTTGGGGTGAAGAACTTTAGGGGGCTCAACCTTCCGGTCGGCGTCAGAAGCTTCAGCGGCCTGTTCAGCTGAGGGCTCAGCGTCCTGATTGTGGAGTGACTCCGTCGCTGGTCGCTCGAGGGCATCGGCAGCGAGACCTTGTTGCACACGTTCGTACCTCTGTTTCATGGGAAAAGTGAAATCACCTTCAGGCACCTTGAACTGGTATGCTCTTATGGGCTTGATGCATTCATGGAAGTCCTGTCGATTTAACTCTTTCAGTGAAAGAACCAATACCTCGTGCTTCCATTTCATGCCCGGCTGAAAATGATATCCCACGAAAACACCTGGTTCAGCAGTTGGCTCGAACCTTTCACGATTCTTGCGCTTTTTCTTGGGTCCAACCCAATAGTCGATTCTGCAACCAAAGGGAATGACCTTTCCCGGGAACTGGCTCCCGAAACGCTTGAACCACGGTGTAAACTTCGCCCCATGGGGGTTACTTATATTCACAGCGGTACACGCATGCTCGAGAGCCTGTGGCCAGTACACATGCGAGAGCCCGGCCTGAAGCAAATTGCTTCTAGTACCCTCGGTGGTGGCGCGCACTGCGCGTTCTGCGATCGCGTTGGATTGATGAATATACGCTTTGGATTGTTCATGTCTCCAACCTAAGAACTTGGCGGCAGAGATGAGTTCTTTAGCTTGATCGCTGTAGAATACCCCTACCTCGTCAGAGGAGGAAACGAAATGTTGCAATGCTGCAATGCACTCATCCTCTGACCTCAGTGCTGAAGGGTAGGCATACGTAAAAGAAGTCGCAACATCCTTCAGTACGAGGGCCAATCTGGATTCTTCTATAACCGTATCCCTATCACGGTACACAATGATGTGATCCGCAGTGATATGGTCTCCAAACGCCTTATCTTCGACGCTGTGCCAGCCATCCGTTTGGTACGAAGGCGGCTTGTACATCTTAGCTCTTTGGCAAACATCACAGAATGGATTTTTGGGAAGGTGCGTCATGAGATGCGCCGCTGACTTGGCTTCTTTCTTCAAATTCTCAATGCGCCTCGACCTCTTGCCTTCCCCACCACTACCCTCACCAGGATCCCCATCTGGAGCATGCCTCTCTCCTTCCGGAGGAGGAGGGAGGACGCTCGGCTCACCTGAATCGGGTTTCGGCGACCTGATCAGTTCCGTTTTATCAAGGAACTCTTCATCCGGAGATGAAGGGATGGGGGCAACAGCTTCCTTCAATAACCCCTCGACTTTTGACCAATCTGGTTCATCCGAAGGTGGTTCGGCTTTGGAGGCTTCTTTGGCAATCTTCTTCTTGTCTGAGGGTTCCTCAGGCTTTTTTTTCAACTTCACTTTAGGCTTGCTTTTCGGTTCTGGGGCCGGAGCTGGAGGATCCATAGTAGCTAACTCGTAAAGAGTCATCTCCTCATCGATTTCCGCAGGCACTGCTGGAGGGAAGTTCTTCTGTTTCGGCAGCAAGAACCCCAGTGACTTAAGCTTCTCTAGCTGATGCGAATCCAGCCTGTGCACAGCGCGATTGACGTATCCCGTGATGCTCCAACGCTCGCCCTTCCAGGGAGTGACGCAATGGAAAGTCTTTGGATCGAAGGAAATGATCTTCGACTTCGACCTGTGCAAACGACCTCCCAGTTTGGCACCAGTGGGGGCGATCTTGTTGATGCAACCTGGCTCATCCTTCCGGATGGTGTCATCGTGAATCCACAATTCGCCTCCGGTGAAATCGCCGACTGCAATGGTGTAGTTGAGGTGTTCACGGTGATTGTTGACATCCTTGTGCATTTTAACGCCTGAGTTCTGATTGACAGCAATCGATGTTATTGGGCCATCCGCTCCATGATGTTTAAGATAGGACAGAAGGTACTTAATCACCTTGGGGTAGGAATGAGTGCGATTGGTTATCCCTTGCATCCCCCCATGTGAAAAAGCCCCGAAAATCATGTACTTCGAGTCCTTACTGTCCTTCGGTTTGATGGCTTTCCTGTTGAACCTAGATTGCTTAAAGTTTGAGTCCTTCAGCAATCGCAAGCATGCCTGATGGGAGAAATCCTGCTCCTGGATAAGTTGCGCGGCAATCTGTTCAGGGTTGGTGATGGTCTCAACAGCATCATCCGTATCGATCCGAGTAGACTCGTGTCTTGAATGGGCAGGACAAGCGATACCCTCCTTCCAAGACTTCAAGTACGGAACGTTATCCTTCACATCAAGGAAAACCTTGTCACCTCCCGGACTCCTGAAATAGGGTCTCTGAAATCCTTTCCAAATGAAGTCGTAACCCAGATCCATGCATCTCTGTCCTACTGAAAGAACATTGGGAGTGTCGGGGAGAACATAAGGCTTGGCTATGCTGTTGAGGGATGGTATCCCTACATCACATTGCGTGCCTGCGTAACTCGGTCCATTCGCAGTGCAAATGTTGATTGGGCAGTCCGATTCGTACGGATGCAGATTCACAAGCTCCCGCTCTGAGATGAGATCCTGAGCACTCCCTGTGTCACCAATCCATTCGATGGGTGGCGATTCTGATGATAGTTGAACCTTAGCGGGACAAGACACTCTCAACCCTTTTGGAATGCAATAGTTGCAACCAAACTCCGTATCGCAACAGTAATTGCAACGGCTTGGTTTGTCCTCCAGACTGTCTTTGACCGTAGCTCTCAACATGCGAGCGGCCATAAGTGCATCTCTGGTGGATTGATTGTCTGGCTTGGGAATGTAGTCAACAGACCACTTCTTGTCATACCTGCGCTGAGGATTCTCAACAGGGAACTTAAGCTCTCCATCTCTGAGTGGGAAGTTGATGTACATTGGGCTGTTGTCAAAAGACACTGCTGGTAGCGCCAAACGCATGTCAGTGGAACACTGAGGGGGCCAGTACGACTCATCCTTCCGGAGAGTAAAAGCGTCGGCTTGGGAAGCCGTGCCGGCCATCATTGCTCCTAGAAGGCAAACTGCTGAAGGGAGAGAAGGTCCGCCACTCCTCCTTCGAGCTGAGCCCTTCGAGTTCCCGGAGCCATGTGATCCTTTCGAACCCTTGCTTCCCTTAGAACCCTTGGAGCTAGCCCTGGAGCCCTTGCGTTCCTTCTTCTTCTTCTTGTCCTTGCCCTTGTCAGGGCGCGCAGATCCCTTCTGACTTCCGTCGGGTGTAGCAGCGGCACCTGGCTTTCCGGTGTGCATGAATTTGCAATTCTCTCCACGGTCGCAACGACCTTGTTTGTAGAACTTGCACACTCGAGGCTTTCCTGACGGGGAGTTGGGTCTTGAAGGACTTCTCCCTCGGCCTCCGCCGGGTGACTGCGATCTGCCACGTCCGCTGGGCGTCTGGTGCTTGTATTTACAACTGCCACCATTCTTGCAACTGCCGTTCTTGACAAAAGAGATGCAAAACCCTTTGGGTACTTTCTTGGGTGCAGGCGCAGTAGGAACAGCAGGAGCTCCAGTTTGCTTGGCAATCCGCTCCCGGTTCCTCTCGAGCCTTTTTCGATTCAAGTGGCTATTGGCGGCGTCGTAGAGAAATTTAAACGATCTTTCACTGGAGCCTTCGGCAGCCCTTTCATAGATGGCAATATCGTGCTGAAGTGCTTTGCATTTCTTTACCTGCCTATGAAAGAGCGGTTCGAGAACCTTGTCTTCAGGGGTGGTCTGAATGCCTGAAAGCACCGTATCCCAGTTCCTAACGAACATCACAAGGTTTTCGTTTACCAATGTCACTGAAAGGAGGTCTTCCATGTCATACACGGAATTGTGTAGGATGTTTGTAGCAAAGTGCTGATGAAGGAGAAACAGGATTTGTCTACCCCTCACTAGCCTCCCGGCGTGAGCCTCCCTCTCCTTGAGGGTGTCCATTTGGCGCGCGAAGTCACCTTCAAGGACATTTGTCACTGCCGACAAGACCTTGGCATCGAGAGTAGAGAAGCCACCTGTGTCCCTTAACTCTTCTTCCTTAGAGTCCTTGTCCCATACCTTCGAAAGCCATTCAAAAGCTTCATCCGGCTTATTGGACGCTGCAACTACAGCTTCACGAACCCTAATTCGCCAGTTCCTGTACTGTTCAGGTGTCGGGAACTTGGGGAACAGGATCTTCTCGGCCTCCTTGGATTTGGTCTTGTTTACATCCTCATCAACTTCCTCCTTCTCGTTAGTCTTTCCTTTGGCAAGTTGCTTGATGATTGCCTTGAGCTGCTTGGGCGAGAGATCAGAAGAGGAACTGGAGTCCCTCTTCTTGTTTTTCTTGTCTTTCTTCTTGCTCTTTTTCTTCTTATGACTGCTGCTCGAGTCATCATCATCGCTGCCGTCATCATCTCCATCAGGGCCTCCCCCGTCAGGGTGGCGTCGGGGCCTTGACCCTTTGGCGTCCTGAGGCGGAGTATTGATGGGATAGGTAGGGATCAGACCCGGTGGCGCAGATGGGGCGGACCCCGTTGCGCTTGCATGAGCCTGCAGAGCCGCGATGGCCTGGTTTAGCTGCGATTTCAGTTCAGCATTCTCCTTTTCAGCCATCTTTCTCTTCTCTGACTCGTGACTCATCATCACCCTGAAATCCCTAACTTCAGCAGTCAAGCGTGAAATCTCAACCTCAGATGTCGCCTGAACTGCATGTGTTGCCTGAGCAGCGGCGACACGGGCACTGTCCATTTCAGCATTGAGGAGATCCGCGTTGCTGACGGCCTTAGCTTCCGCTTGGTGAAGTTGATCACGCAACCTAGCGTAGGTAGCGTCAGCGTGGCTCTCAGCAGCGCTTAGTCTTTGGGCCAAAGCTTGAGCTTCACCTCGTGCCACGTTGATCTCATTGGCCTGCGAGTCAAGCTGCGACTGACCTGTTGCCAATCTCTGTCTGGCCTGTGTCTCCTCACTACCTAATCTGGTTTCGGCCTGAGCAAGTTCAACTCTGAGTTGTGACACTCCCGACATGACATTCATACCCATTGCTTGGAGTTGCTCCTGAAAATTGTTTGCGATCTGACCAATGATCTGATTGTGGCGATGTTCAGCTATTTGCTCGAGTAACGGCGACCTGTCGTTCTGAACAAACACATTGCTAATGTTTGCTTGATTCTGCAGGATTCGCTGATCGCCGATTGTCAAACTGTTCATAGTCGAGGAGGTCGGTGGGAAAAGACTCTGGGCTGACGGACTAATATCTTGGGATGAGCTTCCTCCGGCTGCTATCGGAAGGCTGGCCGGTGGTTGTCTAGCACTAGGGGACACAACCTGCCAAGGCGCGGACGCAGTCTGACGGCTCGAGGCACCGGTGGTGACACCGGCCTCGGAAACTGCACCCTTCTGAAAGAGCCTATGGTCATGTAGCCTTAGTGCGGTTGTGGTCAACGGGAGCTCACCCTCCCGGGGAGCGGCGTCCTCACCTGGAGCATTACCATCAAAGGACATGCTCAGGTTGCTCGCTCCGTCGTCCGGGACTGGTATGCCTGCAGGACCTAGCGGAGCTTGGTCCGTCATCACAGAGTGGTCAAACTAGCGTGGTACTACGGCTGATAACCTATTGTTACCAGCAGACAGCCCCAATATTTAGGGAAACGTGCACACGCCTTTTTCTTGAGCCATGAGCGAACAACGGTAAGTAATGAAATGTCTTTCTGTAACAACACTGAATTCTTTCTTATAGGGTTCTGAAAGCAGAAGCCGCCCAAAACCGTGTGCGCGAAAGCACAACCTTAAACCCTAAACCCTAAACCCTAAACCCTAAACCCTAAACCCTAAACCCTAAACCTGTGCGAAAGCTCTCCCCAGCCTGGGTCACCGCACTCCCGGTGTTCATTCCCCACATCTGCAGCCGGACCTGGGTGAACATATACTTAGTTGTCCAGTACCTGGGGGTTTTAAAGGTTAACCTTTGGGATTATAAGGGGAATGTATGAACCCAAAAAGGTTAAAGGTTACCTACTCTACTACTAAGTATAACTGGGCCGAAGATGCCGCCTGGGGGGAATGTCTCCTGACCCTTGATACGTGGGGAGGCTTCTTGGCAGTGGGCAGCCCTTGTGACGTTTCATATAAGGCAGGACTAGCGGACGCTGGCCCCACCGGCCCACGTTCCCCCTTAACCCCTTGTAAGCCACAGCCCCCCGGGTCCCTTGCCGTCGCCGCGCTCAGCAGGGGCTTCGTGCTTCGCACCGAGGCGCTGCGGAGCTCCTCCCGGAACTTTCGGAACTCTCGGAGGAGCTTTAAAGCGCGTGTTGTGTTGCTTTCGTGTTCGCTTTATGCTGTTTTTGTGGGCAGAAGTGAGAAGTGCAAGGCCACTCGAAGGAGAGGTTCATGAGTGACTCACTCCCTGGAGTTCCAACAAAGCAGAGTCGCCTGCAAGAAGGACTTGAAGCCGTACCGCCGCCTCGATTTCACGACCCCGCAGACACTCCCATCTCCCAAGCCAAAACCCTCTTGCTTCCAGGCAACCCTCTGAAAAACAGCTTTGTTTTCCAGAAGTCTTTGAGGACCCACGCTCGCACAGAGAGAGCGCATCGACTCCCACTCACCCCGTTGCAATTCTGAGATGACACACTTGCTTCGATGATGTAGGATACGGAATTTTACGAGGTTTGAAAGACCAAGCCCACGAGACAAAGTCCTAGGCAGGTAGTGACTAGAGCAGGACATTACCGACCCTAGACGCGGCAAATCTCCACAAGCTGCAAGCTGACCCCAAAAGAAGGGAGAATTCTTTGTGGGGTTCGCATGTGACCTGTGAGGTTGCGTCAGGTGGGCATCCGTAAGGGCTCCCCTGTAAGGAAGTCCTCCAGGCCTCAAGTGCAGATCATTCCGCACACAGGAACGCCCCGAACCCAGAAGTTGTAGAGACCCTTGGAGGTGAGAAGTGCCCGGATGCTCCCCAAGCGCGTCTGTCACTCTAGGATCCGCCTCTTCTCGGGTCCAGGTTTTTTTTCCGTATTTTCATGGTCTTGGGTTTAGGGTTTAGGGTTTTTAGGGTTTTTAGGGTTTTTAGGGTTTTTAGGGTTTTTAGGGTTTTTAGGGTTTTTAGGGTGTTTAGGGTGTTTAGGGTGTTTAGGGTGTTTAGGGTGTTTAGGGTTTAGGGTTTAGGGGTTAGGGCTTGGGGTTTAGGGTTTAGGGTTTAGGGTTCACCTGAAACCATAAAAAACACGAAAAAACAAACCAGAAAAAACACGAAAAAAGAACAATCAGCCTCTCGGGTCATCCGTGTCCTCGAAAGGGATAAACCGTACTTGTCAACGAACTGTGCCCTTTAGGCCCTCAACCCTTTTTGCGTGCCCTAAACCCTAAAAAACCCTTTCTTCTGCATCTCCTGACAACCTCCTCCCTCCCTTTTCTGAGCAGTGCCAAGCGACTCCAGAAACTCCGGAAGCGACTTCGCGGCGGAAAGCTGGAAGCAGGGCTCTCAAGCTTTCGGGTTTCTACCCTTCGGGTTGCGGGGGGGCGCGAGAAACTTCGCGAGGTGCCTACATCGAGTTCACAGCTTCCACGTTGGGATTCCGGAGGCGGTCTTGGCTCAGGGGGGGAGGGAGGGGGGGGTTCAGGTTCAGGGCGCGGATGAGTGTAGCAAGAAGGCTCTCCTTCGCTTTTTCTCCTCCAAGCACGGCACTTGTCACAACATTTGCAGGATTCTGCCAGCGCGCCGCAAGCATGAGCAATCGGTCTTGACTTCAGCCTTGTTATGTCATAGCCCCTGAAGCACCGCGCCGGCAAGAGTTCATTCGAGTTCAGGAGGCCGTTGTCGGCCGCAAAACGTTACGCATACAGTGCATTGCCGGAAAGTCGGCACTTCCACAGCTCGGACAGCTCTGAAACTGATGGAACTGGAGACCTTTAAACGTCTCGAATTCGACTCCGCTAGGTCTCAAAGGAGACCACCTAGCTGGACCTAGCTCATCCTGTTGTTCTGACGGCCAAGTCGTCCCAGCACTCTTGCGCTCCTTCACCTGCCCCGGACTCTTCCTAAAGAGGTGGACTCAGGAAGGGAAGGCAAGGAAAGAAAGGATCCATGTTCCGGCGCCTGGCGATGTTCTGACTGCTCGACATCTTCTTGATTAAGCTGCTGCTACCCATGCAGAAACCGTCCCCGAAAATGACCTTCGGCGAGGCAGGCTGCTGCTCAGAGGGTGCTTCGGCAAACGATGAGAGAGCGGCATGTGCATCTGAGAGCCATGCCAACCCGCCCTGGGAATACATTGCCTGAAAGGAACAAGTAAAGCATCAAGTAACAGCAAAAAAAAATCAGGCTTGGGGGGTCAGGATCTGCGCCTCTCACGACACTAGCAACTGAACCAGCCAAGCTGCATAGTATGCCCGGCAGAGGTGCATAAAACAAGGCATGTAGGTGCAGAAGCCGTAGAAATCCTCTGTCAGGCCAAAACGAAAATCGGAAGCATAACACCAGGAGCCCCACCGCGGTCCTCATACTTCGCAGCGCACTGTACCATGTCCAATTTTGGCTTTGCGTCGAGGAATTTGCAGTCAGTGAAGTAGGCTAAGCAGACCCTTGTCCGAAACACAAGTCGGAGACGTGAACTGCATGAAGCTTGCTGGTCTTTTGCGCAAGCATGCAGAACGCAAAGAATGCTGGCTGAGGCTGGCACATATAGAAGATCATGTTCCAAAACATCGCGATTAGCGGAAACTTGAAGATGTTCATGCTATTCGGCTGCACCTTCCCACAGCTGCACCAGTTTGCCACAGCTAGCTTGCGCAATCTGGCAGCACATAGGTCCTACGAAAGCTCCGAAATCGGCACGTGCCTTGTCCAAGGCAGGCACCGGCTCGCCCCGGATGGACTTTTCTACCTGCAGCTGCTCACGGCGTGTTCGAGAAAACAACCAAACGGATAAAGACGGACAACCCCCGCCATCACCCGCTGCAACTCCCAAAGCAAAAACACCAACGCCAGCAGAATAGCGGGAAGGCAACAAAGCTCAGCAATTCCTTTGATTTTTGCTATCGCTGATGCCTATCATCGGCCATTGGCTCAACTGCCACAGCACCTGCCCTGCTGAAGTCAGTGTGCTGGGCTGCTGGCTAGGCGAGCAACGGGGCCAGCACCACACCACACGAAGGCCTCGAAACACGCTTTCCGAGGCACGTGACGTCAACTGCTGCGACATAAACTCCAACAGGCACGAGGCCTGCCAGACACCTCGTGCAAACCTCGTTTGATCAGGCTAGTTGCCCTGAGTTTTGGCAACAAACCCCGACGGTCGTGGGTTCCCATTTTGGGTTCCCGTATGAGTTCCCGGCACGGGCTGATGAGCAACAGCCCGCTCCAGAAAGAGCAAGGAGGCACGAGTGGCATCTGCCAGCCACCAGGTCGTGAGCCAAATGAAGACCTCTGCTTGGAGGGGGGGCGCTAAAACCGGCGCGCGCGAAAACAAGCGCTCTTCTTCCCCTGGCATGCTTGGGCTTGGGCGTGCTTCCGTTGCAAGAACTTATAAACCTCCAAGAAACCGCGGCCGCTGTTCTGGGGATCGGGATTCGGTGGGATTTCTGGGCGAGTGGTTCAAGAATTCTGCATCGCAGCTGTGAGAGGAGCGCAGTAAGGAGCTCACCCACATTGAGTTCTGAACGAGCAGGTACCACAGGCTGAAGCAGATCAGAATGTTATTGTTGGTGAGCGCGCGCCTGCACCACACCCACAGCAACTGCGTTTCAAAGGCAACTTGAAGATGAGAAGAGCTCGCTGAGGCTGAAGCAATGGGGCATCTGGCACAAACAAGAGATCAGAGAAAACCGCGCCTAAACACACTTCAATACGGTCAACACATTCAGAGCACAACTTTCAAGGCAGAGGGAAGCTAAGGGACCGACCCGGATAAGTATAACAAACCATACCAAGCAACCAGCCAAAAAACCAGGATGGGTATGGCCTCGCGCGAGCATGCGCAAGCTCACTACACCCATCTAGGCCCTGGCCACTTGAATCCGCGATCCAGGCTTGTCAGCGCTTTCTTTTCCTGAATTCCAGGCTAGTCGTGGAGCAGGAAGTAACGAGGACATACGTAGACGTACTATCATGCTTTCCCTGACTCGGACCGCCACGCAGCATCACGTTGCCGTAGCAGCAGAAGCCAAACTCAGGCCATCACATCATCACGGCACAAACGTACTCAGCGCGTCTTGCAGGTGGAGACGCCAGGTGGAGACGCCGCTTGGATAGGCTTCGGGCCATCAGGGCAACGGGATAGGATGTCCGCGACGCCAAAATCACATCCTCATCGGCAATCTGAGGTAGCGTACGCCTACGGAAACCTGAAGCCGCCGTCTGCTTCCAGCACCGGCTCCGCCAAGCAGGTTTCAACACGCATCTCAGGCAAAGCCCGGCAAGATACCACCCCCATGAGCACCCCAAGGCAAACCCAACACAGCAAAGCCCACAGAGTCCCTGCTAGGGTCACTAGAGTCCAAGCTGCGTAGTGGAGCCATCCAAGGGGCCTCAGGAAGCTTGAGTAAGCTTGGGGTTTCGGGACTTCTCGGGTTTGGGGCTGGACCGCGGCCAGGTTACCCAAGGGTGTGCAGTTGGTCAGGGGGGTGGCTTCCATTTTTATCAAGCGCTTGTGGCGACCCGCACTGCGCTCCATGTTCGGAGGCCGCCCTCGGTTAGAGCCGATCGGGCGCAAGATGGCGGATCCTTAGGGCCTCAAGTGGCCTCAAGGTCGCAAGGGTCTCAAAAGCAACCGGGGGATTCTTTTGATCCGAGTGGGTTTTGGCTTCATCTACCAAGCCTTTTCAAAGGCGGGCGGGGTGTTTTTCGTATTTCGCGAACACAGATTTTCAAAAGAACAACACAGGTCACACTCCGCGAACACAGACGTCCAAATGCGACAACACGTAGGACATCATACGACAGTTTCGCATTTGGCGGACCCAGATCGACACCCACAAGCGACGACAGTTTCACAGTGTTTCACATTTGGACGTGCAAAAAGCGACGACAGTTTCGAGGACGGCGTGCAGAACCACGCCCACGCCTAGGCCGCAGAGTGCTATCTTCATCCAGAATGCGAGCGGCTTCGAGGAAATGGGCCGCGGGCGCCCCTGTTGTAACCCCTGAGTGTTGACGCGCTGCTTGGGGAATCGAACGAGAGTTACCGTTCTTCCCCGGGACCTTGCTGCACTTCTGTCAAGCCTAGGACACCAACTGCTCAATAGGCCCGCGCCCTTTCCTCAGTGGCACGTCATCGTCCTCCTCCTCTGCCTCCTCAGGCTTCGCCTTGGGTTTGCAAACTTCGCACACTTCTCGACTTGCTGGGTTGGGAACCAGGAGATGGCTCGTAGCAGTAGCAGACCACGCATGTGGGAGTGGGAGTAACCCACACAGCACAGGGCCGGTTTTTGACTTCAGATCCCTGTTAAGAATATATCGGATGCCTCGGGCTGCTGCGGGCGCCTTCTTTGGCTTCCACAAGGCGAAAGCCGTCCTTGCGTGCGCGTCATGATGCTCCCCATGCCAAGCTTCCCGAAGACGACGCCCGAAGCTTGCAAACAAGATGCTCCCTTGAGGAGCTTTCAGCCAGAAAAGCTCTGACCTGACGTACTGCAGAGCATTCTTGACTCAACAAGCGCAAGGCACAGCAGCATCTGAGAGCGGGGCGCTGGCATGGGACCATGACCTCTACGCAACAAGCATCCAGAATTCCATAGCGTCCACAGATTGCAGACTTCTTGCTAGCTTGAGCAATTCTCTGACTGGGCTCGGCACGCCACCGCAGCTACCAGCAGCCCAAAGCCCAGGAGGCGTTTGCGCCTCTCCCTGTTGTTGCATGTCATGGTGGGTTTGACTGAAGGCATGACTCAATACCACCAAGCTCGACACATGCCGCAGCCACTCCTTTAGCAGGTCTTCATAGCTTAGGGGCCAGTGATTCTGGACAACTTTACGGAGCTCCAACTGCTGCCGAGACTCGTCTTCAGGGCTGCACACACCGTGCCCCAACGTGTAGCTAAAACGGCCGAGGAGGGCCAGCAACAATTGAGCATGGCTCACAGCATGATGCCGGCGCGCACATGGGCGGCGACGAAAGGAAAGCGGCTGACCAACTGACAAGCATTCTTGCCCCAGGCCTTGTTCAGAAGCACTACCACGCTGTTGAGCTCCGTGTCCTCATTGCAAGACTTAAGAAGTAAGAAACGGTGTGGAAACAGGCGTTCTGCCGAATGCAAACCAACCAGACGTCCCAGACACCTCGGAACGCCTTGCCTGGCATTTTCCATGCTTCTTGTCATGGTGCCTTTTCAAGCTGCTGCCAGGGGTGCCAGACATTGCAGCGGGGCCGAAGCTCGAAGGCCATATTGAAGCGCGGTTCAGATATGTGGGCCACGCGATGGAGGCAGGCAGGGTGCTGGCCTGCACTTAGGCGCTCCAGGGTCTCGCCCGCAATCACCAGGAAGCAGAACTCATCCTGCCCGGACCTTCCCGACCTTCCCGACCTTTCCGACTCTGGTTCTGCGCGTGCCGTGCGTTTTGTACTCAAGGCGCTGTCCATGGCAGCCTCCACGTCCTGCCACTCTTCATCATACGTGGCAGACTTGCCAGGCGCACCGCCAGGTCTCAAGGGCAGCCGCACCTCCAGGCCCTTCTTCGTGCTGCTGAGACAAAGGACAGTAACAAGTCCAGGATCAGCATGCTGGCGACATGGCTCTTCGGAAGGATCTTGGTTGAAATAATGGTAGAGGTTCAATACAGATTTGCCCTTTCCAATCGCAGACTCCTGCCCTTGCTGCCCTTGCTCGGGGTAAGCCTCTTCCCCGAAAGACAGGTCGCCAAAGTGGCTCTTCGCAGCCTGCGTCGGGACGCCTTGGCTATCGCACCAAGCCTCCATCGAAGCCTGTGCCACCGCTTCCATGACCTCAAAGGAGGAGGCCAGCACCCTGGGATCATCCTCTGCAGAGGCTTGCAGGTCCTGGCCGGTTCGCCTTACCTGGAGCCGCTGCTTGAGATCCTTTTGTCGCTTGTAGTTCAAGCACAGGCCGGTCGCCGCGGGGATGCTTAGGAGGGCCTCCGCCCGCTGCATGGCACAGGCCACCGGCTGGGCCACCTCTTTGGGGCAGCAGACGATGGCGAAGCTAAGACGGGTGAGCTCCTCCACGAAGGCCTCGGGCTCGAGGAACCGCAATCCAGGGCAGCCCTGTCCTTGCGCCTGGAGGAGATGCACGCGGGGTACCAGAGTCGCCATGGCACCACGACCGCCGGCCTGTTCTGTGCTGCTTAGCCATGTAAAACGTTCCGTCGTTCCGTCTGGTTCTTGTCATGCTCATCTCTCAGATTGCTGCTCTTGCTACGCTGAATGGATTCCGATCAACGGGGCAAGGCCGTGGCGTACTGTGGCAAGGCATCGTGTGCTCATCTATCGAGTATCACACATCCTCTACGTCCTCTGCATGTGCAAGCTTGCAACGTGGAGAAGCGGCGCAAGCTCCTGCCAGTCGTCACCATACCAGCTCGACACCTTACACTCAACAGGGCTAGCCTCATTGACGCTTGGGCTTTGAGGTTTTTCGAGTCAATGTACGCGCACCATGCGGTTCTCGCACTGGACATGCAGGAGGGCCTGGCAAGGCTCTGTGAAATCGCGATCTCACCCAGGTCCCGATGCACGCGCGGCTTTCGACCTGGTCACACGGTGTGTGCATCGTCCAAGCTGCCAAGCCGCACTCGCCGCATTCTCGCGCGCATTCCGCGGCGAAGCATCGGATAGGGCTTGGAATCGTGAGTCCATGCGAACGGTCTTGCGGAGTGTTATGCTAACTGTCCCTTTGGGTCGAAGTGCAAGGCGCCGTCCTGTGCATGACTTGGGCATGCTATCCCCCCGAACTGCCGTCACCTCTGGGCCAATTTATCGCCCGCACTTCCGATTCTACTTTTGCAGTTCTCGCGCAATGTGTCTGCAGTGTGTGCGCTTTTTCAAAAGACTGGGTTTTTATTTGTCGCGTCTACGCTGGCATGTTTGAGACCATCACAAGAATCATAGGTTTTGGACTCGGGTCTGGGCCAGTAGACCATTCTCAGGAACCAATCCAGGCGCCAGGGGCGAGTTGTCCAACAGCACCACATCCTCCACTTGTCACGCATGAACTGCTTTAAAGATCTTTACAGTATTTGAAAGAGGGCCCTGGCTGTTCACCCTTGCCGAGGCCTTCATGGGCCTCCCGAGCTTTCGAAGGTCCTCCGCTGAGTGAGGCCGTCGTGGTCTAGGACACGGAAACATCCAAAAACTGAAGCTTACAAACTGAAGTGTGCTGCGATTCGCTCCAGCATAGCCTCAAAGTGCCGGGAGCTAGATAGGAGGAGAGTGCTTGTTATCGTTCGTATTGTGCATGCGCATATATATATATATATATATGTACGTATGTACGTATGTACGTATGTACGTATGTACGTACGTACGTACGTACGTATGTAGTATGTACGTATGTACGTATGTACGTACGTACGTATGTACATATGTACGTACGTACGTACGTACGTACGTAGTATGTATGTACTCTGTCTGTCTCTGTGTGTGTGTGTGCGCGCGTGTGTGTGTGTGTGTGTGTGTGTGTGCGCGTGTGCCGCTTTTTGTCCACGTCCTTGAAGTGGCCGCCTGCAATCTCGGTGCAGGCCTTCGGTTCTCTTGCATGGAGCAGCTCAGCGTACTGGGGTTCCCATCCACAATCCAGGCCTCTCTGTACAAGCGGTGCGTGATGAGGTCCCGTCCTACGGTGCTCGCTGACAGCGCGCGCTTGTATGCTTGATCTCGGAGACGAATCTGAGCTCGCCTGGGTCCAAGAAGTCTAAGACTTTGTCGGCGTAGATGCTAGCCGAGGCCGTGAAAACAACCACCTCGGCCGACTTTGGGTGCTTGTTCAGGCAGTCAGGTACGGCGCAGCAAAAACCAATGGACGCTTAACCCATGACTGCTGTCTTCAATCCTCACGAGCAGCAAGCTGTTGTGCCAAGCAGTCTGCCCAGCAACGGCGACCCGAGCAGTTCGGAGTCCTTCTATCGTTGCGCTGACCAGAGTAGTTCGTGGAGCCGATCTGCTTTTCATGGTAAAAAGCAGTCTGACCAGTACGATCTGATGATCTGCTTTAGACTTCTTCCTTGCAGTCACAGAGAGGCCCCACGCGCGTCGGGATTAAAAAGTTGTCTCGAGCTGGCGCTGCACACTTCCGGTGAGCGATGTTCAGCGCATGTCGGGCGTCATGGGTGGGGGGGCGCGCGCGAGGCAGAGTCAGCTGAGACCAGGAGAGCAGCTACCAGGTTCACTTCTTCGTGGTGGGCTCCTGGAAGTAAAGGCCTTCACAAAATTGCGTAACGACCTCGGAGCTTGGGAGCTTGGGGGAGCATGGACTCAGGAGGGAACTCGCAAGCTCCGGGCGATTTGGTCTGCAAAGGATCTGATCGTGACCTACTTGGGTACATGGCGAAAGGCTCGTCACACATCGTCACACTCAAGAGCTGGCCTCTGTGGGAGTTTCATCCCCGTTTCCATCAGCCTTTGAAGGACTCGATTGCGAGGGGGGGGGGGGGGGGATCGACACTACACCGGCTGAGGTCGTGGCATCTGTAAGCAGGGAGGTGGCCAGAGACACGCAGCTGCCAAAGAGCACCGCCAAAAGAACCGAGCTGTCCTCCGCAGACGACTCAAACACACAGCCCAAAACTTTAAAACACCCAACCAGGAAAATACAGCACGGCAGCACTTTGTTCATCAACGCAGCCTTCAGCGCCGATGCCTGTCCCATTATGCAACGGTTCTGCGCAAAGATCTTTTTGCTTCTTTATCAATGAACCCTCTGACTCTGTCTGTCTGAGGCGAGGAGTATTCAAAAAGCCCAAAGTGACGGACCTACCCTGCCTTGCCACCAAACGCGGCCAGCTGCACAGGAAGACGATCGGCGGCAGTGTGGATGGTGGATCTGAGGAGCGTGTGCCACTGGTCGACTAGGTTCCAGACTTGCTCGGAGAACAAGTTCTGGTTTGGGGCTTGCGCTGTCACTGCACTTTGTGGCAGGGAGTGGTCAACCGTCTCCGCTCGATTTCTTTCGAATTCTCTCGACAGGCAGATCTCAAACTCATCACCTCCTCCCCGCCCGCCTTTTCCAGCCCCCCACCGCCCCGCCCCCTTCGCAAGAAACCGGAATCAGAACTTCATCGCTGTACACAGATTGAGTAATTGTTGTGAAAACTACTAAGGCGGCGGCCTAAAGACCTGCACCACATGGGGGCTTTCCAAATAGTCTCGTGCTTCGTCGAGCAGGTGCTTCACCTGGACTCTTCGGCATCCGGAATCTGCAAATCAACGCCTTGAGGCGTCCGTCCAGTAACTCAGCCGTTTCTCTCCAGCAGCACCGACAAAGATTTGGCTGGGGTCCGGGTTATGTACAGGGCCGTGGGGCCGCGTTTGGGTTCAACGCAATTCCAAGCAAGCTGCCCTTCCGTCTCTTGAAGTTACTTCTTTGCATCAGAATAATTACTCTTGAGACTTGAGAATGATGGGAGTTCTTGTTACTTGTCGTCACGATACACTAAGCCTCCGCAAGCCAGCAGGCTCTGCCGGCATTGTGGTGAAGTGGAGTTGGCTGCAGCTTTTGTGCAGAATCCACATAACACTCAGAGTCTGAAAACAACTGGCTTGTCAAATCCTCCTCGTTCGGCGTTTGAGCGGTCCAAGAGCGGCTTGCAAGACGCAGTGCGGCTGTGACTCCGCTTCTACGTGTCTCTGGAATTCTTTGTGCGGTTGGCTTCAGACCTCGAGCCCACAGCCCAGCGATGCCACGAGATGGCAGCTGGGCATGCAAACACTGCTTAGGGGTCCCCTCACAGGTTCTGAAGCGACTCCAAGCTATCGTCTATGTATGTCTCTATGTCTATGTACAGCTTAGAATCAGACAGCTCTCATCCACACCAGCGCCAGACCCGCGGCTTGTCCGTGAGGTCCTTATTACGCGTTACAGCTCTACTACCGGTGCCAGACTGCTACTCATCTACGATCCAGTGTTGCTTATCACTGGACTTCCATTTGCTGTCCCGCACTGTACACACTTGTACACTCTCTAGGCAGGTGCCAGGCGTCTCGAGGACTCCATCGCAGCTCCGCGGTTTCGCGAGCTCTTCCCACGGACCTGCGTCCATCAGAGAATCCGAGCAGCCTTGCAGGCCTGCTCGGAGAGTCTCAGCTCTTGGCTGCACGTCGATGCACCAGCGATCCTGAAGCCACACCTGGCACCCAAAGGGACCCAAAGGAGAGCTGAAAGCTGAAAGGGAGCCCTCGCTTCATTCGCTTCATGCCGTGTCCTTGTCGTCCCTCTCTGTCAGTTGGATGATCGCGGTCTGCCCGTCGTCACGCGTGATGTGAACGTCAGTGCCGTCAACTATGTACAGCCTCGGAGACGTGAACTCAAGGATGCAAAGAAAAACCGCCACATATGCCGCCAGTTAGGCACATGTCCGCGTGCTAGTAGCCGTTGCGGCTGTTGCGGCTGAGCAGCAGATTCTCCAAGGCATCCTGCCACTGTCCCTGGACACCTCAGCATCGAACCCGCACTGCACCACCATTGCTCGACTCCCCTTAGGCCCCCCGGCCAGCGATGGTAGACGACCTCACCAAGAAGGACCACCATATCTCGCACTTGCAGTAGGTGACTAGGTGCTTCCGCTGAGCTTCTTGCCAGAGCACAGGCATTGACCAGGAGTCTCCAAGTTCGCCCTTCCCACCTGTTGAACAGGCACCAAAAGAGATGCAAAGGATGCACACAAAGGGCACACATGGGATACAACTCCATGCCCAACGTCGCCTGTGAAAAGGAAGCTGGTGGCTTCGAGGTGCGCCCTCACACCAGGACATGCATCACTCATACATCCCTACATCCGTGCCCCCCTAAACTCCCCGTCGCGATCCAGCGCAGCCTCACACCAGGGAATGCATCCGCGAGCAGGGACGGCATGTCATAGCCTCGGCAAAGGGAACTTGTGAAGAAGGTCAAAATCTCCAGCCTTGAAGGGCTGCAGACTGTCTGGATCTCTGGATGATACCAGGTACAGCCGATCCACCTCAAGTTGTCCAAGGCTGCCATCTCTTGCTCTTTACCCCCCTCGCAACAGAGTCCGTGGGGTGCTGGCGCCATGCAGCCGACGCAGCTCTTGGCGGATGCTCGCGCAAGTCGCCACCTCGAAAGGCTACGTCTCACGAAGATATCACTTGGGGAGAGTATGTTCTCATGCTGTCCCCCATGGTAATTCTCACATAACCCGAAACATATCACCCATGTGTTCATAATGTTTTCCCATGGTTGTCCCCAGATTCACGAGTCCTGCCATAGCTCCCTCGAGCCTCCTCGATCTGGTTGTCCTCCTTGTTGTTCCAGACGTCAAGATCAATCTTGGTCCGGACCTAGCGCCAGCCAACAGTCTCTGCCAGCTTGGGAGGAGGACGCAGATGTCCGGGAGCCGTGCCATGAAGTACGGGACCTAACATCCGAGGTACGACTGGCGATCTCTGGCAAATCATGCAAAAGCAAGAGAGAAACTCCCCAGAAATCTGAGTGTGCCCTTGGTCTGGCCTCATACTTCACTAGAAGCATGGACATCATTTAGTTGTTACTTCATGAGGGGCCAGTGGGCCCTTATAGGAGAATGCAGCCAGGACACCCCACACGCCTCGAGCTCCCCGCGCAGCGCCTCGTCCACGGAGGTGAAGCGGTTGGCTGTGACGATCCTGAGGCGACCCGAAGCACGGTGTGGCCTTCAATTTTTATAATGCTACCCATGTAGCCCAGAATGACCAGAATGATTCTCATGAAACCTTCGAACCTTAAACCCTGCACTCCAAAAACCGCCACTGCTCCCACCCCAAATTCTGCGCCCGAGGCACAGGACAGAATCGAAGTAGCGAAGGCCCATGTCATGGATATAGCTGTCCTGCGCAATGGCAGGCTAGGCACCACTGCTTCTGTTCAACCTGACGCCTCAGTGTGTTGGAGGCGCTACATATCACTACATGCTGGAGTCCTTCGGAAAGCCGGGTGTCCCTGCACCTGGCAAGTCCCACCTGAGTGCTACGTTTAAGGGTTTAGGGTTTAGGGTTTAGGGTTTAGGGTACGTGTTTCATGGATGGCTGGCGCACAAACAAGCAGCTGCCCCGCAGCAGAATCAGGTCTTATCGTTGGCATTGGGGTTTCTGCTGTGAACTTCTTCGTCGCGGGCTGCTTTCCTTGAGATACATGCTTGTTGAGTGGAGGTGCTGGTGCTGCTTCTTTGCACTGCTGGCAAAGCTTCAATAGCACCGCTGTCGCCGGCGATGCCGGCTCAGAGTCTACGAAGCTCCCCTGTATAATGCTTACTTATTCGGGGTGGCTGTTGAGGGACGTGGTGTTGTGACACGCATTTTGGGGCCTGTGGTGCAAATCTATTTGCACTCGAGCTTGGCGACCGGCAATCGGACCTTCTCCAGCTGTGGAAAAGAGTACGGCAGAGGGCCTCAGCAACTGATTGTTTGGGCACATCTCGTAACCAAGAACCCACAAGAGTACACGCAGCGAAGGGCGCGAGCGCAGCGTCGTCTCCTTGACCCCTGTGGGTGCCCAGTCTGGCTCACCGGGTCTTACTCGCCGCATTTTGTTGATGAGCAGCGACTTCCCTACCTTCAGTGCCCGACGGCCACGATATTGCCAGGAACTTCGAACCAGGCGCTGGAGGAGGGCTGTGAGCCCGGCTCCCGAATTCCCCACGACCGCCACATTCCTTGAAGCCACGGTGCAATCTCTCGCATGACTTGAGGCAAACCAGGAACATGTGAGCACGGCCGAACGTCAGTAGCCAAGCTACATTGTGCCGTCCGAATTTCTCTCCAACCAACTTGGAATGGGATAGCTCCTGCGGCATGGAGACATGCCGGGCCAAATCTCAAGAGCAGTGCCCCACAAGAATGCCAGCAAAAACTAAGCTGCAACACAGCAGCTGTAGGCCCCGACCCCGAAATGTCGACGGAGGCTTGCCGCCGCTGCTTCTCAAGCTCAAGCTGCTGCACCTTTTGTCGAAGCCACTGTAAGGGGCAGAAGGCCTTGTGCTGAGCCCGCAGGCCTTGAGATCTGCTTCACGACGAGCCAGCTCCTGGTAAACAGTGAAAGAGCTCAGCCACATTGCGAGCTCCAAACAATGCCTAAACCATTTCAAGCCGCAAGTTGTTCTCCTCTGTTGAATGAGGCAAAAGCTGAACCCCGAAGTAAGCCCCAATGGTCAGGTCTTTAAAATAGATGCTTCTTCCTGTTCTGGTTTCCCGATCAGGGAGACCTGACGACCATCTAGGACCCACAACTCCTCGCGCTGCTCTCCCAGGCTATCCCGCTGGGCCAGCATCCTTTGTGCAGCAAGCTTGGTACGCCCGGACATGTTCAGAACCCTCTAAGACTCTAAACCCAGCTACAAGCCAAACTAGCTTGCAGCTGTTTAGAGGGGCAGGGGTCAAAGCACAGCTCCAGGGAATGCGGCCAGGAGGCTCATGCTGCAGCTCGGCCAGTCCTGATGTCAGAGACCATGAGCTGATGTCAGAGATCATGAGCTGACATGCGCCCCCCCCCCCTTCCCCCCATGACCCGTAAGCCCAGGGCGTGAGGACACATCTCGAAGCTGCTTTAGTTCATCACCTGGGCTTCCGGGGTCCACGGAGTCGCGAAGACCTACATTCATAAGGAACCAGGGGGTGAAGGTAAGATACTTGCCACATCGTTCAAGTCAACGTTTGAAAGACCAGGCTCTCCAAATTCAACAATATAACATCATGGCTCGCAGTGTCACAGGGTGCACTTCGAGGCAGAGCAGATCGCAACACCTAATGAAGGCCACCACACAGCACACAACATCAAAGATGCGACCCGTCGCAGCTTACGATCCCGGCCCGCGCGAGCCTGTGTCTCTCCGGGACGGATTTGGGTGTCATTGGGAACATGCGAAAACAAGATAAAGCGAGACTTCCAAAATGCCCCATCCTCAGAATCATGACCCAGCAACAAGGCTGAGGACTCGGGCACAGGGGCGCTGCGCGCAAGGGCCCGCCGCCACGCACGTCGAGCGCCTTGCGCAGGGCATCCAGGAGCCTCAGGGACGTGATAGAAACACCCGCTTCGCATGCGCTTACGGGGAAGAGGTCAGATTGTACACTAGGCCCAATGTGCTTTCTTTTTTGGGCCGGGGGGGGGTTGAGGGCTTGGAGGTTTTACAGGGTTTGGATTTGTTTTTGTTTGTGTTTGCCGCACGTCGAGCTGATGACCATCACGAAATTAGGGACAAAACCGAGGACTAAAAAACCCTCGGTTGTCACGGCCTGTTACAAACCCGAGTCCTGAGCCGTCATGCGCAGACCGCAGAGCAAATGGTTGCAAAAGGCCATCCGAGCCCCCAGCTCGTCCCTAGCTAGGTCCTCTTCGGGCATCTCTTCGGCCTTTCGCCTGTTCAGGCTCCCAGAAGCCAGAAACTCCTAAGATTTTGCACTCCGCACCCCCGGGCCTCAGCCAGTCTGCAACACTGGGGGCGCCGCCGAACTTGACGCCTGGGAGGTAGACGGCCTCACAGCCGAGGAACCCAAATCCGAATAAAAGGTCCGCCCCTCCGAAGTCTTGAACACCGCGAAACATGAGCTCCTCTGTGCCTGGCTCAGCCTCCCCTCTTCGACTCTTCCAGCTGAGCCACATCAGCTTCGGACTCCTTGGGCTGAGACTCCCAGGTCTGACCGCACCTGTCGGCTTTCGGCGAGAGTCGGGGATGTCTAGCGCGTCGTCTGGGGGACCCTCCCTCTTGCGACCCCGCTTAAGGCGAGGTCTCGTGAGGCTGTGTCTAACTGGCGCAGCTGCCCACCGCCCAGTCCCGACAGTCCTCATACATCTTGGGCCCAGGCCGATCAACTGTGGATCGTCGTGATCCCAGGGTGCCGAGAAGCTCTGAAGTCATGGCCGCTGTGCAGAGGAAGCGGGGTCCGTGGCACTAGCATGCTCTCGGGGCCGGCAGGGCTAAGGGGGCGCACTGTGTCTGCATGCATCAGGTCCCCTGTTGCCCCTGGGAACTGAAGATATTGTGTAGCCTTGTCTACGCCTCGCCTGCTTCGATCAGCTGGATCCGGCTTGACCCCGAGGCCCGCACAAGGTTTGGCTCAAGCGCACGCTGCATGAAGACACTCAAGGCTTGCGCAAACGTGCGCTGCGCAGCTGCGCAGGATGCCAGTGGCTGTCTGAATTATAAAATTACCCGGGACTGACGTGGCTACGCCCCTTGGCCTGCACTCTCTGCACGTTGGCAGCCCCCTCCGGCGGCAGCAGCGCGGAGCCCTGGGGTGGTCCCGAGCCCTATACCCCCGAATCGTGGAGTCGACCATGGTCCTTCCCGTAAAAGAAGGGGAGTTGAGCTTGTTGGGGCAAGAAGAAAACAACGCAAGGGCTTGCTGGAGTACACTGCGTGCCCAGCCTTGGAACCTCCCCACACATCCTCTGCAAAATCTCTGCGCGCACTGCACACACACACACACACACACGCACACACTAACTCACCGCACACTCTCTGGCATGTGCTCCTGCTCCATCTTGTCAAAAACTTGTTTGAAGAAGGCTGACAAGCTCTCCGAGTTGACCTGGTGGCGCAGGCGCTTCTGCTTTGCTGCCAGGCCAGCCTTCAACGCTGAGTGGGCAGACAGATGTGTCTGGTAGAAGCGGTCCAGCTGCTATCGCGTCCTTTCACGAGGGTGCAGAAGCTCCCCATGCCGCGGCTCGGGCCAGATTCGCACTCAAAGCTTCCAAAATCAAGCAAGTGAGGGACAAGGGCTGGCCGCCTGGCCTGCACATGCTCCACTAGAGCAAGACCCAGAAACAAGAAAAGGGAGAAGAGCGCGTGCGGCCTGCACGGCTTTCCGCGCAGCTGCGGACATCATACCTGGGCCCTTTTCTAGGAAGTACTCGGTGGAGTCGATCAACCTCAGGCGTCGGGTTTGGGTTTTAAAGTCTGCTGAAAAGTTTCACGACACACCGTTGACAACAGCTGGCAGTTGTTCGGACTCTTCGAAAGTCCGAAGCCCAGCTGACTGAAACTGAAACGGATATGACACTAAAAGCCCCTTTGCAAGGCTCGGTCCACAGGAAAGAGAGAAAATCAGAACGTCTCTTCCCTACAAGAGCTGCATACCCGACATGCCTCTTTTAAACGCAATATTTTCACACCTCTGCCACGTTCGCACAAGACGCTCGTGCTGTGTCTTAGCCACGCGCTCCTGCATGGAAGATGACGCTTCCTCGCCGTTGGCCTGCGGCCACATACTGTAACAAGTGACGGCGAAACTACTGCGTCATGCGGAGGAGCTGCTACACAGAAGATTCATGCACGTGGGGGGCTCCGAAATAAGGGGCATGTTATTGGGGTCCTTACTATAAAGGAATCCTACTATTTGGGGGTCTATATTCGGGCTCCCTTACTTTCGTAAGCCCCCATGATCCCCGATGTGACCTTGTCTGAACGATAACGGAGAGTTCGCACGACGTCAACTGCTGAGCAGCGCCTTGGAATCCTGCACTGCTCCTGTCCGGCCTTGGAACTTCAGCACACAAAGCAAGGAGGTCCGACTTGTGATGTCGGTATTTCCACGCTCTAGCATTTAGAAGTCCTAACATCGTGTTGCTTGGGCATAACTGGCAGAAACGTGGGTGACCCCTTAAGTCTTGGCTTCCTGCCATCTTGTGGCTGCGCTGCCACCTTTGCAAGTGGCAAATCTGGTAGCGCCAGAAAAGCACATTGATACGAATCCTGTTGTGAAACCACATGAAACCACACAGGAAGATCCCAGGAAGACGTTTACAGCACACGAACCTCTCTTTGCTACTTTGCCAGATGAACCTGCACATAACGTTCGTGAATCTGCGCCTCTCGGCCTGCCAGATTGAACTGGACGCGGTGAAGAAGCAGTATGACCTGAGCAGGGGCCACTGGTTTGAAATTTGTGCTGCCGGAATGTTGATGTCCCCCGTTAAACGCCCTCGAATGCCATCCGTCTACTCCGCCCGGGAGCTGAGAGCCAGGCGTGCAGCGAGTAGACGGCGGAGGCAACTAGAGATAGGCACTCCACCTTCAACAGCCCGCAACCATACATTACCATGAATCCCCGTGAGATCACCCTGAACCCTAAACCCTAAACCAGGTATAAGCCTAAGGCCTCTGTTTTTCCTCTTGACCCCCCCACCTGCAGGTCCTTGAATGCTGCCAACTTGGCCTCTTTGTCTGCTGCCGCTTTGACCTGCCAAGGCACCTTCTGTTGACCTTTTTTTCAGATGGGTGGCAGATATTTTTCTAAAACGCCGGGGGGGGGGGGGGGGGGAAGGTCATACTTAGGAGGTCTCGCTGCGGGGCTCAAGTGGTAAGCCGCAAACCCCTTGCACAGAACTTGCACATCGACTCCGGTGGTGGGACGGCGCATCTCTTCAGCTGTCCAGGCCTTGGCCTGGCACGCCTCCACCTTGAAGCAGCCTCAACGGTTTTTCCCGGCAAAGCACAGGAGTTCCACAGCTTTCCAGGGACGTCTGATCCTGGGAGGCCGACCGGCATGCCGGGGCAAGTAGGCTCGCAGACCCTTGCGCCTGGGATCATTAGCCCGTCGGTTCTCTCAATAAGCTGAGTGCTGTGAGTGCTGTGAGTGCCGTGAGTGCTGGGCGCATAGTCATCGGAGACCTGCTGGTGCTTTTGAAATCGTACTCGAGCCTGTTGCTGCTCGGCCTGTGAAAACGCTCTCAGCGGCATGACACTGCTTTTGACCAAGTAACGGAACAGAAGTCACACAACACCAGGACATGCAGGGAGCCAAGCATTCAGCCCGACTCACCTCGTTAGGGCTTCGGGGCTGCGCTTTCAGCCTTTTTCGACTTCGTGTTTTGCGGTACAGGAGATGTGCCAGCCTGACTGTCGGACGAAGAAGCACCTGGCAAGACCACCGGATCTTTCCCTCACCTTCTGACTTCTCGGGATACGGGGACGGATGCTCTTTACAATCCCCCGGTCAAACCGAAAGCGGACGCCAAGTCAACATGCAGATTCAGCCGCCAACTTCCGTCAACTAAACACAACCGAAAGAACCATGTTCTCATCTAATGCTAGGCCGCTAGGCCGGAGCGGCAAGACCAAAATTCCGTCCCACCTTCGGCCAGTTCTTTCAGCAACCCCTCGAGAAGGCGCTGCTGCACCCTTGGCAGGTACACCTTGGCTTCAAGCATGTTTGTGTGTCACGGGTCAGATGCGAGTGGTACTGAGCCAAGGGCGCGAAGAGCATAGTACACTCCGCCCATGATGATGCCACTCGCAATAAACTTCTTCCTGACAGCAGTCACAGCACCCTTGAAGCTGGCGCCCCGATGTTTGCGCAGTCACAACCAGTCCTGTGGCGCTTCACAAAGTTCCAAAGCCTCTGTACGACCTGGAACGAGGCTCGGCTTAGCCTTCTCCTGTGGTCCCTGTAGGGCTTAGGGTTTAGGGTTTAGGGTTTGGGGCGTTTATCCTGCTGTGAAGGGCCGCTAGGCTGAGGAGCTGAGATAATTCCTACGAAGCGCCAACTATAAATTGCGGCTGTGTCGTTTCCATGGACTTGGAGTGTATATCAGGGACAGGCCCACGTAGGCCTGGCACCCAGAAGTAGTGTGCAACAAACTCTGGGAGGGTCAGGGGGGGGGGGGGGGGGGGGGACCTGGTAAATATGCTTTAAAAAAAAGCTATAAACGTACATGTTCTCATCTATGCACAATGTGCCTCTTGCTATGTGTATATATATACATATTATGTTATGTGTGCGTGCGTGTGTACTATGTCCCTATGTATTGTTGACGCCTCCCCCCTTGTGCTGAAACATTGAAAACATTTGAGACTTATTGAAACGCTTCAAGCTTTCAAACCGTTTCAAAGTTTTAACACCCCCTTGGGCCCCCTTCAGGCATAAAAAGCGTTTAGACAGCACACTTCTGGCCTACTTTGCTGCATTACTGTATAAACGCAAACCTCTCCTCCTTGATGTTCGAAGAGATTGCATAGAGTGTCGCAAGTGTACTCGACCAGCGATGCTGTGCCAGAATTGGATCCTGTAGCTTCAGGAAGTGGGATTCAGAAGCCAAACGTAGTAGCCCTCCCAGGCTAAGGCAAGATCCGAAGCTAGTAAGTCCGGAAGACCACCCTACTTAGGTGTGCAGCCCAAAAGCCATGGCAAGGACTGCAGCACAGGGCCGCTGCGCTGAGCAGGGCCTCACAGACAGTCCGGCAGGGCAGCAAAAGCAACAGGAGGGCAGCAAAAGCAACACGCAGAAAAGCTGCACAACGGGCTATGCTTAGCAAGAACACCGCCCAGCAAGAAAAGTGGTCCCGCTCCCGTGCCTGCTGCCAGCGGTCCCAGCGCTAGCTCTGCGAGCCAATACAGCTGCCAGCTACCCGTAGTGAGAGATACGAACGGCTCCATCGCTCATTCCTTCCATAACCCTTCTTTGAGAAAATACGAAACCGTGGCAAAAGCAGGTCAACGAAAGATAACAAATGCCATCGCACCCCTGAAATCACTGAACTGTCTCTCTGTGTCAACGACAACGCAGGCTGCAAGTGAAACGAGGCCTGAATCCTTCGCCCCTGCTTTGAGAGTCGAACAGGCCGACCCTGCGCTCCATGCACCACGCTTCCGGGAAGTGCGAGGTAGACGCGCTTCTGCCGCACACGCACGTACAGCAGCATCTGATTCGCTGATATCTCGACCTCGTTGGGCGGAGCAGCTTCGTCCAAATGCAGCTGCAGGTCCAAGGCTTCCCCGTCCCCGTTGCTTGTTTGGCGGCGCTGGTGCGTGATGCCTACTTCGCCCGGAGGCCACATCCTTAGTTCCCCATGAGTCACATGAGAACTGTCCAGCAAGGCGCCGCTTCGCTTCTTGCCAAGCTGGCATCGCAACACCGTCTCCAGGGTCCCGGGTCCAATGTGATACGTGAGCACCTTGCGGGCATAGGCCACGTAGTCCTCCAAAGGCAGGCTCGCACGGCTGGCACAGAGCAGCGCCTCCAATGCCCACTTTGCATGGTACGCGTTGTGCGGAGCCAGCTCCTCCATGATCCAGCAGCAGCGGCAATATGCTCGCGCGGCCTCCTTGTCCGCCTTGTCCGCGTCCAAGATGGCCGCAGTGGCCGCGAGCACGGGCACCGCACCGGCGCCCGCGAGCAGCACGCGCTCCAATCCCAGGCCCAGGCGCTGAGCGGCACCCTGCACCTTTGCAGAGCAGCTCGGCTCGCTCGGCCCCACCAGCCGCAGCATACCCCTCTGGACCAAGGTCGTAATGTCCTCGAAGATAGCCTGGAAGTCTTCCAGGGATGCTGCCTCATCCATCCGCCGCAGCACCGCCAGCACCTGGAGCGCATCTAAGCGTGGACGCGAATCGTCAGGAGCCATCTGCTGTACAAGTGCCGTGCATCAGCACATCTTGGCAGGGGCGACCCTTGTCGCTCGTTCTAAGATGTTCTATGGCTTCTTTGCAATTGGCGAACACAACCCCTTGAAGCTGAGAGAGGGCCTATATGCCTATGCTGAACTTCCGTAATTATAAAAAGTGGTCCCCTATATCACTCCCCGCCTCGGCTTCAGGGAGCAAGGCGGCCTCGACCAGCCCACGGTCCTCGTTCAAGTCAAAGCCGTACCTCTTCCGGATGTCCGCGCGGCGCTCCATGACGGGCTGCAGCACCGAGATGTAGCCGTCGGTAATCTCCTCTCCTCTTCGGAGGTCCCGGGCGGCGCGGACAAACATCATGTCGCCAAGAAAGACGCGCGCGGCGCTTGGCCTACAGGAGTGGTTCACCAAGGAGGCCGTCAAGAAAAGTGAGGAGACTTCTGAGGGCGCCGACTGCAACCCTGCAACATCCGATGTGTCAAGCTCGTGGGCGTTCGCAGCCAGGATGGCCTTGACCAGGCTACGGTTCACCGGCCGAAGTGGGCCTTGGGACACTTGGGACACTGGAGACCCCTGGGACTGGGGCCCTTCGGGCTGATCGCGGGCGCGGCACGTCAGCTGCGGCAGCTCGGGCACAGGGCCTTGGCTGCTGCTGCAAAGGAGGAAGAAGCTTCGAAACTCCTCCTCGGAGCAGCGGCTCGGGCACTCCAGCTTACGCACCGTAGCCTCCAGGAGCTGCGAGGGCTTGGCGACAGCGAAAGCCCGGTTTGCGAAGAGGAGCTCCCCGGCCGAAACATCCCGAGTGACTACCAAGCCCCGGCCTTTCCCAGCTACGGTTGTCACCTCCACGGGGCCCAGGAACTCTGGTACGTGGCTGGCTTGGCCCACCGGCAGCTGCAAGAGTTCTTCGAAGTCGTAGACACCCTCGTGCATGCAGACCTACAAGTTGACGTCCATGGGACGTCATGGCCGCATCGCACCCACAACTATTGGGTCAGAGCCGGGGCGGGCTGATTAACGGATATCAGGGGAAGTTCTTGCTCAATCCCAAACCTGCACCTCGCTTTTCGCCGGTCGGAGCCCAAAAACATGTGCTGGCACGCAGGAGCACCATGAAGCACCCTTCAGCCGTGTCGAGTGCCCAATACCGTAGGGCAGCAGCATGGTCTCACAAAAAGAAGTGCGGAGGTACTAAGGCCATCTGATGCCATCTGTGGCCGAGCTCGACACACAAGTGAGCCGTGGCCCTGGCTTCGAACATCTCTGCTGCCAACAGCAGCAGGCGACGGGCGGAAGGCCTTACCTGGGCCACAATGAGCCACAGCACGGCAGATGTTCGTGATGGCCCGTGTTTTCTGACTGGCTTTGAATTCTCATCCCAATGATTCCGGCGTTCTTGCTTTGTCTGCTTCGCATGATTGTGTTCTTGTGATCAATACCGGGCTGCATGCCATCCCCAACATGACTCGGGCGTGTATCGACTCCAGGTGCTTTCAGCGAGTGCTACATTGCGTCTGAGGTGAAAACGTAGACCTTCGCCTTCATCACGACCTCGCGGGCGCTTAGCACTCTTCAATGCACGCTACTACACTTGCAAGCTTCACACAGACGTCTCCCCAGTTCCCAAGTCTATCTCAGTCACATTACGTTTCCCTAAGTGGTCCCATGATGGTCCCTATCCTTTCCCGGAGCCTACCCCCTTTTGCAACAGGCTGGCTCCGCCTAAACCCTAAACCCTTTTGCAACTGGCTTGCAAAGTCACGCCAGGAACCCTAAACCCTGAGCCCTCAACCCTAAACCCTAAACCCTAAACCCCATAAAGCCTTGGCAAGACAACTGCGCCTTAGGATCCCCAGACTCGAGCTCCAGATCCAGGTCGGCAGCCCTGGGCGACAGAACACCTACAACAGGGTTTAGGGTTTAGGGTTTTTTTTTGCCACCCGCTTAGCTGACCTCTCGGACACTCTGGTTTAAGGTTTAGGGTTTAGGGTTTCGGGTTTAGGGTTTAGGGTTTAGGGTTTAGGGCCTCTGCCCCTTCTTCAACCTCTGATGCCCCTTTTAAAGGCTTGAGGCTGAGCCCCGCCAAGGCAGCTCTGAGACGGCGGCCCTAAGTTTGGAACTGCTTGACAGTGGCAGTGAACCAGTGTCTCCTTGGCTTTCCATCTTCTGACGTCCAAGGGTGCCATATGGGGCTAAAGGGGCCTCTGTTGGCTTATGGGGGGGGCTTTTACAGAGGCTAATAGGGCCTCTATGACTTGGCCAGGATGCGTCCAAGTCTAAAACCAGCGTCCGCCTTCCGCGGTGGGCCTCGACACGGAGCGAAGAACTGAGAGCTAGACATCGCCGGGCTGTGATGTGCCGGTGGCACCGAAAAAGGTCCCTGTTTCGTTCCTTCCCTGTCTTGTGTTTCAGAGGCAGAGGGCCTGTTCAGGCCACTTTGTTCAGGACCTGTTCGAGGTGAAGATTCCCAACCAATGTACATATACGAGTTGGGTAACATGTCTGCATAGCAGAGCAAAGCTGCCACAACCACGAAAAATATACCTCGCCCCTGACCTGGCAAGGAATCGGGAAGTGCTTTAAGAATCTAAGAAAGTGAATTGCGCCAGTGTTTTGCAGGAGTGCACTCCGGTGACCTGTGGTGCTCGGTGAAGGCAGCTCTGGACGGGAGGTCTCAGTTCTCTGGCGAAGATGAGGCTTGCGTGCGAACTGGCGAAGAAGGCCGCCTCTATTGGTCAAGAGGCACGAGGCTGGCGGAGGGTTAACTTTTTAAAGCTGTGGCTCCCCTGCTGTGCTTTTTTGTGTGGGGCGCAACCCGCGTTCTGGCGATAAATCGCGCTCTCTTTCTCTCTCGCCTAGGTGCGGGCCTCGTAGAATTGGGGAGCGGCTCGGAGGGAGTGGCTCGGAGAGGCTCGTTTCATTGCAGAAACCAAATTTTTTGCGCTGCACGGCATAACACCGCGTTCTGGCCTAGGCCCCGTGCATCTTAGCTGTACGTTACATCGTGCTCCCACCTAGGTCCTCTTGCACCTCGCGTCATGGCCTTACGTTGGTTTACCCGTAGAATTGGGGAATGGCTCGGAGTGGCTGTTGTCGTAACAAAAGCCAGGTCTAGCATGTCTTAGTAAATCGCATTCTGGCCTAAAGCCTTTGCATTCGCATAATGAGCCTCGTCTTTCTGCAGCAATATTCCTCTTGAAGGCATGATGCTCTTACACGCAAGCTTGTGCGTGCTGCAGTAGCCGCCGTGAGTGAGCAAGAGAGAGAGAGAGAGAGAGAGAGAGAGAGAGAGAGAGAGAGAGAGCGAGAGAGAGAGAGAGAGAGAGACACCTCGCTCTTTCGGCACGAGGACTGCCTCCAGTTGTGGAGGCAGCAAGGTGGGCTGCTGAGCAGCCATGGCATCGTTCACAATCTCAGCTGCTCACTCCGGATAGCTGTCGCCAAGTGCCAAAAAACTTCGAGGCGCAAGCGTCGCATGGATTCAGAAGCACCAGGAAATCAAGGGCAGCCTGCCAAGAGCCTAAAGTGAGCTCAGAGACTCAAGAAGGCGGCAACACGGCACATGGCACCTTGACCTGCTGCGGCAATTGGCCCACATCTATGTCCTCACAACGGGCAAAAAGGGGAGGGTGGGGGGGGGGGGGGGTTGTCAGAGGGGGCATGTCAGAGGGGGGTGTCAGAGGGGGCCCTAAACCCTAAACCCTAAACCCTAAACCCTAAACCCTAAACCCTAAACCCTAAACCCTAAACCCTAAACCCTACCCTAAACCCTAAACCCTAAACCCTAAACCCTAAAAACCCTAAACCCAGGGGGGGGGGAGGGGGGTTGTGGGGGGATGAAAGCAGCTCAAGAGCAGGGAAACATCCCTGTCCGGCAGCGAGAGGCGCGGCATGGACACCTGACAACTTCAGGGTTGTGGGCTTGGGGTTTAGGGTTTAGGGTTGTGGGCTGAACCGATTTTACGAAAATATGGGGAGCCCTAGAGTAGGATCCCCTAAGAAGATGAACCCCAAGAAGGTACCCCTGATTTTCGAAACCCCCATAGATTACAGTCTGCTCATGATAGTCATGATGTTGCACAAGGTTCGCGTAAAGCCTCGCGTTTTGTCTTTAGTGCTTATTTAACCTACGCGTGCGATTAGTACAAGTTCTTTGCTTTCGCGGCTCGTTTGCCCTCAGGCTTTCCCCGCACTCTGTGTGTCCATGAGGGTACGAGTACGTGGGCGCGTGCGCCACGGTCGGTGCGGCCATGGTCCGGTCGGTTCCGCGCGCAACTGTCTACGGTGGAGAGCGCGTCATTGCCGTGGTTGTTGGTTTCTTCGGGGGTGGGTCAGGTTGGGTCTCAGTTGCAGTTCCAAGGTCCCCATACATGCTGGACTACCCAGGAAAAGTTCGCTACTGGCTCCCTGCCAACACCAGGGTTGCCGAATTAACGCGTCCCAGGGCCTTGCCAGCTCCTTTCCAGAGTCTTGAACTCGAACTCTAGTAGCAGAACAAGCCACTCCCTAAAAGTTTTGCGAAGGAGCCTGAGCCTGGAGACCCGGCGAGTTCACTTCTAGTCTTCGACTTCTGCATCTGCCACGCTGCACAGGTTCACAACTTAAGAGGTTCCAGGATGTACGGATGCTTACAGGAGAGGGTCATGGGCTCAGGGTAGACAGGGGAGTTATGAACCCAAACCCTAAACCCTAAACCCTAAACCCTAAACCCTAAACCCTAAAAACCCCAGTGCCTTCTCTTCTGATGCTAGGGCCGGAGCGGAGAAGTCGCGGAGGGGTGCGCGCTGCGGCGAGGGGTCGCTCACGGCCTCTAAGGGCAGCCGAGCTCGGAAACTGCTCTGCTGGCAGATCATTGTTGGACTAGTTTTATAGGGTTTTTACAGGGTTTTTATAGGGTTTTTGTTGGGTTTTATAGGGTTTATAGGGTTTTTGTTGGGTTTTTGTTGGGTTTTATGCGCAGGCCTCTTTTTTGGCGGCCGTCTTCCACACCGGTGTGACGCCTGAGCATTTCTTTTTGCAGCTTTCTGGGACGAAGAAGCTGTGCCAGCACTGCCACGGTCTCAGGGTCACAGCCTCCCTTTTCATCGATCTCAGAGCACACAGGTTTTGGCTGTTTGTGAGCCAGGTGGGGTTTGCGTTGTTCTCGTCAGGTTCATCCGCATCTATGACATTTGGGATAGAGTTGTTGGACCGGAACCTGAACGGATGCACTGACGATTGTGAGTGATGTGGTATTATATACAGGTGACCCACACTGCGCAACGAGCACCGTCACGGCAGTGGGAGGCCTCTTGATCCAACCTCTTGCTTCAGAGATGTCAGGTCTTCCTACAATACGCACTCACACAAGTGCTTTCGCCGGTCTTCCAGCCACATTGCACGACAAATTTCGTGGGAAATCAATGGCGGCCACTTGCCGCAAACCTTTCTGAACCAACAATCTGATGCACGTCCCGTCTCTGGGTGACTCCTCAGTAGAAATCATGTAGTAGGGGTTCCACGGTTTCACTCTCGACGTTGCACGCAGATTTAAGAAGTGCAGGGCTCCCTGGCCGCTCGCACATGGCAGAATCCTCTAAGAGGAATTCGGCCAGGACAACAAAAATTTGGAAGCATCATCAACTTCACTCAAACAGCAGAAAAATGTCCTAGGCGACCCGTCATTGAGAGTCATGGAAGCCGGAATCTTACGCTGAGGTCCGTGGCGAGTCGCGAGCTTGCGGGCGATGTGATTAAAAAATCGCCACGCGCAAGTTGCATGGGCTCCTTGCATGTGCTTCTGAGGGAGGGAGGGAGGGTTGAAGGTGGGGAAGTCATATGAAGTCATAACAAGATTGGTCCGGCCTGAGTTGAGTGGACACTTGAGAATGGCATGCTTGCATGCTCAACGGTCAAGTTCAGCTACTTACTTAGTACAAGCAGGTGGGCCAGAGAGCCCCTCCTCTGGCCATTGGACCTGCTGACCACGTCAGCGACCTACGGGTATTGCTTGCATCTGCGGCATCATACCTGCGGCAAGTCAGGTCGTCATCTCGCCAGAAGAGGGCAGTCAGATGCAGTGAGGATTCTTGCAGCTGGGAAACCTTGAGGGCCCTGGGGTAGACACACCTGGAAATAGTTGGGCTGGGGCTGCGCGAACTGCGGCTTCATCTGCGCCATCAGCGGCGACGCCTGAGACTGCGCCACTGGCGATGTCATCAGCGGATAACCTGCGGCTACAGTGTGTTGATTCTGTTTTCGAAGAGCGAGGCCAGGCATGGTTAGGGACCGAAGAGGCACCATTTCTGCAGCCGAGGCCTGATGTGCTTGTGACCCAAATTTGGTTTCCGCAATGCCCGCAAAAGCGTGGGGCTCCGCAACAATGGCAGTGGTGGCCATCTAGGTCGGTCTGGCCCATCCCGTGCACCATGGGTCGTTGCACACCTCAAGTTGCCAACCCTGGCGAACCAAGATCTACCAAGGTTTGAAGAAACTGATGAGAAACACGTGGGAGGCTCAGTGCGAGGCCACAGGGGCTTCCGCAGCAGGGCGCCATGCAAGGAGTGCTGGGAGAGGACAGCGCCTCGAAGGCAGGCGAGGTGATGTGGCCGGCCTGCAAAACTCAGATGAGCTTCTGATGTTCCACACAGTTCGCGATAATTCCTGGCAACCTCAGAGCCTGCAGCAAAAAAGGAGATGACTGAATCATGGCGGCTTGTTGTTGGTCGTTCGCGCGAAAATGCTTTCCTTTCGCCTTTCCCGCCCTCTTTTGGCGAGACTGGCGCGAAGCCCCCTCAAGTAAGGTCACCTACAGCAGAACCGCAAGACACGGACCTCTAGAGCAACCCTCAGAGCTCGGCCTGCGAAGGGCTCCAATCGGCCCCTAAGTCGCTGCCACTCTCGTAGAGCTCTCCTGATGCTGTGGTAGGGCTGCCATCAAGGTTGCAGATCATGGAGACCTCAGACAATGATGGCACGTCAGAGCACAGCAGCTCACGTAAAGTCATGACCGACTTTGTCATCTTAACTATGGCGATCTACTTTATGGAGTTTAAAGCGAACAAGCAAGCTACTAGAAATGAGTAGGTCTTACTTGAGGGCACCTTGAAAAAGTTGTTGAAAGTTGGACTGGTGCTGCTGACGCCGCGGATTTGCACGCTTCACACGCTGCCAAAAATGAAACCATTTGACCCTTCCGCGTCTTCGCGGCAAAAGCAATGGCGTCCAGGACTAAGCTCGGCTGGAGGAGAGCTTAGGGCCACGTGCCGCCAAGGCACTTTTGAGGCAACCTTCGCAGCTGCGCGGGAGGATGACGGCAGAAAGTACGCGCCAGGGTTGGCAAGGAATCTTGCCAGCTCCTCCGCGGCATCGGCCACCACCTCTTCTAGCCCCAGGATGAAAATTAGATCCTCTTCCAGCCGAAATGTGACGCACATGACCTGGTCACAGGATGCCACAAGATGCACTGCAACTTGCGGAGTCTCTCGTGGAGTTTTGCAAGGCACTTTGGCTTAAAACGGCCTGTGCCATCTCATTGAGGATGTCCAGGTTCAAGGAGGTGCTGTTGGGGCATGTGACGAGGCGCTCCATGCACATCTTCTGAAAGTCGTCCAAGAGCCGGTCGGCCAACGCGACGGCCGCGTTCGGCCCAAAGAGACGCACTTCGCACTTCGACCGCTCTATGTGCAACCGACACCCACTCTGATTCTGGATCTGCTGAAGGGCGACGGCAGTATGGCCATCGTCTTGACCAGTCCTGGGGAGGTTGCGTGCCGGTGAAGGGGTCTGACAACCCTGTGCCTTGCAACAAACTCGTGCTATTGAGAGTCCTGGTGCGCATGAGCTCGGCCCACGCTGCGCGGGAGACCTCTTTGCGCGGCCCCTTCATGGTCTCAAGATGGCGCTCCACGTTTTGGATGGCGTCTGGAGAGCCGAACACCTTGAGCACACCTCGAGCACGGTCGAGCTTCACGGTGGCACTCCTGGCAAGTACATGAAGGGACAAACACAGCCCAGATGGCCGACTAATGTCAATTGAGCTTGTCGCACGCACAGCTTTTCGGCTGGAGGAAAAATGTCGCGAAGCGACTTAGATAACCAAAGCGGCTCGGCATGGCGTAGCGAAAAACTCAAGGATTCAAAGGCTTTCAAAGAAAAAAACACCTCACAGGTGATCTTGTGTTTTTCCCCACCCTCGGTGTGGGGTTGTTAGAAAACTTAACTCTGCTCCTCGCCCGCAACTCTTCTCCTCGCCCGGTGTACTCCTCGCTCATCCCTGGAGTGCCCAACCCCAAAGTGTCCCTGGAGTGCCCAACTCTAGAGTGTCCCTGGAGTGCCCAGCCCCAGAGTCTCCTGGAGTTCCCAACCCCAGAGCCTCCCTAGAGTGCCCAACCCAGAGTGTCCCCACAGTGCCCACCCCAGAGTCTCCCTGGAGTGCCCATCCCCAGAGTGTTGCCCAACCCCAGAGTATCTCTACCAAGAGAGGGTGGGGATGCTCGAAATAAAATAATTTGAGGTGTTTTCTGCAAGCTGTTCCAAACGTTTCCTGACGCGATGTTTCTCAGCTCAAAACACCAGAACCTATCATCACCTTGTAGACCTGCTCTTGCTGAGCGGAGATCAGAGACATCAGAGCTCGCAAGCATATGGCAGCATATGGCAGCCCGAGCCCGAGTTCAGCCAAGCGTCGTAGCTTGCTCGATCTCAAGCAGGCGGCGGCGTCCACGTCGGCAAAACCCATTTAGGAGGCTTGGTTCCAAGCAAATCTCGTGCCACATCGAGCGGCGGCCCTTGCAGCAAAAGGCACATGTGGGAACACAGTGCTTTTTCAGGAGTTCCTGCGTGTGTCAGTCTCAAAACCCCCTCCAGATCGAATCCAAGCGATAGTCCTCGTAGAGCGCTCCAGCTGCTGAGGAGAAGGCCTTCCCACTGTGCTGCTTGCAGAAAGACAGAGCGGGTTTCGGGTTTCGGGAACGCATCACCCACGACACAACACGACACCTCCCTGTTTGCTGCGTCCTTCCCCTTTCCTATCAAACGTCTCAGGTCCACAGACCCGTTTCTCACAGACAGTGGCTTCAATCGATGCCTTGAGAGGCTCATGCTCTGCAAATCGCCCGGCATGTCTCAACATCGGGCTGGCAAGGGTTGGGTGGAACATTCGAACACGCGACAAGGGCAGAAGGCCTCGAGATTCGGCTGCGACATCTTGTTCGCTGTTGGCTGAAACATTGGGGTGCTGAGCCCTCGGGGAAAATACTCTCTACTACTCTACTCTACACTGCCCAACCCCACTGGTTGGCGCACGAAAGCTGCGGCGAGGAGGCTAAGCAGCCAGACAACAACAATGCAGCATGGCGCAACAAATCGCACAGGTTGAAAGACACCAAAGGCGCAAGAGACGGCCGAGGATCCAACAGGACCCACAGTTGAGAGCCAGGACGGACCTCTCTGGCACCGTTGCAGCGTTGTAGATGTTAGAAGAATGAGAGATGCGCTGGGACATGCTGAAATGTGCCCCCCCCCCCTCCCCCAGAATATTCCCCCATCAGGGGGCCCTGCTTTGCGTCCGATGCAAGCTCAGCTGGAAAAGTGCCCACCGCCCCAACTCGTCGGAGTCGGGCCTTGCCCCTCTCAACGCCTCGCGTAGACTCGACGTAGACTTCTCAAACCCCTTTTACGTGGAAGGTCAGTACATGATTCCGAGTCCATCCGAGTTCTCAGTGCAAGACTCTCCTCGCTATCCGAGCGCTCGCAGCTGCCTCGCTTGCCCATGCCTCACCTGGCAGAGCTCTGCGACCCTGACGGGGACGCGCTGTGCAACAACACACCGCGTCGCCGTGCCTCAATTGCCTCACGTCCATCTTCCCATGTTGGCGAGTTGGATCGGCGAGTCCCCGTATGATCGTGCCCGAAAATGCGGGAATCTGCTGGAGTCTGCCAGCTGCTAGCTCTAGCCGCACTGCCACCAACTAGCAGTCTACTCCACCCAGTGCTTCGAGAAGATGCCAGTTTGAGACAAAGGACCTGCAAACGCCAAGTCTCCGATCCCTTTACCGGCTCTCCTTTTGATCACCACATGGGACGGGCGAGGTTTTTTAGTCTTTCCTTTTTGACTGCCTTTTGTTTGCGACTGTACTTCGTGAACATTGAAACTTGGAGAGAGTTTCCTCGGTGATTTCTGTCATTTTGTTTTTTTTGGGGGGCGGGGGCGGGGGGGGAGGGGGGGAGGGTGGCAAAACGCAATGGCTTGAGGCACTTGTATTGAAGAAATTCATCTTCATGGCACAACGTTTTTCTTTCGCACTGTTTGCTGGGTTGTTCCTTCATCCGTCATTTCTTTTGTTCGCTAGTTCTTTCGTTTTGTTGTCCGTATGTCTGTGTTCCTTTCCTTCGGCTCCTTGTTTCTTCATTCACGTGTTGCCGTGTTTGTCTTGTTTCGCCATTTTTTGTTCCTCGCGCGCATGCTCTGCTCCCTGTTTGGTTCTGTCCCTAAACCCTAAACTAAACCCTAAACCCTAAACCTTTTTTCTGCTTTTGTTTTTCCAGTGGGAACGGCGACTGGGGAGACGAGAACACAAGAAGTGAAACATACAGTGCCCCACATGGCCCGCCAGCTGCTCCGTTCCAGCGGTCCTGACCTTCTGTTCACACGCTCAACTCCGACAGCTCAGCGCTCCAATCCTCTTTGCCCGACATCGTCGCCTGGCAGAATGAGAATCTGGATCAGCTCACAGCTAACTGCTCGGCAATGAGCCAGAACTACTAGCATGACCTCATGTCCCAAGCGGTGGTAGGACTCAACGGGAGAAGCATCAGATATTTGTTCAACCATGCCCTTTTCATTTATTCTTAGGAACTGCTTCGGGATTCCTTCTAGAGGCTCACTGCTTTGGCAGATCCCCTCATGCCTGCGTTCTCTGCAGCCAAAGGCGGAACGTCCAATGCGGACGATGTCGGCCGTAGGTGCAGCTGACCTGCTACGACCGCCATGTAGAGGAACCCAACAAACCATCAACCAAAATCGAACTGCCTCTCTGGTCCAACAGGGCATCGCGGTAGTCACCTACAGGTGTCATGCGGTGCATGGTGGCTGCTGGAACTCTTGTATCGCTCGGAATGCAAACGCGGCTCTTCTGGGCGAGGCCACGCAGCTTAAACGACGGACGCTAGGTGTCTAGTTTCGCCGCTGCCGGAGCAGTGACGAGGTCGTCAAGATTAAACTAACTATGTCAAGTGTCAAGATATACCACCAGTCCATGGCATGTCTCGGAAACCCTCCGATCCCAGGCTTACCGGGCTTACTGGAGCAGGCCCCCCGTGCAGCCTTTTTCACGCCTTTTTTCTGTCTGGAAGCATCACGATCAGAACTCGCTTCTGCTAGGCCTTCCTACATATGTACACGTGCGCCGCGGACAAAGCTGTTCAGGTGGAAGACACACTTCTCTTCCTTGGCTGTGTGACAACACAAAGCGAAGCTTCTGTTCGAGGAGTGACTTTGACAATCTTGACTGCTTGCATAAGTCCTGTGCGTCCTATTCTGGTTTGCAAGCCTGGGGCACCACTCAAACATACCTAAACCCTACAGTACTCTACAGTAGCCACAGACCGCAGAATTGCCGTCAAAGCACAAACATGTTGGGCGAAAGCATATCGCCGTGCCCAGTTGCAATGCGCACCGCGGGGCCTCGAGCGCAGCTGCCGCTGCTAAACATGCAAGTGCGCGGTGGTGGTGGTACGCCTCAGACTCGCACTGCTGGAAACAGTAGAGGCAACAGTCAAAAGAATCGGAAACCGCAGCCACAACCTGAAGTTTAAGACAGGACCGTTAAGGCCCAAACCATGACCCCGGAATATCAGAATCTCACAAGAAATTGGCCAGACAAACCTGTTCCGGCTTGCATGTCACGAACGCTTGGCGAACACAACTAAATAACGTTGGCATGGCCAACATTGTTTAAGATCAAGATGGTCGACAAAAGAATTGCAGGTAGTCCAAGTCATTCCAGGCCCCATCGTGGTGTCCACCGGGAGCGGACCGCTGCCGAAAGCGGCCAGGCCAAGCAAGTGGTGATACCACTGCTTGCCCATAAACAACTTAAGGCTCAAACGCAGAGAGGGCTGCGAAAGATCGTCGTTTCAAGAAAGGATCGAATGTTGTATAGCATTATTGCTGGCAAGTTCGCTTCTGTGGGAACGTTGTTCTACAATCATTTCAATGGATGAACACGTTTGACTTCAAGACGCCTCCTACATGCGTGGGCTTTGATCTTCGATGTAGACATCCTGATCTGAAAGTTGCCAAGGTTGAAAAAAAACGAACACATTGCTTCTGGAGCATCGTTGATGCAAGCAGAGCATTTGTGACTGAGATCGGCATCCATGCAGATCTCTAAATTACACGTGCAACGGCGGGGCGGGTCAATTGCTTGAAACTGCAATGAGTGCTTGCTTTTTACTGTTGAAACGAATCCAAACCGGATTCCAGTTTCAGCAAGCAGGCAGCCAGCAAGCAGGCAGCCAGCAAAAGCTTTTCATCCAACAGAAATTAGGCGTATACCTGCGCAGCTTCTAAGAATCCGAGCGTACGAAAATGTTTGATGTGATTAAGGCAGGCGTCTAGGCAGCCTTAACCAGAGCGTGGAAGCACCCGGCGCATTCGGCATCACGTTGCCAAACAGCTGCTCCTAGGTACCTGAAACATGGAGACAGGATGTGAGACAAGATGCAGTGAGTAGCTCCTATGCTTGCAGGTCGATAGGCCCGCTGTTCCCTAGACCCAGAACTTCCAGCGCTAGCAGCAAATTCTGAAAGAACAGGCAAGATGCTTGCAGTGAAGCTGGCACTCGCCCTTCTGAACGCGAACTGGGGCCCACAACTGCAGCGCAGAAATCTTGCAGCCCTGGCAGTCTGGGTCGTGCTGCCACACCGCCACACCAACGAACTTGCAATGATCCTGGCACAGCTGAATTGGGAACTTCAGGCGCCGACTTGGGAACTTAGGTATGTTGAAGTTTGCAGAGTGCCGTGCAGCAACAGGCGCCTCGCATTTGTCGGCTTCCGTCTCCGCAGCCGCTGTGGAGAACAATGTGCAGTCTTGACAATTTGCATCATATGGCCACAATCCTGACGGCTCATGTCGGCAGTAGTCGCTGCAGGATGGAACCTTAGAGTTGCCCTGTCCAAGTGAAACGGCACAATCCTTGCACTCGGGGTTGAATTCTCGCACGGCTGTGCCAACATACTTGCAGTAGTCCGCGCAGCCAGCCTGTTCTTCGGCGCCGGTCTGCGCCAGCACTGTGCATGAGCCGCAGTTGGCATCATACTGCCACACGGAGGAGGGCTCGTACTTGCAGTAGTCCTTGCACTCGCTTACCTGAAGCAATGATGTCTTGCACCCCTGGCAGTCGGGGTCATACTGCCAAAGAAGGGATGCAATGTAGCGGCAGTGGCTGACACATTGGTCAGTTGTATTTGTCGCGGCACTTGATTCTGATAGCTGCTGAGCAAAGGACGCAGGCTTGCAGTCCTGGCAGTTGGCATCGTATTTCCAGGCCGCAGAAGGCTCGTACTGACAATAAGGTTGGCATTTGCTTCCCTGATTCTCTTGCAACAGGTATGGCGCTCCGCAGCCTTGGCAATCTGGGTTGTACTGCCAAACTGCTGCCCCAACATATTGGCAGTAACTGAGGCAGCTCAGTGTTGATCTGTTCAACAGCGGCTGCCCATAACAACCCCCACAGTTGGGATCGTATTGCCAAACAGCTGGACCCTCGTACTGACACCAGTTTGCACACGGATACTGTGAAGCATGCTCCTCAACAAGGGAGGACGCACAATCTTTGCAATCGGGGACGTTCTGTCGCACGGCTGTGCCAACATACTTGCAGTAGTCCGCGCAGCCAACCTGTTCTTCGACGCCGGTCTGAGCCAGCACTGTGCATGAGCCGCAGTTGGCGTCATACTGCCACACGGAGGAGGGCTCGTACTTGCAGTAGTCCTTGCACTCGCTTACCTGAAGCAATGATGTCTTGCACCCCTGGCAGTCGGGGTCATACTGCCAAAGAAGGGATGCAATGTAGCGGCAGTGGCTGACACATTGGTCAGTTGTATTTGTCGCGGCACTTGATTCTGATAGCTGCTGAGCAAAGGACGCAGGCTTGCAGTCCTGGCAGTTGGCATCGTATTGCCAGGCCGCAGAAGGCTCGTACTGACAATAAGGTTGGCATTTGCTTCCCTGATTCTCCTGCAACAGGTATGGCGCTCCGCAGCCTTGGCAATCTGGGTTGTACTGCCAAACTGCTGCCCCAACATATTGGCAGTAACTGAGGCAGCTCAGTGTTGATCTGTTCAACAGCGGCTGCCCATAACAACCCCCACAGTTGGGATCGTATTGCCAAACAGCTGGACCCTCGTACTGACACCAGTTTGCACACGGATACTGTGAAGCATGCTCCTCAACGAGGGAGGCCGCACAATCTTTGCAATCGGGGACGTTCTGTCGCACGGCTGTGCCAACATACTTGCAGTAGTCCGCGCAGCCAACCTGTTCTTCGACGCCGGTCTGCGCCAGCACTGTGCATGAGCCGCAGTTGGCATCATACTGCCACACGGAGGAGGGCTCGTACTTGCAGTAGTCCTTGCACTCGCTTACCTGAAGCAATGATGTCTTGCACCCCTGGCAGTCGGGGTCATACTGCCAAAGAAGGGATGCAATGTAGCGGCAGTGGCTGACACATTGGTCAGTTGTATTTGTCGCGGCACTTGATTCTGATAGCTGCTGAGCAAAGGACGCAGGCTTGCAGTCCTGGCAGTTGGCATCGTATTGCCAGGCCGCAGAAGGCTCGTACTGACAATAAGGTTGGCATTTGCTTCCCTGATTCTCTTGCAACAGGTATGGCGCTCCGCAGCCTTGGCAATCTGGGTTGTACTGCCAAACTGCTGCCCCGACATATTGGCAGTAACTGAGGCAGCTCAGTGTTGATCTGTTCAACAGCGGCTGCCCATAACAACCCCCACAGTTGGGATCGTATTGCCAAACAGCTGGACCCTCGTACTGACACCAGTTTGCACACGGATACTGTGAAGCATGCTCCTCAACGAGGGAGGCCGCACAATCTTTGCAATCGGGGACGTTCTGTCGCACGGCTGTGCCAACATACTTGCAGTAGTCCGCGCAGCCAACCTGTTCTTCGACGCCGGTCTGCGCCAGCACTGTGCATGAGCCGCAGTTGGCATCATACTGCCACACGGAGGAGGGCTCGTACTTGCAGTAGTCCTTGCACTCGCTTACCTGAAGCAATGATGTCTTGCACCCCTGGCAGTCGGGGTCATATTGCCAAAGAACAGATCCAACGTACTTGCAGTATTCCGCGCACGTGTTTCTGGTTAGCACCTCACGAAGCCAGATTCTTCGCAGGGTCACTGTACCGCAACACATGCAGCAACTCTCTGTGCGAAGCTCGCTACTGGTAGTACTTCAGATGAGCTGCTGTTTCGCTCGTCGTCCCTTAGTCCACACCAGACGCATGGAAAAGCAGCGTGAAGTTGGGGGGGCGGGAGGTCGGCCAGGTTGGCCAGGCTGCCTCAAGACAGAAGCCCCACAAGGCTGGAAAGGATCTTCGAGGTTGGGACCTGTAAACCAACGTCTAAATCTTTTGGTGTCCAGCAAGTCGCTAGCATCTGGGACAGAAAGGCAAGTATCAGCGGCTGGCCGAAAGATCAGGCAAGGCTCGCTCACTAGCTGACCTCCCCGCTGCTTCGGCTCGGCCAGAATCAAGCCTCCGACATCAACTCCCATGGAAAGCACAGTGCTGCACAGACACAGGAACTTCCCTCCATTGCGTCTCCATGTCTCAACTGCACAAGCAAAGCCGAGACACGCGTTCTTCGAAAGCTCCATCTTGACCTGCTGAGATTTGGTTGCCCACATGCAAGCAGATGGTGGGATTATTGGAGCACCTGCAGCAGCTCGGTGTTGATGCTCTCCGCAAAGAGGTCCTCGTCCTGTGCGAAGTCCTGGTAAAGTCGCCACCACGGAGCAGCGAGCAGTGTCACATCGAGCTCCCGCCTCGAAGGAAGCGGCGGAAGCGGCCGAGCCGATGAAGCACGATGCCATGAAGAGGCGGAGTGCCATGCTGCAGGGTGCAAAATTGGGCAAGGGCTAGACAGACGGAGCACAAGTTTCATGCCGCACTCAGAAGCTCAGTCATGCTCAGTCCTTTGCGAAGTGGAAGAGGAGGAAGATCGAAGAGGTATGCACATAGAGACACGAACGGCAGGGGATGTGAGATTGCAGCCCCTGCTTCCCAGAAGCTTACAGCCAAATGCAAAGGCAAATCACGTCACCTCCAGGAGAACAGTAGAGATTCTATCTCCCAGGAGTCCGGACCCTCTGCCTCTGAATGCCCTGTAACAGAGTCACCACCTGGACTGCCTCTTTACACGAGGAGACATGCCGAAGTGACACATGGGCGCTGAATGGGCATAACATGCTCGAGCCTCGAACACAAACTGATAGCTGGGTGCCTGGCGGTGCTGGCGACTGCATGGCACCCTAGAAGGTTCTATATCTCTCGGCAGCTCTGTCATACGGCGAGGTCGCGGCTTCCTCATCGCCAACGGGCTTGTTGCATCTGCTGTGTCTGCGTGTGGTGTTGCCAGAAGCTACCGTCCCAGCTTCCCTCAACACTCCCTCAACACTCCCTCAACAATGCTGGCCCAGCTTTTTCGTTCCATTGCTAGGCTGCCTGAACAGCAGGGGGGTATGAAGCGAGGGTGCCGGATGCCTCCTGGTGAGGACGACCTGGCTCAGTCAAATCTCGGGACCGGCCTCAGGCCTGGTCGCCCTGCCGGGCCCATCCTAAAGAAGTAGCAGCAACACCAAGGGTTCGGCTAGCTGACCGTTTTGTGCCGGGATTGACGCTCGCAGATATGAAATGCACTTAACCCCCATGTAAGGCTAGCTGTTCATGGCCGGTGGCCAACCGATTCTCAGACGATCATTACAACCACCATTGCAAAAGCAAGAGCGTCTGCAAGTACTTAAGCATGTGTGTCTGTGTGTGTGTATGTGCATGTGCATGTGCATGTGCATGTGTATGTGTATGTGTATGTATATGTATGTGTATGTGTATGTGTGTATGTGTATGTGTATGTGTATGTGTGTGTGTGTGTGTGTGCGGTGTGTGGGGTGTGTGTGGTGTGTGTGGTGTGTGGGGTGTGTGTGTGGGGTGTGTGTGTGTGGTGTGTGTGTGTGTGTGTGTGCTGTGTGTGCTGTGTGTGCTGTGTGTGCTGTGTGTGCTGTGTGTGCTGTGTGTGCTGTGTGTGCTGTGTGTGCTGTGTGTGCTGTGTGTGCTGCGTGTGCTGTGTGTGCTGTGTGTGCTGTGTGTGCTGTGTGTGCTGTGTGTGCTGTGTGTGCTGTGTGTGCTGTGTGTGCTGTGTGTGCTGTGTGTGCTGTGTGTGCTATGTGTGCTGTGTGTGCTGTGTGTGCTGTGTGTGCTGTGTGTGCTGTGTGTGCTGTGTGTGCTGTGTGTGCTGTGTGTGCTGTGTGTGCTGTGTGTGCTGTGTGTGCTGTGTGTGCTGTGTGTGCTGTGTGTGCTGTGTGTGCTGTGTGTGCTGTGTGCTGTGTGTGCTGTGTGTGCTGTGTGTGCTGTGTGTGCTGTGTGTGCTGTGTGTGCTGTGTGTGCTGTGTGTGCTGTGTGTGCTGTGTGTGCGGTGTGTGCTGTGTGTGCTGTGTGTGCTGTGTGTGCTGTGTGTGCTGTGTGTGCTGTGTGTGCTGTGTGTGCTGTGTGTGCTGTGTGTGCTGTGTGTGCTGTGGGTGCTGTGTGTGCTGTGTGTGCTGTGTGTGCTGTGTGTGCTGTGTGTGCTGTGTGTGCTGTGTGTGCTGTGTGTGCTGTGTGTGCTGTGTGTGCTGTGTGTGGTGTGTGTGGTGTGTGTGTGCTGTGTGTGCTGTGTGTGCTGTGTGTGCTGTGTGTGCTGTGTGTGCTGTGTGTGCTGTGTGTGCTGTGTGTGCTGTGTGTGCTGTGTGTGCTGTGTGTGCTGTGTGTGCTGTGTGTGCTGTGTGTGCTGTGTGTGGTGTGTGTGGTGTGTGTGGTGGCTGTGTGTTCTGTGTGTGCTGTGTGTGCTGTGTGTGCTGTGTGTGCTGTGGTGTGCTGTTGTGCGTGGTGCTGTGTGGCTGTGTGTGCTGTGTGTGACTGTGATGGCTGTGTGTGCTCGTGTGTGATGGGGTGATGTGTGTGCTGTGTGTGCTGTGTGTGCTGTGGTGTGTGACTGGGTGCTGTGTGTGCTGTGTGTGCTGGGTGTGCTGTGTGTGCTGTGGTGCTGATGTGTGCTGTGTGGGATGTGTGTGTGTGTGTGCTGTGTGTGGTGCGTGTGTGGTGTGTATGTTGTGGTGGTGTGTGTGTGTGTGGTGTGTGTGGGTGTGTTGGGTGTGGATTGGTGTGGTGTGTGTGTGGTGTGATGTGGTGTGGTGGTGTGTGTGGTGTGTGTGTGTGTGTGGTGTGTGTGGTGTGTGTGGTGTGTGTGTGGTGTGTGTGGGGGGTGGTGTGTGGCTGTGTGTGGTTGGGTTTGGGTGTGTGTGTGGTGTGTTGGTGGTGTGGTCGATGTTGTGGGGTGTGTGGTGTGGTGGTTGTGTGTGTGGGGTGTGTGTGTGTGTGTGGTGTGTGTGTGTGTGTGGTGTGGTGGTGTGTGTGGTGGTGTGGTGTGGTGCGTTGTGTGTGGTTTTGTGTGTGGTGTGTGTGGGTGTGTGGGTGTGTGTGTGTGTGTGTGTTGGTTCTGATGTGGTGGTCTGGTGTGGTGTGTGGTCGGTGTGGTGGTGTGCTGTTGGGTGTGTGTGTGTGTTGTGTGGTTGTGTTGTAGGGGTGTGTGTGTGGTGTGTGTGGATGTGTGTGCGTGTGTTGTTGGTGTTGTGTGTGTTGTGGTGTATTGGGTGTGTTGTGTGTGTTGTGGTGTGTTGTGGTTGTTGTGTGTGTTGTGTGTGGTGTGATGTGTGGATTTGTGTGTGTGTTGTGTGTGTTGTGTGTGTGTGATGTGTGTGGGTGTGGGATGTGTGGTCCCTGTGTGTGTGTGATGTCCGTGTGTGTGTGTGGTGGGTGTGTGTGTGTGGCGTTGTGTGTGTGTGTGTGTGTGGTGTGATGTGTGTGTGTGTGTCGTGTGGTGTGTGTGCTGGTTGTGTGATGTGTGTGTGTGTGTGTGTCGTGTGTGTGATGTGTGTGTGGTGTGTTGTGTGTGTGTGTGTGTGGTGTGTGGTGTGTGTGTGTGGTTTGGGTGTGTGGTCTGTGTGTTTGTGTGTGGCTGGTGTGTGTGTGTGTTGGTTGTGGAAGTGTGTGTGGGGTGAGCGGGATGTGGTGTGTGTGTGGTGTGTGTGGTGTGTGTGGTTTTTTTGTGTGTGTGTGTGTGTGTGTGTGTGTGTGTGTGTGTGTAGTGTGATTGGTGGTGTGTGTGATTGTGAGTGTGCGTGGTGTGTGTGTGTGTGGAGTGTCGGTGTTTGGTGAAGTGTGTGGAGCTGTGTGTGAGAATGGGGTTTTGGGTGTGTGATGTGTGTTGTGTGTGTGTGTGTGTGGGATGTGTGTTGTGTTGATGGTGTTGTGATGTTGTGTGTGGGTGTGTGTGTGTGTGTGTGTGTGGTGTGTGTTGTGTGTTGTGGTGGTGGGGGTGTGTGTGCGTGTGTGGTGTGTTGTGTTGTGTGTGGTGTGTGTGTGGTGTGTGTGTGTGTGTGTGTGTGTGTGTGTGTGTGGTGGGTGTGTGGTGTGTGTGTGTGTGGTGTGAGTGTGTGTGTGTGATGGGTGTGGTGTGTGTGATGTGGTGTGTGTGTGTGTGTAGTGTGTGTGTGATGTGTGATTGTGTGGTGTGTGATGTGTGTGTGTGTTGTGTGTGGGTGTGTGTGTGTGTGTGTGGTGTTTGTGAGGTGTGTGTGTGTGTGGTGATGGTGTGTGATGTGGTGTGATGTGGGTGTGATGTGTGTGTGATGTGTGTGTGATAGTGTTGGTGCGTGTGTGTGTGTGTGTGTGTGATGTGTGTGTGTGATGGTGTGTGGTATGTGTAGTGTGTGTGATGGTGTGTGTGTGTGTGTGTGAGTGGGGTTGTGTGGTGGTATGTGTGTGTGTGGGTTGTGATGTGGTGTGTGTGATGGGGTGATGTGTGATGTGTGATGTGTGATGTGGATTGTGTGATGTGTGATGTGTGATGTGTTGATGTGTGATGTGTGATGTGTGATGTGTGATGGTGTGATGTGTGATGTGTGATGTGTGGATGGTGTGATGTGTGATGTGTGTGTGTGGTAGGTGATGTGTGTGCCTTACGTGTGTTGATTTGTGTGATCTGTGTGTGGGTGTGTGTTATGTGTTGTGTGTGTGTGTGTGTGTGGTGTGATGATGGGTGCTTTGGTGTGTGTGGTTGTGGTGTGTGTGGTGTGTGTGGTGTGTTGTGTGTTGTGTGGTTGGTGATGTGTGTGTGATGTGTGTGATGTGTGTGTATAGTGTGTGTGATGTGTGTGTGTGTGTGTGTGTGTGTGTGTGGGTGTGTGTGTGTGTGTGTGTTGTGGTGTGTGTGTGTGTGTGTGTGTGTGTGTGTGTGTGTGGTTGTGTTGTTGTGTGTGTGTGTGTGTGTGTGTGTGTGGGTGTGGGTGTGTGTGTGTGTGGGTGTGTGTGTGTGGTGTGTGTGTGTGTGAGTGTGTGTGGTGTGTGTCTGGTGTGTGTGTGTGTGTGTGTGTGTTGTGTGTGTGGTGTGTGTGTGTGTGTGTGTGTCTGTGTTGTGTCTGTGTGTGTCTGTGTGTGTCTGTGTGTGTGTGTGTGTGTGTGTGTGTGTGTGGGGTGTGGGGGTGTGTGTGGTGTGTGTGTGTGTGTGTGTGTGTGTGTGTGTGTGTGTGGTGCAGTGTGTGCGCGTGTGTGTGTGTGTGGGTGTGTGTGTGTGTGTGTGTGGTATGGGTGTGTGGGTGTGTGTGTGGTGTGTTGTTGTGTGTGTGGGGGGTGTGGGGGGTGTGTGTGGTGATGTGTGGTGATGTGTGGTGATGTGGTGTGTGTGTGTGTGTGCGCGTGTTTGTTTGTGTGTGTGTGTGTGTGTCAGAAGCGCGCTTCGCCAGAACAAGACGGCCAGATGTCCATCAGCTGCTTCAACGTTCGCAACTCGCCCGTCGTGGTCAGGATGTCCCGGCGCACTTCATTTCAGAGAGCGCCGGGGTACATAAACTGCGCATCCTGATTCCCAAGCAGATTAAGGGAAAAAATCTCTTGCATCGGCCTCTGATCCCCTTCGGGGCTGCCCAGGCCAGGGCTTCATCTGCGAAAGAAAACAGGGGAGTCCTATGCTCCCAGGGGAGCGGCCTCGGCCTTCTAGAGAGCAGACTTGGGTCCCATGAAAGCTGCGAACTGAGGAAAACCAATAAAGACCTACCATGGGGAGGTCACAATAAAACTGAGGAAAACCAATAAAGACCTACCATAAGAAGCACAATAACAGCAAACCATCGAATCATCGGCCGTCGCCGCTCCGAGGAACGAACTAGTGCACCGACCCAGCCTCCGGAATCGCGACAAAGAATTTGCGAGGGTCAGGATGTCTGGGGGCCTCCAGCCCCCCATAAAGTCATAAAGGATACTCATCATATATATATATATGTACATATACAAAAAAAATATATACATATATATACAGAAAACCGGTCACTTCAGGTTTGGGACTTAAGAGATGAGTATGTACCTGCCCTGCTAAACGCGAAGGCATCAGACAGCCGTGGTGCTCAGTCAACTATACATTAGAACGGGCAGATCGAAGTAAAAATTGCTCATTAACTCTTGCTACTCTTGTTGCTCTTGTCCGATTGTGAGCTTAAGACGCTCGAGGCAACACGCGACCCAGAACTCACATTGATGCCCTTGTTGTGCGCTATCTTGCTCAGCAGCTTCTCCATGCTCAGCAGCCTGTTCTCGACGTGCTGCAACTTCTCCTCCAAGCTCGCCTCCACCTTGCGGTCGTCTTCCGGCCACGGAACTGATGGTGCCGTGGGGCCGCCGTATCGGAGAATGGAGTCCTCGGTCACCGTGTGATCATTCGCCGGCTCATGAATCTGGATGCCCCCGGATGGGCCGGAGTCGCCTTCGTTGAATTCCAGGCGCTCTTCGAAGTTCAGTGCACGGAGGAACTTCGCAAATCGAGCTTGCCGAGCTTCTGCCAGGACGGACACTACCACGCCGGCCCGATTGAGTCTAGCAAGCCCGGTCATGTCGGCAAACATGGTGCGGTAAGACTCTGTGAGCTGGGCGACCAGGAGGTTCATCAGGAGGACAGTGGCCAGCGCAACAAAGATGGTCAGGCACACGAAAATTGGAAAGTCGTCCTTGGTCGCCTTGAAGTCGGCGGCCGGGAACATCCCGACCGACATCCGAACCAACGCGCTGATCCAGGACATGACGCCATCAAACTCTTCCAAGTTGTGCTGGAAGGCACTCAATGCCGTTGAGAAGGTCAGGATGAGGAACACCAGCGCGAGGAAGAAGAGGCACACCTCCACCACGACCCACCGGCAAACCAGCAAGAACGCCGACAGCCGCATGGAGAAAACTGTGAAGTCGGTCGTTAGCAGCCAGAACAGTACCATGCCAATGGCGGAGAAGATCGAATAGACCCGGACCTCTGCGTCTACTCCACAATGTGTGGTGAAGAGCATGTACGCACTCTGGCTGTCCGTCCACGTATGTGAACACCACAGGATGGGCTCGAAGGCAAACATAAAGATCAACACCCAGACCAAGCTCACCCGACCGACTTGCTGGGTACTGGTGAGGGATTTTGGGATGGGAACGCTGCAGATCTTGATCACCTGGCCACTACTGATGTCAGAGCCGAAGTCCTTGATCAAGCCGTATGACAAGCCACAGAAGCTTGCAAGGTACAGCCAGACACGGAATGCAAAACGAGCCACATTCACCTCGAACACTTCATCGGCATCCTTTCGCTCCTTCATTAAGGACTGGCTGACGAAGAAAAGACAAAGCGTGAGGAGAAAGTAAAACCTTCCCCAGAGGAACTGGTAAGCGGCGAATCCACTCCAAATGAGGTCCGTGGTAAAGGAGACAGCGAGATGGCTCATGATCTTGGGGTCTTTGTAGTGCACCAGCCATTGGAGTGTAGGGCTGAATGCGCCCTTGCCATCCTGCACCAAATGTTTGATGTAGAGGTTCACGCGGCGCGCCCCTTCTTTGGTGAGCCGCGAGCGCCAAACCAGACCGTCGAAGAGAGGCATCAACAGACTCGGGGCGCTCGCGCACATCTTCTGCACAATCTCAGGATGGCGGGTGAACAAGGCCTCGCAGCCGTAGTAGTACACGTCACGGTCGGCCCGGATGGTCAGCAAGTCCTCGATGATGGCCTTTGCGCAGTTTAGGCTGCCGCTGTCGATGGCCCAGTACAAGGGCGAGATCGTCTGGGTACCCACAGAGATGCTCAACACCTCCATAGCTCGCTTGCCACGTGGAGCAACTGACACAGCTTGCCGAACGGCAGACTCCTGATTGGTGTTGATGGCCTTCATCACGACCGTCGAGCCTTCGAGGATGACGCGGGTCAGAATCTTGGTGATCAGCGAGAGTGACCACCGGAAGGCTTCGGACACCGACTCGTCATGACAAAGATCCTCGATCGCCTCACAGTACGCTTGAACCATGGGTGGAAAGTACTCTGTTGGCACGCCGTATCCCACATGGCGCAGGCCAAGACCTGAGATGTCGTCTACCACGTGCCGAGTGTTCTCGTAGATCTCCATTGTCATCTCCATGATCTTATCCGCAATGTAGTACATCCTGGTGGACGATTGCTTCATGAAGCTCTCGGCGCTTGGCGTTAGCTCAAAGAAACGTGCAAAGACTGCTTGCCGGGTACGCGTGATGCTGGCCTCGTCCAGGCCGCCCAGAAACTTGTGAAGCACTTTGCAGTAGTTCTGAGGCACGCCCATCAACTTCTTGAGCATCTTCTCCATGTTTTCCCAAAACCAGTTCCACGCGACCTCGTGGTCCATATCCCACTCCTGGGGGACCATTGACCTCAAGGAAGCCAACATCACGGCCTTGAACTGCGGAAGGAGGATCTGACCCTTGTAATTGGAGATGAGCATAGAGAGCACCTCACACTCCTCTTGGAGCCGAGTGGTGTTGGCCACGTTCGTCGCCATGGCACCGAAACGTGGGAGGACGATGTGCATCCACTTACTGTCGGCGAAGCCCATCACGGCTGCGTTGAAGAGAAACATCTCGTTGAATGTGGTGGGCACCTTCACATCGCCGCGGGTGGCAACAACGTCCACAACCAAAGCGTTTTGGCCGTCATCCTCCTCCGACTTGTTTTGGGCCTGGGCCTTTTTGTCTAGCTTCTCGCCAAGGCCACTAGGGGAGGCTGCTGCGTCCTCCGTGCCCGTTCCCTCATCTTGCTCTGGCTCGGCGTTTTCAGGAGGAGGTTCCGAAGGCATGTCGGCATGGTTGGCAATTTTCCAGCTGCGCTGGATGGTCTTGATGCGCCCGCCCAGTTCTCTCCGGCAGTACACAATGGCACCGCCGATGTAGTTGAGCATCGCAACGACTCCTGTGCGAGTCTCTGGATTGAATTCCCGCCCAAGCTCTGCCTCCATGGTGCCTAAGATGGCCCCGCCAAAAACTGCAAGTCGCGGCTGGGTCACTTCACGATCCAAGTGCTGAAATCCGAGCGTCTCCACCGAAGTCTTCAGAGCAAACGGATTGTTGCTCATCGAGAAGATGTTGCTCAAAGTGTTGGTGAAGGTCAGAGCGAAGATCGCCCTGGGGGTCTTGAACAGCGGTCGCATGCTCGGCGCATCTTCGAAGATGGCATCGTAGATGGCCAGGCCTGCTTGTTCGGCAGAGGCGAACTTGCCAAGGAAGTCCTGCCAACACTGGCGGATCTCTTCCGCCATGGCGATCGGCAGGTGCAACTCTTCGAACTCATCCTCATGCACTTGCTGGTACTTCCGGATGACCGCACTCTTGACGTCAGCCTCGGCCAGGCTCACATTGTCTTCGGTGACTTCGGTGGCTTCCTCACTGTGACACTCTTCCATTTCTACGGCACCGTCACCGTTACTCCCATGATCCGTCAACTCCTCGGCGTCGGACATCGCACAGATCAGTGCCTTAAATCAATTCAAGGCCGGCTCCCGGCGCTAGGCTAAGGAGCTCGAGCCTAAACCCACGGGATTCACGGGGATGTCTTCTCTGGCAAGTCACGGCCTAAGCGGCCCAAGCCCAGCGTCGGGGCCGCTGGCTGCACCGCAAACATGAGCGACGCGCAACATGAATAGCGCCACAAACTGCACCACAGACTTCTCAAGGACATGCTGCAGCAAAGGTCTGGAATTCTTTGTTGGCCTAAGCCTTGATCGGCTTCCGGCGCAAACTGCCCCTAGTGCGGTTTTTAACATTCTGGGCTTGTGCGAGACTGTAGGGTTTCGGCGCGGTCTCTGAAGCGCACGTAGAGCAACAAGAATCTGCACCTCCTCTGGGCGGCTTCCTTTTCAGCCCAGCTTTGGGAGTCGAGGGTTCGAGCTGGGTTTTCGGTTAGGTTCATTACAATTGGCCCCCCCCCCGGAAGGTCCAGGCCATCAGTTTCTGGCGGGCCTGCTTTGGGCTGGAAGAGGGGCGGCCTTTCGTTTTCTGACTGTGCATCAAGAATGTCCCGAACACCGGAAGCAAGGGAATCTAGTGGACCCTAACGGGACCATGCCGTCGGCTGATTCTTGGCACCGGTTTTGGCTCCCGGTTTATGGTTCTGGGCCGCGCCCTGGTCCGCGCTGGCGGCGCCGCAAACCCGATTAGGGTTGCCCCTCTTCTGTTGAGGCAATAGGGAGTCTTCGGCCCTTCTTCTTGTCGGCATTCTTGGACATTGGCTCGTGCGACAGACGACTGCCATGGTCACTACTACGTAGTCATTAGCCGCTTAGCCATTTGGCTTGCCGACAAAGAGTCATAAGAAGTTTTCGGTCTCCTCAGGGATGTGTCATGGTGAAGGGCCCATTCAGGGTTTTCGCAGCCGTGCCAAAGCAAGTCTGACAAGCCGGGAGCGACATTGTAACTCGGGGGTCAAGCCTCTTCTGGGCCCCGGTCCTTGCCACGAGCTGCGCTGCTAGGAGGGCCTGCAGCGCGAGAGCAAGGGCGACAGCACGATCCTGAGCCCTTGGTGCTACCCAAGCCAAAGCCTCAAGACAGATGTAATGGTGCCAGGCTTTGGCACCGAAGCCGACTGCGCCTTCGGCACTCCTCTGCGCTGTTACTCGGCCGCGAAGGTGAAGGCGGCTTCGTTCCGGTGCAGCCTGCGCTCACGCTGACAAAGCTGCGGGTGCGTGTGTGCAAGCTGCGTGCCAAGTCCCGCAAGTCTCATGAAAGCTCAGCTCTTTCTGTCACAAGGGGGTATATGTGGCGTTCGTGATTTCTGCATGCACCGGAGGCGGCATCGCGGAATTGCAGCCGCGGCCGGACAAGAGTCCGTTTCGCCGGCGGAACTTTGCCAAACATGCCCTTGTCAAAAAGAGTAGAAGCGAGGCACAACCATATATCGTACATCCGTAACATGCTGCTCGTCGGAGCACAGTGCCACAAGAGAAAGATCCAGGGCAAAGTGCTGCAACACTAAAGCCCAGCTCTCTTCTCAGCTCCAACGCTATGCAGGCGAGCGATGGCGAGCGTGGCAAAGTTACGGAAGCTTGTGGCCCTGATGGCGTCCGCTGGACGTAGTGCTCCTTGATGTGCGGCCCTTTTCATCTCGTGGTTAAGGGTTTAGGGTTTAGGGTTTAGGGTTTAGGGTTTAGGGTCTAGGGTTTAGGGTTTAGGTAGGCTGTTGCAATCCCTACCCAGGCCGAGACCAATGACGGCTGAAAGTGCTTTGCATCGTCTCAGCCGTGAAACAGTTTTCTGGAGGTCTCCCGAACTGGCCTGGATCCAAGAGATGAAGGCGCTTGCTGAAAAGCTGTCTCATAATAGATCATTATAAATTCTCCCTTCCCCCGAATATTAAAGCGCCCCCCTACCCCCTAATATTACATACCCCCCGTTCTTTGCTGTACTAGAGGGGGAAGGGAGCAGTTCATGGAGTGCCCTGGACCTCTTCCCCTTCTGGGGGCTGACCCTTGGCTTCATCTGTGCGACAAGAACTCTTGAAAACGAGGGGCAATCAACTTCCCTCGGCAAGAGCAATAACCGCCATGGAAAATTTCTTAATCATCCCCATCCTGGGAACTACTGGGGTTGATCGATCCAGTCGCGCTTACATGCGACCGAACCCTTCACAAAGGAGAGTCCATTGGACTCAAGGGACTCCATTGTCAGGATCTCTGGAACCAGGGAACTCCCGGCCTTTTGGGCACCCGCGTATGCCTTTGGCTTCAGAAAAAAATGAGGCTTTACGCGCCCTGCTGCCTGCAAGTGCTTCGTTTGAGGTTCAAGGCTGCGGTGCTTGCTTTAACATGTAAAAACGCACCTTGCTTTCACCGTGCTCATTGGCTCTTGATGCTCTTGTCCGATTGAGACGATGCCTTTGAGCTGGATCTCGCACTTTCTGGTTTGTGCGGGACATGGATGTTACTCTTGTGTGCCATCTTGATGAGCAGCTTCTCCATGCTCAGCAGCCTGTTCTCGACGTGCTGCATCTTCTCCTCCATGCTCGCCTCCACCTTGCGGTCTTCCGGCCACGGAACTGATGGTGCCGTGGGGCCGCCGTATCGGAGAATGGAGTCCTCGGTCACCGTGTGATCATTCGCCGGCTCATGAATCTGGATGCCCCCGGATGGGCCGGAGTCGCCTTCGTTGAATTCCAGGCGCTCTTCGAAGTTCAGTGCACGGAGGAACTTCGCAAATCGAGCTTGCCGAGCTTCTGCCAGGACGGACACTACCACGCCGGCCCGATTCAGTCTAGCAAACCCGGTCATGTCGGCAAACATGGTGCGATAAGACTCTGTGAGCTGGGCGACCAGGAGGTTCATCAGGAAGACAGTGGCCAGCGCAACAAAGATGGTCAGGCACACGAACACCGGAAAGTCGTCCTTGGTCGCCTTGAAGTCGGTGGCTGGGAACATCCTGACCGACATCCGGAGCAACGCGCTGATCCAGGTCATGATGCCATCAAACTCCTCCAAGTTGTGCTGGAAGGCACTCAATGCCGTTGAGAAGGTCAGAATGAGGAACACCAGTACAAGCAAGTAGAGGCACACCTCCACAAAGACGCAAGAGGCATGTCTTTTTATCCGACAAGTCCTTCCTGCTCTGCCACTCTGCTTCCACTCCTCCTACTCCTCCTGCTACCAGCTCAGCTCCTCGTGGGAATACTCTTACTACTCCTCCGACTCTACTCTACTTGTGCTCCTAATCCTACGACGACCAGTAGCACGAGCACGAGAGCTAGCAGCACGAGTTGTAGTAGCAGTAGTAAGTAGTAGAAGTACGAAAAGCAATGGAGTAATAGAATTCATGGAATTACAAGCAACGCCCACAGACGCACGCCCGAACAATGCCAGAACAGTTTTGCAAGTGATCCGCGGAGCCGCCCTGTTCTGGTCAAGTTCAGAGCCACCACTCAAACAGAAAGCCCTGTTTTTTCTCGTGCTGCCTCGACAACGACCCACCGGCAAACCAGCAAGTGTGCCGACAGCCGCTTGGAGAAAACTGTGAAGTCGGTCGTTAGCAGCCAGAACAGCACCATGCCAATGGCAGAGAAGATCGAATAGATCCGGAGTTCCTCCTCCACTCCACAATGCGTGGTAAAGATCATGTACTTATTCTGGCTGTCCGTCCTGGAAGCACACCACAGGATGGGCTCGATGGCAAACATGAAGATCAACACCCAGACCAAGCTCACCCGACCGACTTGCTGGGGATTGGTGAGGGATTTTGGGATGGGAACGCTGCAGATCTTGATCACCTGGCCATTCCGGATGTCAGAGCCGAAGTCCTTGATCAAGCCGTATGACAAGCCACAGAAGCTTGCAAGGTACAGCCAGACACGGAATGCAAAACGAGCCACATTCACCTCGAACACTTCATCGGCATCCTTTCGCTCCTTCATTAAGGACTGGCTGACGAAGAAAAGACAAAGCGTGAGGAGAAAGTAAAATCTTCCCCAGAGGAACTGGTAAGCGGCGAATCCACTCCAAATGAGGTCCGTGGTAAAGGAGACAGCGAGATGGCTCATGATTTTGGGGTCTTTGTAGTGCACCAGCCATTGGAGTGTAGGGCTGAATGCGCCCTTGCTATCCTGCACCAAATGTTTGATGTAGAGGTTCACGCGGCGACTGCCGTTACTGATGAGCCGCGAGCGCCAAACCAGACCGTCGAAGAGAGGCATCAACAGACTCGGGGCGCTCGCACACATCTTCTGCACAATCTCAGGATGGCGGGTGAACAAAGCCTCACAGCCGTAGTAGTACACGTCACGGTCGGCCCGGATGGTCAGCAAGTCTTCGATGATGGCCTTTGCGCAGTTTAGGCTGCCGCTGTCGATGGCCCAGTACAAAGGCGAGATCGTCTGGGTACCCACAGAGATGCTCAACACCTCCATAGCTCGCTTGCCACGTGGAGCAACTGACACAGCTTGCCGAACGGCAGACTCCTGATTGGTGTTGATGGCCTTCATCACGACCGTCGAGCCTTCGAGGATGACGCGGGTCAGAATCTTGGTGATCAGCGAGAGTGACCACTGGAAGGCTTCGGACACCGACTCGTCATGACAAAGATCCTCGATCGCATCGCAGTACGCTTGAACCATGGGTGGAAAGTACTCTGTTGGCACGCCGTATCCCACATGGCGCAAGCCAAGACCTGAGATGTCGTCGACCACCTGCCGAGTGTTCTCGTGGATCTCCATTGTCATCTCCATGATCCTGTCCGCAATGTAGTACATCCTGGTGGACGATTGCTTCATGAAGCTCTCGGCGCTTGGCGTTAGCTCAAAGAAACGTGCAAAGACTGCTTGCCGGGTACGAGTGATGCTGGCCTCGTCCAGGCCGCTCAGAAACTTATGAAGCACTTTGCAGTAGTTCTGAGGCACGCCCATCAACTTCTTGAGCATCTTCTCCATGTTTTCCCAAAACCAGTTCCACGCGACCTCGTGGTCCATATCCCAATCCTGGGGGACCATTGACCTCAAGGAAGCCAACATCACGGCCTTGAACTGCGGAAGGAGGATCTGACCCTTGTACTTGGAGATGAGCATAGAGAGCACCTCACACTCCTCTTGGAGCCGAGTGGTGTTGGCCACGTTCGTCGCCATGGCACCGAAACGTGGGAGGACGATGTGCATCCACTTACTGTCGGCGAAGCCCATCACGGCTGCGTTGAAGAGAAACATCTCGTTGAATGTGGTGGGCACCTTCACATCGCCGCGGGTGACAACAACGTCCACAACCAAAGCGTTTTGGCCGTCATCCTCCTCCGACTTGTTTTGGGCCTGGGCCTTTTTGTCTACTAGCTTCTCGCTACGGCCACTAGGGGAGGCTGCTGCGTCCTCCGTACCCGTTCCCTCACCTTGCTCTGGCTCGGCGTTTTCTGGAAGTGGTTCCGAAGGCATGTCGGCATGGTTGGCGATTTTCCAGCTGCGCTGGATGGTCTTGATGCGCCCGCCCAGCTCTCGCCGGCAGTACACAATGGCACCGCCGATGTAGTTGAGCATCGCAACGATCCCTACGCGAGCCTCTGGGGTGAATTCCCAGCCAAGCTCTGCCTCCATGCTGCTCAAGATGGCCCCTCCAAAAACCACCAGTCGTGCCTGGGTCACTTCACGATCCAGGTGCTGAAATCCGAGCGTCTCCACCGCAGACTTCAGAGCAGATGGATTTTTACTCACCGAGAAGATGTTGCTCAAAGTGTTGGTGAAGGTCAGAGCGAAGATCGCCCTGGGGGTCTTGAACATCGGTCGCATGCTCGGCGCATCTTCGAAGATGGCATCGTAGATGGCTAGGCCAGCTTGTTCGGCAGAGGCGAACTTGCTAAGGAAGTCCTGCCAACACTTGCGGATCTCTTCCGCCACGGCGCTCGGCAGGTGCAACTCTTCGAACTCATCCTCATGCACTTGCTGGTACTTCCGGATCGCACTGTTGAGCTCGGCCTCGGTCACGCTCACACTGCTCACACTGTCTTCAGTGATTACCTCCAAAGTCTCCTCCGTTTCCATGTTTTCGGTGTGCTCCGGCACGTCCTCTGTGTCGGCCATGGCACTCCGTGCTAGGTCGAAAGAGGTACAGGTGTAAGTTTAACCGCCACACGTGGCCAGTGCCGATTGGGTCTAAGTTTGGGGGTTTCTCGCATCTTTACCAAAAGTACCACCCACAACGACGCTCGTGACCTGGGAGATTGTTTTCCAACGAAGAAAATCTCTGTTTTGATCTGATACAGCTGGCAGCCTGTCCAGCATGCGCGGCTTCAATGCACATGTGCACTGACAAAGAAACATCCAACTGGACCACCCTGGGTCTCAGGCATTTCGCCTCAGAGTCTGGGGAGCCAGGACTTCGGCTACCTGCAATGGAGCGCTTGGCCAGCCATGGCTGGGAGGCTTCTTCCATACTGCAAATCCCGGATCCGAGCCTCATGTGCATCATGTCCATCTGCCCCATGCTGAAGAAGTGAACCGCTGAGTCCCAACCGAGCATGAAAAGGCACACGTGCATGGGAATTTGTGGACATACGTGACACATAAGTGATGGTGGCGTGACGCTGGAGAGTGCTGGAGTCAGTACAAGTGGCTTTCCGCCACGGAGTTGCTTGCTTGATCTAGCTTGACACAGGTGACCGGAAGCTGCCGAATCTCTGATCACACCGATGCAGAACATGGAGCCCAGCCCACATGGCCCGTCCTTGCATTTTACGAATAACCGCTGAACTCAGACAGCTCAGCGCTCGAATCCTCCGACGTCCCGTCATGCCGTCTTCGCCTGGCCACTCTCATGCACAAATGCCTAGTATGACTCCTGGACTCTTGGACCCTTGGAGCCCTGGACTCCGAGCCTAGTTTACAAGGCCTAATGCGCTCCCCCCCCCCCCCCCCCCCCCCCGAACCACACCCCGGAGCCCCGAGGTGTGACTCGCCTCAAGGCGGCATAGAAAATGAAAGGGACGATGACAGCCACGGCCACCAGCACCGCGATGAGCCACCAGTAGGCAGACTTAGTGCAAGTCTGTGGTTGACGGGTTTAGGCCGCCCCGGGTAAAGTGTTCCTGGATGAGTAAAAGAGCGCCGGCGGCCCAGGGAGACTCCCTCTTGGCTGACGCGATGCCCCACAGGGTTTTTGCTGCGTCTAGGGTCTTGGATGGGGGGCATGGCCGACCGAGGCGGGCTTGGGGGCTCAGCATTGTGGCATAGTCCAACAACACGGGGCAACCGATTCTCCTATTCAACTCAATTTATGTGTGTTTTATGTAGTTCAAAAAAGGCTGGGCCCGATGCCCATTGGCGTGCAGGGTCGGGTGAGCTGCCTCGTTGGCTCATTGCAAAGAGCACTTGTTCTCGCGGGTACGGCTAGTGAGGCTCGTGGCTGGCAGCGGCTGCTTCTTTCTTTGAGGTAAAGTCAGACATGTGCACATGGAGCTGGAGAAGTTGGTGCGCCTGGAGGTGAGGGAACCCTCATCAGCATGCTGAGCTGGATATTTCTGGAAGACCTTGCGGGACGCGGCTCGTGCGGAGCATCTCAGGACTCCCAGGTGGGCTTGGGCCCCAGCTCCCCAACCAGTGCGCGAACATTGCTGGGAACGATCCTTGGGGTTGCTCGGTACCCGACGAACTCTTCACACAGCTTCCGAGGCCCAAGCCATCGCTGAAACACGGGATCATAGAAAGACACTTCTCGAGCCTTAGCTGCGGGCAGGACCTCGAACCCAACAAGGAAACATGGAGTCTGGGACTCTCACGATCTCAAGCATCCAGCAGCACGCCCCCCAAAAAAAACACTCCGGCTTCAACCCCGCCAAAAAAAGGGGAAAGCTCTTCTGTGAGAGTCTGCCCGGGGGCCTTGAAGTGCAGCAACACCGACTCGGAGCTGCCTGCCGGGATCATCCCGGTTCTCCTCGGGCAACACTCTCCCTTCTTTCTGAAAACATGTTGGGTCGGAGTGACTGGAGTGAGGATGGGTGTCAGGGGCGTTCTCCCGTTCCGTTCAAGGTTCCCAATTCAACACAGCTCTGCTACGATGGGGCCGGAGGTTTGCGCTGACAAGTAGGAAGTCGGTGGACACAAGCCAATGGCACCCGATTTGGGACGTGTCTGCGGAGACTGTCCAAAGTCCAGCCAAGCATCTGAAATCCTCTCAAGATCGGGCTGGGATAGCCCGCCTAACAAGATGGCGCAGGGGTTCCCCATAAAGCCGACCGAAAGAAGGCCAAGGACGCCTCCGCTGGCATCTCCAAGTAGCACTGGACCACCGTCCGCCCTCGGGGCACTGAAGCTGCAACCCCAAAGTGCCGAGCAACCAAAGGCCGAGAAAAGCCTAAAAGCCGAGAAAACCCACCTGCTCGGGGGCCCGTGTTGTGAACCACCAGGCGTAGGCACACAAACGCCTCAGGCGTTGCACTGACTCTGCCTCCTCATCTGATCCCGGTACGACCTGGCCTTCAACTGCCAACTGCCGTCTAAGCTCCCTTTAAACTGCAGTGGCACGTCCAGTGAGTGGTCTTCGGCGGCCGAGTGTGGCCCCCTTTCCAAGGAATCGCAGAGTTGCGCGGAGCGTCGGTCCTTGTGCCGGGTAACTCCGCCGCTCGTTGAGGCCCCGCGTGCTTTGCGCGTCATGTGGAGGTGGACGCCTGCAAACGTGGGAAAAGACGTGGATTTTGCGCATCGCATTCGCTGGACGTGTCTTGTCTATATGCTCAAAATCACCAGTGATCGCTTGCGCAACAACGCCTCGCACGGCGATGTTTTCGACACTTGCGAAGAGCGAGTTTCAAAGCGAGTGCTTCCTCTCTTCGGGCGAAAACACTGCGCGCAGTTCTCTTGTGCCTATGTTGTACAAAAAGGCAAACGTGTGCACACAGATGTTCTCGCCCAAGAGGTTGCCCATCTCATATCATCTCATCACCACCTTGCGTACATGCCACTATATGCCACTTATCTCAAGGACCGCGGTCCTGCGGCCCCATGCTCCGCAATGCCTCGTGTTGTTTGAAAAGCCCTCGGCATGTAGTCTGACATGGCGAAGGGACGACTGCTAGACCGGCAGCTTGCAACTAACGCCTTCTGTGACTTCGCGTCGGAACGGGGCTGTCTCTGGTGGAAGTGTCGCACATCACCGCTTGGGACCCTGAGGCCCTGAGGCCCCTGGCATCCACCGGGGCCGACACCTGCCATCTAGCCAAGAAACCCCCTAAACCCTAAACCCTAAACCCTAAACCCTAAACCCTAAACCCTAAACCGCTACGTAAAGTACAGTCGTGGGGACCTTAGCTCACATCCAATGCGCCTCCAAACTGCAATTGCTAAGAACGGGATCTCCGTACCTGCACGCTGCCCTAGCTGACTCAACACAGAGTGCGACCAAGCGCGGGTGCTGAGAAGATTTCCAGGCTTTGATCCGCACAAAGAGCCGAGCGGCTCGAAGGTCGTGTACGTCAGACCATGGCCGAAAGGAAACGCCGCTTTGAAGTCTGGGTTCCTCTGCACGGCTAACAACTGCAAGCCAAGATCCTGAAAAGTCTTACAAGTGGTTACCTTTATGCATAAGCAGCACTCTTGTGCGGTCCTGTAGCTTGTCCGCAGGCCTTCGGTGTAGTCCACTTGCCTTTGCCGGCAGCAAGAAGCCATGCCATTGCAATGCCTTCGCAAGTCCAGGGCTGCCCACAACTCCTGGCCTGGCCTCGGTACGACGTGAGCTCCGAGGGCAAACGCCAACACCAAGGGGGGGCGAAGGAGAGTTGAAGAATGTTGAAGAGCAAAGGCGCCATAAGGAGGTCAATAACAAAGATATGGCCAGATATAGCAAGACCACGTCTGCGGCGCGAACGGAATGGAGTCGGCCTCTGTCTCCGGCAGCATGATCGGGAGCCGGCCAGCTGGGGCCTGCAACCAAGGTGAGCGCCAGTGCCCCCCCACCAGAGGCCCCGCAAACAGTCCGCAGATGTACGTAGCAAGCTCTTGCTCATGTCCAATGCCTCGTCGCCAAACCTCAGAGGAACTTTACTGCAGGCCTGCTGGACTCTCACGCAGACGAGGGCTCGGAATCCTGCAGGACTCGTGCCCAGGCGGTGCCGGTTTCCTGCAACTTCACGGGCCACAGCTAAGAGAACTGGGAAATCTGGAGAGCGCCATAGACTGCCTCGCCACCGAGGAAAAGGATGAGGATGGCATGGACGGACTTTCTCCAGGGCATGACGACTGCCTGAAGATGGAATCACGGTGGTCACCTGCTATGAGTCACTTGCATGACGGTGGCTTCTGAGACCTTTGCCCCAGGAGCTTGGACGAGAACCACTGTCTTCCTTCCCGGTGGCCAGCAAAACCAGCGAAGCTAAGTGAAGCCATCGACGGACACTAGGTGGCTTGCTTCGCCGCTGCCGACACAGCCGCGATGAAGTCGTCGGCTCCTGTTGCTACAGCAGAAATCCGGGTCAAGGGTCAGCCGTGGCCAATCGGAAGCCTCCATCCAGGGTGAGGTTCTGCCGATCCATGCTCTCCCCACTGGTTGTTGCCGCGACAACGATGGTGACGTCGGCCTCTTCAACGCACCATATGGCCAGCATGAGTGAGCAGAGTGTATCATGCGTTGTTGGCATTGCAGGGCCCCAGGGCCTGCTTTGCAAGGCGGAGAGCTGACGACAGGTCATTGCTCGCAGACGACAGTACCTTGTCAAAGGGATGTGAGGAGCTCCAAGCTTTGGGCATCGGGCAGATCGGGCACCGTGATGCCTTCTTGCCGCGCTCGCCTGTCAGCAAATGTGTCGTCCGTCTTGCACCAGGGAATTTCATGTGTCGCTGCTTACTAGAAGTGCTCGGGTGGGAGTTGACGAACAGACTTCCTCGTGCCCGGGCCAGTGCAGATTTGGCAAATGGACCAGACGGTTCTTGCATGTTGTTGCGAAGCTTCGTGCTGCCAGATTTCTCTCCTGTAGGTGCTCAGCGTGCGTGCGGGGTTACAATACACGATCTAAGCAGCTTCAGAGGACGGCTGAAATGGGAAGACATTTGTATTTAAGTCACATGGTTTGTCCGCCCCCCCCAAGGCAAAGACACGGGGACGCATATGTATCTCATGTCGGCGGCGTTGGGTTCACGAGCGGGCGAGGACTAGGAGAGTCCAACACGACGAGACAACCTCCGTACTTGAGCGGCCTTCATGCGAGAACGCATTCCATGGTTGAATCAACGGGATGGAAAAATCCGTCGACTAAACTAAAAAGTTGGTACGCGTTCAGAAGCACAGGCAGGGCGAGGTTATCCTATACATACCTCTTCTCTTTCCACGGGCTGAGACCAGGCTTCCGGCCAGCCTAATCATGTCCGGACAGTCTTGCCCGCGGGCTTTGCAAAAAGGCATGTGGCAGCAGGAGAAATTACAGCAACGCATCCCACTCGCTCCGCTTTGCCGAACCACGCGCCTACGATTCACAGCGTTGTCTCGGACCCCCTGCCTCAGAATGCCCTGCAACGGAGTCACCACCTGGACTGCGATTGACTGCGTCTGCACGAAGACGTGCCAAGACGTGCCAAGGTGATACATGACATGCATGGCACTCGAGCCTCGAGTTCAACCTGATAGCTGGGCGCCTGACGTTGCTGGCGACTGTGTGGCCACCTCGAAGGTTCAAAGGCTCTGGTCCACCCCACTTTGTGGCATGAGACGAGGTCGCGGCTTCCACCTCCCGAGTAGTAATCGCCAATGGCCTTGTTGCATCTTTCACATGGCCCTTCTGAACGACCCTGCGAGGTTTGACAAGAAGTCAGGTAGCCATCTTCTCTCGACAGTCAAGTGTGCTTTTTGCCGTTCGACAGCCCTGCAGACCAATGCTCGGATCCGTGCCCAAGCGTTTGCACCTTGATCTTTGCCACCAGGATCATAGGGCCTTGTTATCACCGCGAAACATTTGACCATCGATGAAAGCCAAGCTTTCGGAATGAAATTTCACGAAGAGAGCGAAAGAGCATCTCCGAGGGCATATTTTTCAAACCCTTGCAAGAGGGCATCCGCTTCAGCTCTGCCGCAGATGGTACTTGCACAGATTGTCATGACCCGCGGGTGCTGTGTGCAGCAAAGGACTTGGCAACAGTTAAGCACTCCAAAAAGTTTCCAAATGTGGGTCGAACACGCATTTGCTGTCTGCACGTGCGGGATGGCGCCCAACATCCTTGTGGCAGCTTCAGGGAAAAGCACGTTCCCAAAGTTTTTGCGCAACAACAAACGAACCACGAATGGAACAACAACTTGAAGACGCTGGTGCAGACAGAAGATTTGAAGGCCAGATGTCCAGAGAAGAGCACCCAGGACACAATGAGAAGCCCCAGGTTGCCTGTTCATTCCAAATCTGTTCAGCTTCTGCTCACCCCGTCCGGTTTCGCGGACCTGGCCTTTACCGGTTTATCGGTTTTATCACACGTAGAATCAGTAAGACTCAAGAGTGTGGACGGTCATGTCTGCATCCATGTAGCTTGCCGCCACTGAAGAGGATGGTTGCTGGCTGCCCTGTGTCCGTGCGGACCAGATGCCATGCTTTTTGAGCTCAAAACCCCCAAGTTCTGCGACACCAAGAAACCCAGAACCGACTAAACCGACTTTGGGAATTTGGAAAAGCGCCACGATGCCGGGACCAATGCCGGGCCGCGGCTGCAGCACCTGCAAGATTCAAAGGGCTTTTCTTCGACTTCCAAATGAGAGTAGGAAAAAGTCACAGAGAGAGACAGGAGAGAGACAGGAGAGAGGGAGAGAGAGAGAGAGAGAGCGAGAGAGAGAGAGAGAGAGGGAGAGAGGGAGGGAGAGAGAGAGAGAGAGCGGGCGAGAGAGAGAGAGAGGGAGAGAGAGAAAGAGAGAGAGAGAGAGGAGGGGGGAGGGGAGAGGGAGAGGGAGAGGGAGCTATTGGGGGGGGGGGGGGGGGGGGAGGGGGGGCCGGAGACGGGCAGTGCTCATATGCTCACATGCTCCCAAAAGGGGAAGACTGCGCCTTTCATTGTTTCTCCTCTAACTCTCATCATCCAAGAGATGCTCTAGACAAGCAGCCGGGCCCTGCTGGGCCCATGCTGTTTGGGCTTGAAGATTTCTCAAGGGTTCTCAGGGCCGCGCCCACGATTGCAATTGTCTTGACCTTGACACAGGAACCAGGACAGCTTGGACACCCTAAACCCTAAACCCTAAACCCTAAACCCTAAACCCTAAACCCTAAACCCTAAACCCCCCATGACCGTGTTCCCACGTTTCATGGGATGTCGGGGCGCCGGCGTTGGACAGCGGAAGGACGCTGTGGTTCTTAGCATCAGCTTGAATGCTATGGCCCAAATGTGGCGAAGCGCATGCCGATGTTACGATGGCAGGTGCAGAGTTATGACGGTAGGGGTACAGATGAAAAACTTCCACTCACGAGCTGCATATCACTGGACTTCTCAGCGAGTCTTCCGTCAACGTCCGATCCGATGATTCGGCGATGCAGGCACATCAGACAGGAGAAGAAGCCAAATCTTGTCTCGACAAGCAAGCACGATGACACCACATCTACCGACTTCAGCATTTCGAGGTCCAGACATTTTGCAAGAGCACCTCAGTAAAGCCGATGGGTCCAGTTTGCTGGACTGCCATGAACTCAGTGATTGGTTAGACACCCTCCGGGCGCTCCAATTGAGGCTCGGGCAATTGACTGCGTGGCCAACTCACGGGACAGAGCTCGATGTGTCGGAGAGGTGACATTGGCTTGCAGGTACCTCACGTAGCCGCCAAATCTCTGCACTTCTTCTGAGCAAAGGCACAGGCTGAGGCCGCCACTGCGTGCAGTTCAGCGGTGTGCATTTGGCCGTTCTCGGCAAGTCCAACCTCGGCTCAGTTGCCCCAGGGCCAGGTATTGCTACGTACCATGACGGGGTCAGGTCCGGCCTGTACATGGCGGCAAGGATCCTGCGCCTCAACATGCGAAGGTCAGTAGACTCAGAAGCAAAGGGCTCGAAATTTTCCAAAAAGCACCCAGAAAGGCACGGAGCTGCGGAGTTCTCCGAGTTCTTGTGAAAACTTTCAGCCCCCCAAGCCAAGAAAGCTCGGAAGCAGGCACGGCATCATCCACAAGCTCCGGGGGCTGGCGTCGCAGCGCCTACAACACCAGAGCTCACCATGGCTCACTGCATTTCACTGCTAAAGAACTGCGGATTTCAGCCATTGCCTCAAGGCTGTACAGGTCCTGCGAGCCTGGCATCTCCTGCAATCACGCTGGACTTGTCTCTCTCGCCTTCAGTGTACGAATCTGCCTGGTCGAGCCCACGTTCGAGCGACATCTCACGGACGGCCCACCAATCTGACTGGACGAAGCCTCGGCAAAAGAACGTCAACGTCAAGTCAACCCTGGTCTGGGTTGAGGCTTGCTGCACAGCACGATGCTGAGCCTAACCTCCAGGTAAATAGCTTGCCCCCTCCCCTCAGACGCACAGGCCTCGGAAGCCCATCCGCTCCTTCAATGCCTGGCACACGCTCCACATGACATCGCAAAAAACGGCACGATCATTTTAGGATATTTTAGGCACATCCTCTTCAGAGTTCAACCACGGCCAGCCCACAACCCGCAGCAAGTCTCGATTCGAACAGGCATACACTCCATCGACCTCAGGTTTTCGCTCCGGCTCCGACGCCACGCGGGTCGCAAGATGCCAAAATGCCCCAAGACCGTGGCCTTGTTGTAGGAGCACCTTCGGCAAATTCTCAGCATCTTGGGGCAAACCCGTTGTGGTGACTTTGTCGCCTTTGATACCTCGGCGCCTGCTTCCACTACGGTACAGCTGCACCGCAGACACGGCCAGTAGTAGCTTTCTATGTGTGTCTCTTGGGGCTTGCGTTCAGTCGCCACTGCAATGTGGCCGCTCGACACCGCACGGCGAAAATCAATCGTCCTGTCTTGAGGTCCTTGCATGAAGGCAGCAGCTCCCGCATCGACGGCCGCCTGGCAAGCATGGCAGCCGGTGGCCAAGGCTCGCTGTATGCTGTATGCTGTATGGTCTCGCCAGGCGGAGGTCAGGGGAGTTTGAGGGCACTCCTGCCCCCACAAGCTACGCAGCCAGGGCAGATCTGGAAGCACCTGGAAAGGTGGGAAATACAGCTCCCAAGCCGTCTTCTCGTCAACGTTGGACCTCATGGGAAAAAGGGAGAAGATGGAAGAGGGGTCAATGCATGTTTAACGGAGCAAGATGAGATGAGGGCGACTCTGTGTTTCTGTTCGTCTCCTACTCGTGACGTGGAGTGAGCATGGGTGAGCAGCGGCCATGTGGCCCATTTTCAGAAGCATGATTTGACGTTCCTGCTCGTTCATGGCAAAGTGCTTCACCACCGCGATAACTCCCTGCGACTGCACGCCGCGGACCTCGACGCTGCAGACACAAGCCGCATACCACATCAAACCACAACAAGCCACACCCCGCAGCCCATCACCAAAAAGAAATGGAAAGGAGCTGAGTTCCTGACCTGAGCAGCGCCAAGCTTGGATCCCAGGTGGGGGTCCTTCAGGCGAAAACTACTGGAGAAAAAAGGGGGTCTTCGCCTGGCACAGTCGCAAGGAGCTGAGTCCTCCCCTGAAAGGTACCTTGCGTCAGTCTGCCCAGCTACTTAAGGTACTTGCTTCGATGTTCGATTTTCGGGTCTTACAGCTCGCACAAACCGGCTCTGCCTTCGCGAAGCACAGAAGACAAAGCCATGGCTGGGCATCGCGCTCGAAGTTCCGCCCGCCTCGGGCGACACGTTGGACGTTGACGCCCGGCCTTGGAAGAAGAGAGGCAACGAGTTTGAAGCCTCTCCTGGCCCCCCCCCCCAAGCAGCTGTCCCTGAGCGTTCAACCCCAGGCTTGCTGAGGCACCCTTGAGGGCAAACTCCTTGCCCAGCGCCATACCGAAGATCAGAAGCGCGTCCTGCCCGAGTGGCAGAAGGCTTCCCCAATAGGCCACTAGACTGTCTTCTGGAACTTCTGAAGCAGCAAGTAAAGCTCTGCAAGTCCTCATCCCATGTTGCTGCCATTGACCTGAGTACTCGCTGTTGACATTGGTCTGGTCAGAAGCGCATGTCAGTTTTCTGGGTCGCAAGCAGCTGGGAAGGCCAGCATGTAGAGGTGCCCACCATGTCCTCCCTCAGCAGTATTGCAACTTCAAGTCAAGACAAATTCGGCAGGGCCAGGCTAAGCCAAAGCCCCTCGAAGGCGCCCTTTTCCATCTCAGCAGAAGCACGCGAAGCGATTTTCAAGGCACGCTCCCAACTCTGTTGGCGAGCATGCCTGCTTAAACGCATCCTCCATGCACAAAAGGCAGAGAAGGGTAGAGAGGCGGTTTCAGCATCGCTAGAGCGCTTCAGAGCTCGAGCTGTGCGTGTCGCACAAGGCCCTGCCGCGGGAAGCCTCGCTGGCTCTGCTGGGAGACGGCACGGCCATCAAAGGTACGGCTCAGGCCCGGGCATCCCTGTACAGGCAGAAGTGCCTCAAAAGTAACTTGATGGCAACTGATGGTTGTTTGTGTTGCTTGCACTTATGCTAATTTGCAGGCGAGATACTGAACAATGAAGATGATGTCGAAGAAAACCTCGACGGCCATGCTCGCTGCGCTGCAACTTGATTCTGTGCACCTCTTTAGCGGCTTGGCTCCGCACCGACACATTCCCCAACCTAGGCGCCAGAGGTCTGCATCGAAAGGCACAACAAGAAGGCCGCAAGGGGCCACTAGTCTCCTGCCCAATGCCAGCGCAATGCCAAGGAGCATCAGCTTGGCAGGGTCGCCGGAGACCTTGCTCCAGTCGTTGCTCAGCGAAGCGTCAAGGAGCAGCCTCTGAAAGAGTCGGTGAACCATGGTGAACCATGGTGAACCATGGTGAACCCACAATTCAGCTGCCAACAGCGAAATTCAAGTAGGGACGGCACTGTGCGACGCTCAGCAGACCTTCCGAGGGGCAAAGCGAGGAGAAGGTCGAACCCAGTGCAGAAAGCCGCCTCCCGTGAAGTCGAGTAGTACGTTGTAGATGGTCCACCCGGCCTGAGCATGATGCCGGCTCTTCGGGTTGCAGCTATACTACGTCGAAGCAGAACTTCTCGTCCCGATGCCAGCCAGCTGCGGTGCTCTTTCTCTTGTAGTTCATCCACACTTGTGGGCAGTATTTCCTCGACAGCGACACCGGAGAGCTTGCTGGGCAAGCACAAGGAATTCCTATTGGCAGCCCGTAGTTGCAGACAAGCTTCACCACGGAGATGGCCACCTTCACCTCAGATGCGGCTTCGACTGCCGAGTAGACGCAAACTGGGACCCATAGCCTCTGCTGTGATGGTTAGGAACGTCAACCAGCTCAGGCAACACCTGGGCCAAGTAGGGCTCTCACGTGGTGTCTTCCCGAGTGTCCCGCGATGACAGGGGCTGTGGCTCTTCATACGCGCCGATGTAGAGAGCAGCCCCCACCATGAAGAGACCTGACATCAAGACGAGCAACCATGACACCCTGATGGCACCCTGATGGCACCCGGATGGCACCTGTCACAAGAAGTCTTCACATTGACATGCATGCGCCAGCTGTGCCAGGTCGGCACCTACAAGGCCCAGCGCGGCAAGCACCGCGAATCGCAGCAGGCGATCACTGCCCGCCAGGGGAGGGTAGTCGTAGTAGATGCCTCCAAGAAAGCACCCCCATCACCCCTGTGAGCAAACTCACCGAGACATGCTGATGCAGCGCCCCGCGCTCTTTCGCTTGCGAGGATTTGTCGCAGGTCGGGTTTCTAGGCTCCGGCAGCAACCCTCCGAGCTCTTTGCCAGCTGGGCCCATGGTCAAGGGTCTCTTGGAATATGCATCCCGGAGTTCACCACTAAAGCTTCACTAAAGCTCCACAGCAGTCGATGGCAAGGAGGCGAGGAGGGGGGGAACTGTACAGGTCAATTTTGAGCCGTGTCTCCCCGAAGGTCCGAGGATGCAGGAGGGGCATGCTTGTTATGCGCAACTGTACACGAGGAACACGAGAAACGCAGAAGTGCGAGAAGTGCGGCGAACGCGATGTCTGCCGCAACATCGAACTGTCTGCCTCGCGCAACATGCTTTGGGAGGATTGCGGGCCCACCGGATGGTCCGGTACGGGTCCGAGAGCAGTGGCCCCAAGCGGGCCCTGCCGGGCTGCCTTCGTTTTCCAAGAGTGTTTTTTGTTGCTCTTTGGCTCTCTGACAGCTGCTCTCTGAGAGCTTCTGACACCCCTTTTTTTCTCTGCCTCACACGAAACAACAAGCTGGGAATGGCCGTCGCCAGAGCACAAGACAAAAACACCCACGAGAAATAGTCTGCTACGACGCGGTGCTCACGCCTCGGCTTCGAGGAAGGGCGGTCAAATGCAAGCACTTGCTCAGCACTGCCCAGCCCAAGGCGCGAGAAGCTAAGATCTGCTTAGTCAAACGTACTGTGACCACCAGGAGCGGCCGTTCTTGCACGGTCCCCAGCTGTCCGTGATCCCATTCAGGGCATGAGGCTCGTGCGGCTATCGTTGGTCTCATCATTTTAAGCCACCTGCTTAGCATGTCGAGTCGTCGAGGCTAGCCTTGCAGCTTCATAAGCCAAGTCCAATGCAATCCAATGAAGTAAGGAGTTGAAGCATTGAGTGCCTTTTGTGAGAGGTGGCTTGGCCTCTGAAAATCAAGTCAAATGTCGAGGCCGTCAGTCGAAGCTGGAACAGCCATTGTGGACATGGCCGTTCATCTTCCGTGTTTTGCCAGAGCTTCAGTTTCTATGCGTTGCTACAGCCGACCCGCGTCTACCCTTGTCGATCACTGAAAGGAAAGCTCGCAAAACACGGATCATCATATCGCGCTGCATTGCAGCACTGCCTTGTATCTGTATCCTCCAGACCTGGAGGGCAGCCATGGAAGCTGCCTTAATTACTGCATCGGGTGGGCGGTACAGAGGCGCCACCCACGCCTTCTCACGTCACTCCGGGGTCTCAAGCGCAGCCGATGCGTCTTCGCAACGTTTTCTTTAACGCCTCTTCATCTCTTTCACCACGAAGCTGCCGTAGTTGCTGGCCTCGGGCGGGCCATTTTGAGCCGCTTTGCTGCGCCCGGCCACGCACAGTCTGACACGCGCAAACGCGTCCAAGGAGCAGAAAGGCTCTGCAAAGCCTCTGAACTCTCTGCCAAAGCCTCCTTCAACGCCTGACGATCCTGCAGAAAACAGACTGCATCCAGCTCGCAAGCAAAAATGAAAAATGAATGGAATCTTGAGATGTTGCCCCCACCTCAGGTGAGGCGTGCACGAGAGCACACTCAATCACGTGGCTGGCCACCTACTGAACACAAACTCAGTCAGGCTTAGTCCATCATGTCTGAGATGTTTGGGTTTCGGCTCTCAAGCACTCGCACAGCGGCAGGCAAGGATTCGGTTTTGGGTTTAGGGTATAGGCGGTATAGGGTTTCGGCCCAATTGCATTGCTGCCTTGTGCCGTGCCAGGCGCTTGGCCTCCGGAACCAAGGCTGCGCTGAGCTTCCTGGTCATGGGGGGGGGGGTTGCGTTGCGATCCAAACTCAAGGGACCTTCGGAGGCCCAGAAAATCACGTGGGGGCTTTGGGAAAATGTCCAGTGTCAGAGTCGCATGTTCATCAAACCGGCCGGTACTCGAAAACCCTGAGAACTTCGAACTTGATTCGCGTTCATGCTCTTTCCTGCCGACAACGATAAGTTTAGTGTACTGCCAAAAGGGACCGTCGTTTAGAATCTCTCTAGGCCACCTGACGAAAGATCTGCGGAGATTGGGCCTTAACCGGGGGCTGGAACTCATGAATTGGGGTCTTGCTGAATGCGCTGCCTCCGTGTTGAAGGAGAGCCATGTTCGAAGGAATGCTGGATCACATAGTTGCCAAAAGGGTGCCTGCACAGCAAGCTAGAAGTCATCTGCCAACTGCCAATGTGCCAAAAATGCCGCCAAGAATCCTGCTCAGATCAGGAACATCCTGCCTCGGATGTGCGTGGTATGCCAGCCCGGTCCCAATGCAATATCATCAAGTATGTCTGCCCCGATTGCGTCGATTGCACCAGTCGCGTAGCAACAAAACTAAAGAATGGATCAGCATCGGGCTTTTCCGAAGCTGGAAGTCGGATCCGATTCCTATCGGGCAGCTCAACTCACCTTGATTCTGCCACATGCACCAGCATATCTCTTGGAGATGTGCCATGCGTGCAATGCGTGGTCTGGCGGATTGCAAGCACAAGTGACTAAAATTGACATACTACGTATTTACAGCGGGACCACCGTACTAAGAGTATCTTGTGGGGTGGCAGGCAGTGGCTGAGCTCCTTGGCGAGAGCTTGCCAGGAACCTGCTCAAGTCCGAAAGCTGAACGCTGATCTTCTTGATGGCCTGCCGGGTGACCTTGTTCTCATAGCTCATCTTCACCAGCTGGAGGTTCTTGGCCGGGCCCTTTCCCTGCATGCACCCAGACACAAACTCCTCCAAGCCGACCAGACCCCTCTGGTCTTCATCCATGATCATGAAGAGGGTCCAGACATCCTCCGTGGAGATGCCCATGGACTCAAGGAAGCTGGAGAGCTTCTTCTTGGAGATGGCATCCCTCAGATCTTCGATGCTGACCACGTGGCACTGGTCCGAGTCGATCTCTTGAAAGATCTTTCGCAACGCCTGGACGTGGGTGGTGTGCTTGTGCAGCTGCTTGATGGCGGCTATGTCCTTGTCCGCGTTCGCAGACTCGATCGCTGTGGTGCAGAAGACACCCGTTACGACCTGCGGGCTAACCAACTAACTTTGTTCGGGTGCCGGCAGCCCCCAAATGGACCACTAAGGCCCTCAAAGAGGGCAGCCATCTAGCATGGCTACCGAAACAGCTGGTGGCAGGAAAAAAACTCCCACCTGCGGGCGAGACTTTTGATTGTGGTGCAATACCCCAAAAAAAAAACGCAAAGCACACCAGCGGAGGACAACTAGAAAACCTACGTAAACTCACATCGGCAGAAAACAGGCTCTCACACGACCTTGGCCCTAAAGCAAAAGAATGGCAAGCAACAAAGCCCAGAAGAACAGCAACAATCCACGCTAAGGATGGGAAGGCGACCCTGTCGCAGTAACTTGAGGACCCCCGCTTCCACCACGAGTGAGACAAAAACAGTTCAAGGAATGCGCGCTTCGAGCTGGCAAGAGTGGGGGACCGCACACCCACTCCAACACAACTGGAACAAAGCTTTGCGAGCTCGGCGCAACATGAGGACCCACCTGCAAGTAGAGAATTCTCCTAAACGATGTTTCAACAACTGAGCAAGAGGCGTTCAATACTGCGAAGACTGCAATCACGATGTACAGGATCATGCAAGCGCATGCCAATTCCGAAGCGCTTCGCAGTGGAGTTATGGCATCTTCCCAGCTCATGCCCCCGGAGATGGCAAGGAAGAGCGTCCTTGAGACTGTCTGACAATCAACTGTGTTGAGTGATGTTGAGGACCTTCAAAGTAACCAAAAGGCAACCTGTGTGTGTGTGTGCACATATTCAACGACAATATTGAGCTAACTCATCTAACTCCAAGGCGAGCGTCAGCATGCTCTCAGGGACACTTGCCCAGTACCTATGAAGATCATCCGGACATTGGGGCACCGCATTGATGTCCCCAGTCTGCACAACGATTTGATCTCTGCAATGGTCCGACACCAACTGTGTCAGAATGACACCGAATGTGTAGAACAACAAGACCAGGAGCACCAAGGTCCAAATCAGAGATCCGATGGTGCTCACAATGCATAGGGCCAGGGTCCGCAAAGCGCTGACGTAGCGGAAGAGGCGCACCACGCGAACCCCACGCAAAGCCCGGGCCAGGCGAATCCTAAGTTTCGACGCATGCGGCCACATGCGCACACGATATCACTACACTACACCTCACCGTGCACCACACTTCGCGCCTCTTTGAAGGGCTGGCATCTGCGGTTGCTACTCAGTATCCAGGGTAAGTCAGTGTACAGGATTGGGGAAGCAACAGGGAAAGAAACACACATCTTAAAATGCAAGCAGGAATCGTGCGGACCACCCGCAGATGACTGGAGTTCGCGACGTCCGCAGACATAGACTGTGCCCAAATATCAATGACCGTCTCGAACACAGACACGGTAATGATCAACGCGTCAAAAGCATTCCAGCAAGCCTCGTGACCGCACCAGTACTCTACAAAGCCCACAGCCACACACTTCAAGCAGACCTCCAGGACGAAGATCATGACGATGAAGGAGTTCACCGTCCCAAACCATTTGGGAACGTCGTTCTGACCGAGGATGGTTGAGACATCAACTTCGATACCCAGTAAGATCACGTTCATCAAGATTAGACACATGATGGCGTTGGTAAAGAACTTCGAGGCTACCAGGGTCTCGATCTGCGAGGCTAGCCAGCTACGCTCCGCCGGGAAGTTAATGGTACTCCTCGACCGCAAGTACTTCAACTTCGAGGCTTCCTTGTCGGCCTTCTCCTTGTGCGCCTCGAGCGTGCGCCGCACGAAGGAGTGGCGCGCGCTGTCGCGCCGTTTGAGCTTCTGCCTTCTTGGCCTTCCCTCGTAGCCATGATCCTCGTTCTGAGACTGCCTGGAGATCTCGTGTCCCTCCTCGTCGACTTCCTCCTCTCCGAGGCCAAAAATCTGAATGGAGTCGTGATCTGACTCCTGATGGAGTTCGTCGTGATAGACTGAGTCCTCACGGATCACTGATGTGCGAATGCTGGTTTTGCGACTCGTCATGGGGAAGATCGTTGCATGATTGCCATGGTTGCCGTGGTGGCAGGCATGCTGCACGATCTTCACACGCTCATGCACATCTCGCAGGAGCTCGTGTTGCCTGGCGAATTGCTGCTCCAGGAAGGAATGGAGCTCGGAATGTAGCACTCGGAACTCGTGCGACCAGTCATCTACATCAGACCTCTTTGCGTCCTGCGAGCCGTTGGCACACATCATACCGGGCCTTTGGTCTCTGAGAGACCGCGGCCCAAAAGTGCTCTAAAAAAGTGTGCGCTCTGCAGACCTGGTCGGGACCTGTTTTGAGCCATACGTGACAGACGTGACACACGGGATTCGAGAACAGCAAGAGTGCCTCGGAGACCAGCTGAGACAAGTTGACCATCACAATTCCACACACCATACTGCGGCTTCTATGGCTCTCACAAGGCCAGCACCATTACCATTTGATTGCTGTGCTGTGCAACGCCTAGCACTACAGGAGAACACGAGCAACGTTCACCTGCAGCTGCCGCCTTTCTCCAAGCAAAAGTCTGAAAAAAAATGCCAGGAGGCAAGATCTCGTCGAGGAAGACGTCGCTTTGCGCAGTGCCGCAGTGTTCGAGCAATCTCTCCAGAACACGGCATCCGAAAGGGTGCCTCTGAAACTCTCAGCGCTCTCTTTCAAGGGGACTGCGACGATGCCATCTTGCAACCCGCATCTGCCCCTCTACCCGACTCTACCCCAACCCCTGCGGGTACCCCTTTCTGTTCAAAGGCTCACAAAAGCCAAGCATGTTCACAGAGTCTTCTCTTCTCGGGCCATCTTGGGCTCACGAGTGCCTTGAATGCCCCGTCAGCTTGCAAACGAACCCAAAGAAGTCGACAGCAAGTCTTTAAGCAACGGTGTCGCATGCCACAAGACAGCAAGTCAGGAGGCTAACCTTGTCAACCTGGCAGCGAAGAACATACAGCGGGTGGAAGGTGGAAGCGTCTTTTGAACCAAGACCAAACGAAGAAAGGATAGAAAAACACGCCCTCCAAATATGCGCAGAAGACGCACACCAACAAGTAAATTGAGCGCTGACCGCTTTCGGAAGTGCCACTTGCCCCACAAGTGCAACAATAGTGTACAGAGCAGTTCTCAAAACGCCCCTGGCAAGATGAAGAGCTGCGAAAATTCAAGAGAGGGCTCCGAACACGCAGTGTAACCAAAAATCAGGAAGGCATTCGGAAACTTGTGAAGCAATCCTACTTGTGGGCCGACGTTTCCATTCACTGTTGCTCGATCCCCAAGTTGAACATCCCCAAGCCTGACACGAGCATAAGGGGGCCGTATCAAGCCGTATCAAGCCCGCAGGCCGAGCCAAGGCACCGGGCAGCTTCATCGACGCGTCCCGCAAGTTCCTGGGCTGAGGGCTTTGGAGGTTTTGGAGAAGAAAAGAACCCTGGACACGAGGGCAGCTAATGCCTGTGGCCCTCCTGCCCAAAACCAGCCGATACGCTGACATGCTCTTCCAAACATTTGCCCAAGCTCTTCGAAGACAAAGTGCATCTTCTCCGGCGGCATGAGCGCAATGATCTTCTGCAAGACATGGTTGGCATGGGGCGATTTCAAGGCATACCAGACTCGGCCCTTGAAGACGTTCGTAAGAAGCTGCTTGTCAGGAGCCTCTGCCACGTCCATGGCAGCCTGGACAACACGAGTACCACTCTTGCTGCTTGCCAGAGCCCAGGCATCCAAGAGAATTTCTTGCAGGAGCTCCCGGCTTGGGTTCGACGACAGTTGCCGAATCGCCCAGTCGCAGTCCCGATTCGTCCAGCGAGCGCTCGCATGGTGAGCTCGCGGGGCGGAGCTGGAGCTCGATGCCAGGGACGCCTGTTCTGCAGAGGCCCAGTCCGATGCCTCAGACGGCGCGGAGGAAACGTGACGATCCAGAGGTCCGGGAGAGACTGGCCCTGCGGATGCTGCTCCTCTGCTCTCGCGCTGGGGACTCCCACAAGGTTGCTGCAAAGCTGTCTCTCGGGACTCTGTGGACATGGGCATGGGAACCATGACCATCGGCATCATCTGAGGAACTTGTGGCATCTGCAGCATCTGTGGCAGATGGGAGGGCTGCTGAAAGTGCTGCATCACCTGCATTGCTTCCGGGATGCTGTCGGGGAGCGTGTGGGAGAAGCCCTGAAAGAGGTTGGGCTGGAAGTGGGCTTGCGCGGGATGCGCATGCGCAGGATTTGGAGCCTGCCAGGACTCACGGTTGGCCGCGTGCTCCTCCTCGTCCTCGCTGGCCGTTTGCCAGCCATCCTCTTGAGTGTGAGTGCCGACATTCAAATTCGCCACCACCTGGCTGCGCCTGACCGGGCGTGGCTGGCGCGGCTCGTGGCTCTGCCTCACTCCATGCCAAGCCGCCCCTGTGGCCGCAACGACCTTGCAGAACTGACATGTCACATATCAAGAGGCTGTCAAGAACTCGCGACATTTCACAAAGATGCAGCCAGCTTAAGTGCTTAAGTGGCCGGCCCAGGTCCACAGGTTACCGGCCGCAGAGCTGTGTGTCCCTTGGAGACCACCAACGAGCTGAACGGGCACGTAGACGCCCGGACTCCCAGCAGCGGCACCCAGGTGAATTGGCAAGGGCACTGCCGCCACTGAGTTCGGAGCCGTACGTGGCCTTGTGACTTGCTGGCTTTGGGTAGGGGAAGCTGCGGCTGGGTGCAGGCTCAGGAGGACGGCAAAGAGGTGCAGCAGCGCAGACTTGGACAGGGCTTGGAAAAAGTTGCCCAGTCTGGCGAGGACCATTTCTCCGGAATCACTGGCCTGCGAGGCAAAGTGTAAGGCACAGGGAACGCTCTGCGCTCTGCGCCTCCGAACCTCACCTAAGCCCCACGTCTAGGCCCCGGTCACACATCTCAGGTCTCGGCCTTCACCGGTCAGTTTGCAATGCACCACGTTTGAGCAAGACAGAGCTGCGGAGGAGAGTGCAGCGGAGCGCCCTTTGGAACAAGTTGGAAACAGCATCGATGAACGTGGCCGTGACTCAAGTTCGAACTCCAACTACCAGTAGAAGGACGCAGCTGACACCGTGTGACTTAATACCGGCCTATCTGTGCCAGCGTAACAAGTGTGACCAGGAGAGCATGGCCGGCAAAGACCACATCGTTCAGTCGCACGGCGCTGTCCTGCACGCCGTTGTTCAGGGAGTCCCGACAATGGGCAGCCCAAGCATCTTCGAGATCAACCCTGTGACTTCCCTTCTACAGGCCACGTGCTGCACACTTGAGATACTTAAGGCTCAAGTCATCATTTAGGTGTTACACCGCCCTCCTGGCCATGGTGGCTCTGCCGGTAGGCCCCGCGAATGCCCGGTGACCAAAACAGCAATGCGTTGAAGAGGAAGTAGCAAGTAAAGCCAAACTCAGCCAACGCGTTCAGAAAGAAATGCTTGCGAGATCATGAATGCGAGGTTCATGAACCTAGAGGACCTAGAACCATGTCAACGGCAAGGAGTGCGGGACGCAGCCCGGAACAAAATGAACAAAGCCTTGCAACTGAGAGGCTGCATTCAGAATCCTGAGCAGCTGACAGGCTTCCCGGCTTGCACAGCATGATTGGGCGGAGCACCCTTACCAGAGCTGCAAAGGCACTGGTAGTCCAGCGAAAGGCCCACCACACTTCTCCTCCGGATGTTCAGGAAGACCTGCACAAGGCATTAGTCACGCGATGGATCTGTTTGCTCGGTCCAGACCCCGGAGGCCTGAGGATAAAACGAAACAGACCTTGGCTGCCAACTGTCCATCAGGGGGTGCAATTACCAACAGCGACAAGGCATTTCATTGCCTCAACCCCTCAACCTGCCCGCTACTCCACACAGCTGGATGTCTGGGCAGGTCTGTCTGCGTGACGCAGCTCCGGTTTTGAAAAATAAAAGAAAACGAACGTTTGCTAGAGCAGAGCACCCCCGAAATAGGATGCAACGTTGGAACGCCTCCCTCATTCCCTTGAAGAACTCTCAAGGGCGGCCAGAGCAGCCAAGCAAAGAAGTAGGTCCATCCCAGTACCTCCGAGGTCCGCCCACCCCAGCCGGGCTCGCTGGCAGGTAGGAGGAACCCTGCCGGCCAAGGCTTTTAAAGGTTTCGAAAGGCTTTCCGCACCTTTGGGCAACCTTTACATACACATATCAACAGCATGCACACACACACACACACACAAAACATACAAATTTCATGTGGCCATGTAATCTAGAGGCATCCAAACGCCATGCCCGTATACGCATGCTGCTTGTTTCGTCCTTGATCTGTGCCCTCGTGCGTGTATCTCTTACAAGCGCTGACATATGTTGATGACATTTTGAGGCTCTTCGGTGCATCCGCGAGCCTACCACCACACCAAGCAGCAGGGCTCCTCGAACCAGCCAGCGAAGCAAAAGAACGCCAAGCAAACGGAGTCGCAGCCCACAAGCCAATGAGAAGCCAAGGGGCCAGGAACCCAGAAATTGTCCAAGGATGCACCTCACCGGCATCACTGGGCTGTGGAGACTGGACTGTCATAGTTGAGTTCTCGTCGCGCAGAAGCATGGCATAGCATGGCCCTTGCAGCTCCGGCACACTTGTCGTCCTCACTGCTCTCCTGGCTTTCCTCGCTGCCATCGCCAGGGGCCAAGGCCACATCCATGGACAAAGGCTCTGTTGCGGGCGCTTTGCGGCGCATCCACTCGAACTACTTCAGATCAAAAAGCTTGGGGACGTCTTGGCTCAGAGTCAAGTGTCTTGCGACTTCGTTGTTGCACACATGTCCAAAAAAGGCATGCTCATGTTGCAACATCGGGAGTTTCGAAACAGCTCGGCCAATTGCAAGCGTTCGGGTCATTCGGGGCATCCGCCAACTGCAGAGCCAGTCAATCTTTTGCCCTCTGCGAGCCAGGAGCCATCTTAGGCCAGGACCAGTACATGCGGAAACCGTCCCCGGCATCCTGCGGCTCACAGAGATCAAGGCCCCCCTAAAGAAACTACGCACATCGAGCTGGGGTTCGGCGTGAATATGTGTGAATGCTCTCATTTTTCTCTCTTGCCGTGCATCCGACAGCCGAGGTCGCGCATTAACATGTTCTGATTCTAGCCCCCGGCGCGCAGACGAATGCTTACACACTTACAGACAACACCTCAATGAGCATTTGCCATAGGGTATGGAACAGGGCAGCCGGCTTTCTACGATTTCCTCCGTCGGGCCCGTCTTACGGCACTACATAGCACTGCATCTGACGCCTGGACTTTCACGCTACAGAGAAGCCGTCCGACTGCAGCGCGGATGGCTAGCGCCAACGCTGCGTCAAGTACAGCTTGTCTAGAACTAGAAGAGCACACATCAGTTGGTCAGCATAAAGCCTCAGCTTGGAACTGCATCTGAAGTCGCAGAATCGAAGATGTCAAGAAGCACGACAGGTCGGCACGGCGGAATGATTCAGCATAGCTTCAAGCTCCCCATACTTGCTACCAAGTGCAGACATTGCCTATGTGCTCCGCCCCACGTGCTACAGGGCTTCAGGTTTTGTTGGGATGGTTTAAGCGCTTAGGCTTCACAGCTCTCAGTTCAAACGTTCATCACCGAGCTGCTTCGGAATCACTGGGACTTCCATGCTTCAAACTCTCGTTGTGCTCGTTCTCGCAAACCTTCATGATGTGCCGTTGCTTGAAGCCTGCCAATGAGCTTCCTGAGCACGAACTCATTGGCATTCGAGACGTGACGAAGTGATTTTGATCATACTTTGAGGGTTTAGAAAGTGCTCATCAAGAACCCTTATTCCTTCTTTCTCACACGGTCGTTTTCTCTTTCTTGCCCTTTGTTGTCGCTGGTCACAAAGCCCCGACGTTTCAGCAATCCAGGTTGGCCCCATGCATTCTATGCTGATCTTTTTCCCAACCATCTCGGTCGGCATCGTGATGTCCTCCATCGCATGCTGTCACACGGCTCCACCTCCTCTTCACCTGCCTCTTCCTCCGGAAGGTGTGCCAGGGGAACCACCCCTCTGTATTGCATCTTCGCATCCTACTCCCCCACCGCTTTCTGTGATTGTCTAGGGAGCACCGCCAGGCGCCCTCGCTGGGCTGGTGGTGGTTCCAAGGCCTGGGTGGCCAACATTTCGAGCCACGAGACCAGAACCATGCATCGCCCATCCTCCTGTGCTTCCTCACTTCCTTGTGGTGCTTTTGTATCTCATGCTCTTGCATTGTTCATGGTTGCTTCTCTGAGCTGCCGTCGCTCTTCCTCCTCAGGTTCCTCCTTCTCCCTGATTTCACTTCTTCTCCCCCGTTCCTGCACGACTTCAAACAATTACTCCCCCCCCGGAGCTCCACGCCCATTCCCCCGCGGCGCCCTCCTCACTTCTGTCGCTACGTCTGGCCCGCTTTGTTGCGAAACAATCGGCTGTCGGAGAACCTTATGATGGGCTTCGCCCATTGCTGGGGGTGCCGTCGCTTCGGCGGCCGGACACAACCGCTTCCAATGAAGCGGCACGTTGGGCTGCATTCCTTCTGCGAAATAACGAAACTTGTTATAGCTCTGCTGCCAAAGTTAAAGATGCACTCAGGCCTGAGCACAGACAGATCCAAGAGAAAAAGAAGCAACATGAACAGAATCAACAGCAGCGACACAAACAGAAACTCCCCTCGCCTTAATCACATCGTCATGCCAAGACCTGGTGACTCTAAAGCCTCGAGACAAGCCTTAAAAGGCCGACAAACACACGAACAGCTCCAACTCCCGAACGCCAGGAACGCCGGAGAAAGAGCGGCTCACAAGCTGCACTGACAGCGACATTGCCCCGCAAAGTCTCTCTTGCGCAGCATCAATCTCCCAGTCCTGCCACACGTGCGTGTCATACGTGTCACGTGTGCGTTGCGGCTCCGGAACCAGAGGCTCTTTGAAGCGGTCCTCCAGTCCGCCATCTTCATCGTCCCCCTCTTCAGGAGTCCAGCCCATCGACATCAAAAGCCGACGCTCCTAGCGGCAGGGCATGGCAGGGCCATGGATAGCGCCGTCGTGGGAGTTGGAGAAACCATGGCACTGCCGGCCTCGTCTGTGCACGGCGCAGGCGCAGGCTCTTCCTCTTCATGCTGCTGCGTTGAAGACGGCTGGGAAGCGCTGCCTCCCAGGACCGAGAGATGACTTCAGCTACACTTTCACGACTGCAAGAAAACAAAAAGGGTTCTCAGTCCGCGACTACCTGTTGCAGGCGTCGTCTCTGCCGGGATAGGGGTTGAGCACATCCTCGTGTGCAGGCGTTTGCAGGCGACGCTGCGTTGAAAACGAAAGAAAGCTCGGCAACAAAAAGTCCCCGGACTGCCAAGACACTCGCACGCAGTCCGATGGCTCGGATTTCGGAAGGAACAAAGAGGGCACTCACGCTCGGCCTGCCAAATGGATATGTTTCGTGAGCAAGGCGCAATACAATGTCATACCTCCTTCAACGAACCTCATTATGTCCTTATGTGGTACCGCAGAATGCGCCACCATAAACCCGGACGACCTCTGCGGATGCGGCCGCGGAGGAGGTTGACCGAGGTGCCTGACACACTGCTGGCTGGTGATGCTGACGTCGGCGTCTCGAGGTGTCTACTCCGCCGACCCCCTTTGTCGGCGTCAAGAAGCTGGACTCGTACTTTTCTCCCTGGACCCGCAGTTACCTCTCCCCACGGCACTGCGCGGCCTGCCCCTTCCCTGCACTCGCGTTTTTTGTTGGTACCCTTTTTTCTGGAACTGCGCGTTTTTTGTTGGCACCTTTCCCCCCCCGGACCCCCCTACCCCCCCTTACCCCCCCTCCCCCCCCCTTCCCCCCCCTGCTTAGCCGCCCTTGAATTGGTTCCTACCCCCACCCCGACCCCCCCCCTCCCCTCACAAGAAAAGGGCCAAAAATAACCAAGTTTGTTGCCAGAAATATCCAAGTCGCAGACAAGTGGGTGGAACCACGCGTTTTGTGTTGGCTGCACCCTACCCCCCACCCCCTCCCCCCCCGACCCCCGCCCCCCTACCCCCCCCTGCCTAGCCAACCAAGTTGTTGGCGGGCGGAACCACGCGTTTTGTGTTGGCTACCCCCCCCCCCCCCCCCCGTTCCCCCCCCTCCCCCCCCCTTCCCCCCCCCTTCCCCCCCCCCTCCGCCCTCAAGAAAAGGGTAACCACACCCCCCCTACCCCCCCCCCCCAACCCCCGCCCCACCCCCCCCTGCCTAGCCGCCCCCCCAAATAATCAAGTTTGGGGGTGTTTTTTGTGTTGGCTGCACCCCTTCCCCCCCTACCCCCCCCCCTACCCCCCTACCCCCCCTGACCTAGCCCCCCCCCCACAAGAAAAGGGCCAAAAACACACCCGCCCCTTCCCCCCCCTGCCCACCCCCCCCCAAAATAACCAAGTTGTTTTTGGAAGGCCCTACCCCCCCCCCCTTGCCCCTACCCCCCCCCCTCCCCCCTCCCCCACCCCCCCCCCCCGACCCCCACCCCCCCCGCACCCGCTCTGCCCTTCCTCCCTTTTTTTGCGAAACCCTCTTTCCTCCTTTCCTGTCCTGGGGCCGGCCCGCCTGCCGAGGCGGCGCGCGCAAGCGTTTAACCGAATTTGTTGTTTTGGAAGGCGGCCAAGCGGGTGGGACCACGCGTTTTGTGTTCCCTGCCCCTTTATAGCCGCCCCCCCACAGGAGAAGGACCAAAAACAGCCGAATTTGTTGTTTTGGAAGGCGACAGATGTTGGCTACTTTCCATGCATGGGAGCCACTCAAGAGCAGGCTTGTGTGTTTTTTGGGTGATCATCCGGAAGATGCCCGGCGGTGCCCGGACGTCCTTATCTTGGGGGTCGGCGGCAGCGGCGTCAGCCTTTAAATAAAGATCTCTCTCAAATGCCGTCTGAACGGCTGTCCGGCCTCACAGACTTCGCAGTAGGGTAGCAGGCCGATGTTCTTAAAGGAACAAGAGGCGCAAGACCTTGGGAGGAGCTAGCGCTTGCAGAGCCCTGGTCCGAGAGTCCGAAAGGCTCTGGAGGCCCCAGAGGTCGGAGAGGCCCCCAGATTCTGAACTGATGGGCTCTGAATATCAAGGCTTCTTGGGCAGTTTAGGGTTTATGCGCTAGGGTTTCTGCAGCTTCGTTTTCAAAGCGCGGGACAATGGCCAAAAGTTTCGTGGTGAGAAGTGGGCCCGTCGGAAATGCGACTGCAGTGGTTTAACCAATCGGCCCATCACGCGGAGACCTTCGTGTTTTCGCAGGAAGCGACTGCGGCGCTTGTCTCGCAGATTTGCTTCTTGCCTGCGGCCGAGACGCCACTCCGCAAGGTCGTCAGCATCCTAAGAGACTTCTGCGGATCATGTGCATTTGCATCTGGTCATCGGTGTGCACGATACAGATTCGGCAACTTCCGCTGGCACCCTTCAGTGAGAGGGCCTACCTGCCTACAGCATATCGAAGACTTAAGTCGCACCCAAGCATGCTGCCACGCGTCACTGTCCTCCTCACCTGAATATCCACATGGGTTACGTGCCATGTGGCGCAAGGGGACAGCGTGCGGGGCACAGCTCCCGGGCTAAGCTGCAGCCAGGTTGCCGTCTTTACGGGGCGCATCGCACATCTCACCTGGGATGAACTTGTGGACAAAAAACAAGATCGAGCAACTCGTGCAACACCCAAATCCCAACTATGTTCATGGCAAGTGGCAAAAGGGCAGCGACGCATCGTTCGTGAAGTTGCCTCTAAGCCAAGAGAAGGCTTCTTTTCGATGTTCGGTACTGGGGAGAAAGCTTGCAATGTGCAGCGTTGGTGCGGCGGGGACACTTCCATGGACCTTTCCATGGACCTGGGCAGCAAAACCCCGCAGCCGAGGCACACTTCTCGCACCTCCAGTTCTCAACGACCTGCAATGAAACACTCCACTGTTGGTCATGGGTCATGGGTCGCGATCCATGGTCCAACACACTGCAGCTTGCGCGCGCGCACACGAGTGCATGCAAGCACCTAGAATCCTAGAACGGCGAACCACCATCAGAAAATGCATCGTCCAGGCCTCTGATCGCGTGGCGTCTTTCTTGCGCTCACGTTTGCAGCGCCCGTCCGCGGTAACCTGATGTTTCGCCTTTCCCATGGGGGCGGCGTCAGTCCATGACCAACAAAGTCTGGAGGCAACGACCAACCTCAAGAGCGCCTAGGCTTGCAAGCCCCCTTACTGTTCTCAAGTGCCACTACTGCAATGCTTGGACATGTGGCGAACCGATTCAACTTTCTCCCTCCTGGTTCCTATGCACCCTGGTTGCGTGTCCTTCACGAGCCCTTACGCCTTACATCGTTCGTGCCTGTATATGCCTTTGAACTGCACCTGGTGTCCACAGGATGCCCCTGGAGCCAGGCTAAATTACAGGGCTGTAGCTCGAGGTGGCTTCCTGGAGCGAACCTCTGCAAACGACCCCATGTCCCCTGATGATCCTCATGTCCCTGTGCTACGTCACTGGTGTGCCAAGTCGGCCATCGGACGGGCTTCAGCCCGTGCGCGAAGCTTGTGTGAATTAGTTGAGCGCATCTGCGTGAGGAGCGCTCGGCGCTCGCTACGCTCGAAGCCTCCAGAAGTCAACTGTCAGATGCTCTCAGGGTGTGAGACCTCAACATCCTTTGGAAGCCCTCATTCCACCTTGGCACAGTGGGGAAGTCTGCCGGCACAAGCCCAGATTCTCCGCAAGAAGTCCCCTTGCCTCCAGCTCCGGAGGCTTGGGCGGCGCGCGCGGGGATTTGGCTCTTGGCTGCCGACCTCGGGTGTGCGTCGCGTGTTTTGGGTTGGAACGCGGGTGTCGAGACCGTTTGACTCTGAGCCGTGCCCCAGCCAAACCCCCTGTTGCATCCATGATCATCCATGGCATGTGATCTTCAACATCGTATCCCAAGAGGCCCCCTTGGCTACACGTACCAACACTCATAAACAGCCCCTTCTTCACTCACCAAAACCCCAAGGCACTTTTGTTTGGAAACTGGCACGGCCCGCCTCCGCGGTCCGGACCGTGGCTTAGATCGCGAAGCCACTCGTAGCGCCATGCATGCGATTCTCCAGATTCTCCACCTTGCGGCAGGCCTCGCCAATCCGCTTCCTTCTTGGCCTCCTGCTGGGCTAGGTGGTAAATCTCCAGCAACTCGGTGTCTTTGAGTCTCAGATGCCTGGGCGCGGCCGCACTTGAGGCTGATGTTGTGGAAGCATCTTGATCGAGGTGCTCGTGTGGCATGCTTCTGGCGTGGTCAGCGACCATCATGCTGTTCAAGACTGTCTGCTTCAGTCTCTCTGCATAGCCAGCGAGCTGATGAACATGGCGCTCGAATAGTTGCCTCTGACTGGGCGTCATGTCCGCAAAGTCTCCGATACCTCTGCCGAGGTGATGCAGGACAAGTAATCGCACACCTTCCGGCAGAGTTGCATCTAACGGGATGCATAAGCAGTCGCGATCCGTCTCGCAAGACTCACTCTGTACATCTGTCTTCAGTATGTTGGAGGCCTCTGTGCTGACAGAGGTAGGCGTGGCCGCCCGACCCACGGGACCGCGATCAACGTCCAGGCGTGTGCTCATCGATGCAGAGATCTTGGCCCGTTCGGGGAGCGCACGAACTGCTGGAAGGGACGATTCTTTATCAGCATCATCAGAACACCAGTCCCAGGCAGCATCTGCTTTGCCAGGTTGGGCCTCACCTGCCTCGATGTGTGAGAGCGGTACGACTACTTTCCCGTCAGTATGAGCCCCGCCCTGCTCAAAGGGGTGCTTCCTTGCGTTCGGGGGCACTCGACAAGGCTGGGGAACTTGGCTGTCACAAAGTGTCTGCCCGATTCGTCTCAAAGCACGTGCCAAAACAGCACAAGCTCCTCGCTGACCTCAGACAGAAGGTCCAGGCAGCATGCGTCTGCCCTACTCTTGCAGCTGAGGCCGGCTGCTACACGGGTTTCCCAGTTTCTCATGTCTTCAGGACTGGGTCTGGCCAGGGAGCCTTTGCAGCGAGCGAGGCCGTCGAAGCAGCCATCACGCACCTCAGTCGCGGGCCACTTCATGTGATGTTCATGTGGCTAGAACTTCGAAGTTCTCGGCAACCAATGCACTCAGAAGCATTTGTGGCAACTCCGCGGGAACATGGTGTTGCGACATGGTGATGCAACTGGCAACTCCATGCAACACCCTTCCATGCCACATCCGCCGAGTCCGAGCATCGTGCCCTTGCCATGCGCAAGAGGGCCCCAGACTTGTAAGCTTGCGCGCCCTCTTCGGTTGCACAAACGGCCTGCCTCTCTTTCCCCAGAGATCTTGAAGCCCAAAGTCTGAGGTGAAAGCTCACTCGAAGCGACGCAACTTCCGATGATTGGTGTGTCTTGTCTCCTTCGCCCTCTGTCTCAACAAGCAGCAGCACCAGGCACACGACTCAGCCGATTTTGGGTCATCGCATGACGCATGACGGTGGTTAGGCACGGGTTTCCCGATTGCTCCCTATAGGACTGCCTTGCGTCAGCTTATTCAGGCAGTCGAAACACCAGGCCTCCCTGGGCCAGTCTATGGGTTCAGGCAGAGAGCGCGTCATGCCTTCGAAAATGCAAGAACAAGCCCCTCCAGCATCCTCCAGCATTCAGTGTGCGGCCTTGCACACACGCAAAAGGCGCAAGCCTCCTTCGGAGAGCATTGTATGGCACTGTTTGCGCACACGCCAGTGTCTGTCTGTTGCGTGTCCTGTACATCTTTCACGCAGCACGGTGGATTAGCTGGCACTGCCAGGCAAAAGGCGCCGCCAGCAGGCTCCAAGGCATTTGGATCGAAAGAGGTGACCCATCACATGTCTCGAGTTGAGCATATACCAATTCGGAACCCCGAAGGCACAGATGCAAACCCCCATAACTATCCAAACTACCCACGTTGCACTGCGGGCAGCCTTTTTGTAGCTAGTCACTCACTTTTCGCGGACCGGCAGAGGCGCAGCCTTTGCTCTGAGGACAAGCAGGGGGTGTTCGGGCTGGGAGGGGGGTGGCATGCGTATAGGTACATATATATATATATATATATATATACACATATATATATATATTGATATATATATATATATATACATTTACACATATATCTGGATGTGGGACGATCTATTTGACGGGATCTATGTGGGCTGAGTCATGCACAGCAGTTTGCAAGATTTCAAATCTCTAGAACTCTTGAAATGTGTAAAGGGAAGCCGAAATCTTTTGATAATTCGAAAGTCAGACAATTCTCAAACAAGCAATCAACAACAGACTTTAAAGGCCTATTTTGGCTGGTCGGGGGCTCATCTGATCCCCTGATCTGATCATCATCACTCCTGAAAATGTCTAACAGCTTTTCCTTTTCAACCGTGTCAAGTGGAACTCACCCTAACATGAACCAAAAAGGCTCACCTCCCTACGCTTCTCCTTACTTTCTTCCTATCTCTTGCTTGTGACACGTGCGGATGGGCGGGTGGGGGATCCACCTCGCCCTCAAACCCTGTCCTTTTCTCCTCTCTGGTCCGACAACCAAGAGGCTGACATGTAAGATGGAAGGTCTCGTTTTGCCTTCTTCTAAGTCGTTGCTCCTTCTCATGTCTTCCTTTGTCTGCTCTTCCAGCTGCCTGCAAAGATTTTGGCAAGTATTGAAGAGTGGAAATGTTCACACATGTGCCACGGGCCAAGAGGCCTGCCTCTTCAAACTTTAAGTTGTTGAAAGGCGGAAAACAATAGTTGAAGCTTTGGAAATAAACAAACTTGCACAATTTTCCAGCGTTTCAGAACACCCCAGAACGCAGTCCTCCCAAGGAGACCGTTTAGATTTTTCGCTTGAACAATAGTGTTTCTCAACTTTCAAACTTCCACACTGTCAAGATGTTCGGCTTCCTCCGGTCTCTGAGAAAAAAACCCTTGAAAAGCACCTTTTTTCCATGACATCCCAGCTGCAAGGCCGCGGCCACTGCGCCCGTCACGTCCTCCGCAGTCCCGGCCTCCCTTTGCAGGGAGAGGCTCCAGGCCTACAAAGTCGCAGGAAGTGGCCCCGGAAATTGCAACAAGAGCTCTGAGTCACAAGCCTTAAAGCCATTTAGGGTTTAGGGTTTAGGGTTTAGGGTTTAGGGTTTGGGGTTTGGGGTTTGGGGTTTGGGGTTTGGGGTTTGGGGTTTAGGGTTTAGGGTCTTTTTCCCACCCGTTTCGCAAGCGTTTAGGGCTTAGGGTTCAGGGTTCAGGGCTCCAGCACAAGAGGGCACGCGAGCAGAGGTGAGCAGACCGCACTTCATGCAATCTCGCCTTCAGCGCCTTAATCTTAGCCTCGTCGGAGACCGTGGAGAGACTTCCCAACCTTGCAGAGAACAGGCTCCCGAACGTTCCTTGAGATCGGCTACCCCGGCACCTCAAGACTCTTGAAACTTCGCCAAGGATCTCTGCAGACGCCTCACCTGAATTCAACTTCTCTTGGAAGAGCATCTGGAAAATCGAAGGCTTGCCATCATCCCTGGACACTACATGCTCTGGCAAGGCAAAAAAGAAGCAGAGGCAAAGATGAACATGGCAGCTGTTTCAGCTGTTTCAGCTGTTTCAGATGTGGCCTGTCCGCATTCTCACGGTTCGAGAGGAGACGCTTCAATGCGGAGGCTGCTGCGCCATTCACATCTTCTGTGTCCAGCGCGTCCTAGGCTCGACGTCACATAGACTCCCGACTTGACAACTCTTGACGCCTTGGCTGTTGCAGGAAGAACCTCAAAAGGCTCGGTAGACTTAGGGTATCTTAGAGTGCTTCAAGCGGCCAGGAACGCAGACTGAAGCGAGGAGATCGCTCTCTTCCGGTCTTCTGGAAGAGAATCAAAGGCAGCACTTCGCTGTGCCATCAGGTCAAACTCATCCATCTCGCGCTCCAGGGTCCTGAAACAGGAGGCTGGAGAGATTTGAGGGAAGGGTTTCGGCTGGTTTGGGGCTGGTGCACGCTGGTTTGGGGCGCGAAGGAACACGACTGACCTGCAGCGTGGTCGGAAGCAACGGAGGGAGGGAACGAGAATGAAATCAATTCCTAACTTGCACTCGCGCAAGGAGCCACTCGAGCTCACCCAAAACTCAACCCAGCAGTGCTGAGCCTGTGTTGAGTGACTTCACACATGATATGAAGAAGGCATGTCATGTGATACAGTGCGCCGTGTAGTCAGGTAAATCCTGATCCAGGCGAGGTTTCTTCGATATGATTCAGCTTCAGGACTTGTCAGCTTAGCTCTCTGGCTGCATGCTGCCTCAAAGCCCAAGCCAGCAGGACGAGTGAATGCAGCACGGTCGCCAGGCGTGGACACGAGGTTTCGACTTGTGTTCGGCCGCGACGGGGCGCGAGAAGCATGATGCTGATGCTTGAAAGCATACGGCCGTGCACGAAATGTCCTGTCTTCATCGCCACATATTTTCATATGCATCTCGGCCATAGGCGATGACTCCGGCGAGTCCAGCCAAGAAGATGCAGGAGAGCCTTCCGCCCCCTCCGAAGTTTCCATGCTTTGCAGCGAAGCCTCCAAGGAGGCTTTGGCCTGAACTCAAAGGCGGCCAGACCATGGTTCGGGGGCACCCAACGTCTCCAAGGGCACAAGCACCACACACCCTAAACCCTAAACCCTAAACCCTAAACCCTAAACCCTAAACCCTAAACCCTAAACCCTAAACCCTAAACCCTAAACCCAAGCAGGAGCCTTCAAGTGAAGCAGCGCCTTGGCAGCAGCCGCATTGACATCCATCTCGGAGTGCAACTGGTCTAAGAAGGACTTTTGCAGCTGGGAAATGGCTTCTCCTGACATGCGCCATTTCTGTACTTGAGATTGCTTGCTCGGCACCTCGAAACAGTCAAAAGTGCCGCCGCCACTCGAAACTGCCAGGGGTCTTTTTCTAGCGTCGCCGACGGCGGCTGCCTGGTAGTGATCCCACATGTCAAACTCATCCAGGGGAGGCTCCTCAGGAGAGCAGCTGCTTCGAACAAGTATGCTACTTTCATTGTGCTTTGCACTTCCCTTCCAGTCTAGGCGCCATCACCACATCTGTTTCGTCATCAAGGGAATGGCTGCAAATGACCTCCTCCGACTTTGCAGCCATTGCTGCCTTATTTTCCAGGCTGCCACTAGGACCTGCTATTCACAGGACGCTTGAGCCATTCGCGGCAGGACGCCTGCACGAACAAACCCAACAAACGCCGCAAACACCACAATTGCCGCAAACGCCGCCATTGCCACAAATGTCACGCACGCCGCACACACACACACACACACCACAAACCCCACAAACGACATAAATGCTACGAAGGTGAGTTCTGATGCCCGGCTCCTGAAGGTTGAGACTTGGCCTCGGCCAAGGGCACGTGGACTTCAGAGTTTTTCTGGATAACGTAATACTCTGCAGGTATAGCAACACATAACTAGCGTAAAAGAAATAAGACTAGTATATGAACATGATATAGAATATCATACAGAACATAATATAGAACATGACACGTAGAATTGCAGATAAACGATAACATACCACATATCATGCGTATCGTACTTTATATAATATGTAACATTAAACAGTTAAACAGCACAACAAGATTCAAATAATCATGAGGTGGGAATCAACGACTCAGGGAATCAAGGACTCTCGGATGCCGGCAAGCCCAATCGTTCCACAGGTAGCGTGTTCCCCACGTAGTAGCCATGGTTCAACTCCTTGTGCCGGGCATGAGCCATCTGAGAGTACGCACTTGGACGCCAAAACCTGCACTCGGTGGCAACAGTTAATAAGACCTGGACAAACTTTGCACCATTCCACCCTGCCAGCACACGCAAGGATGCACCTCTTTGCACGTTACACATGCCTCCAGCACAGGCTGTGTGGTACCCCCCTGTGCTGCCAGCAAGAAAATCAAGTGAGGCTTGCTGAGCCTACGCCCTGAAGCAGTCGGTGCTTCTCCTCCAAAGTCATCACCGGCAGCCTCTTTGAGCTGTTGCGGGCTTGTACAGGGATTGCAGTTGCCACGACAGTTGGGAAGACACGCATGAGAAAGTCTGAAACGCAGGTGTTGTTACTTTTCGAATAGACATTTTAGCAGATCCAGGACTGCACGCGGAGTCAGAGTGTCTGGCAACCGCTCTGCCAGGGCGTAGGCTTCGTCCCACGATCTGGGCGATGGCCTGCAGAGCATACACCTCCTACTCCTTCGTTTTGGACCTCGCTTCGTCACCTGTTACGCTGAACACTGTTGCACACACTGAGGAGGCAGCACTCTCGCCATAGGGAAGTGGAGACCTGCCACCGACACCCGCCGATGCATGCTACAGATGAAGCTGTCGACACTCCACATGCACGCGGGCTTGCGCCTGGAATCTTGAAGCTGCAGGCGCCACTATAGCGTCGCCCCAGAGCATCCTAGTAGATTCTCTACTGCAGGCTGGGAAAAAACAGAAAGGAAAACCGACAAAAAGGCTTAGATGCGAAGCCAACAAAACACAGCCGGAGCCTCCAGCGTCTGACAGGCGGCGTTGGCTGTCAAAGCGTGCGAGGCCCAGGCCGGCACCTGCCAAACAAAAAACACCCAACCTGCAGCCCCCGAATCACTTTGACCTACTGTAGCTACTAAAGCCTACTGAACCGAAGCAGTTCATGTGCGGCCAAGGGTGCTGTTGTCCGGGGCCAGCAGGTCCATCCTGTCAGCTTGCTCGATCTAATTGCCCGCCCGTGCAACAATAGGTCTGGGTGTCGAACGGACGTTCGCATCGCTAGACCTGCAGCAACCCCGTCCGACTGAATCTTTACGACCTGTTGAACACAGCAGCATTCTGCACATAAGCCCAGATACCAGCAGGCCACTGCTGCACCGGCAGTACCACCGCACCTGCCCCGGTCAGACGAACCCGCGCAACCCGAAGCAGACTCAGATGCTGACACGCGGGCCCAATGCTGCTACCGATCTTCTCCGAACAGGCATCCAAGCCATCATAGCCTGCGAGAGACAGACGTGCACATCCGACATGCGCACGGAGCTTTGCTCCGCGCGGTGCTCAGGACCAGCCTTCTGCCCATCTCGCCTGCAACCTCGGGACATCTCGGGGACATCGGACACTTATCAGATCTTGCCCGCGACCCTGCCCTGCTCCCGCATGTTCAAAGGAACAACTACGAGAAAGTTCACGAAAAATGTGTCGCTCGTTTGGGGTGCAGAGGAGCGTTCGTCGGCCCTTTACTTTTGTGGAGCCCTAAAGCGCTCAGCCCCTTCAATCCATGTTCAGTGTGTTGCATCGTTCGGTGGAGCCGCAGTTTTCGGTGCACTCACAATCACTAGGACCTCACTTGGAGCACAAATAGCACTGAAAGCACTGAAAGCACTGAAAGCACTGAAAGCACTGAGAGCATTGAAACGTCCCATTCTGAGGCACGTTCAGGAACAGGAAAGCTGCCACGCCGCTGGCTCCATGAAGCCGAAAGGATCGCATCTGCTGTCCAGCTGTATGTAGAGCTTGTGTAGAGCTCCTTTTTGTTGCTGGAGATGTGGTGCTCTGGTGCTTTTGGGCCGGCGTAGTATGGATTGCAGCTTCAGGTCTGCAAGAAACCTGACTGGCCTTCAACTATTCCGACAATCAAATGGCTGGTATATGGGAATGCGGTGAGCTCGGTCGGCTTTAGGGACGTCATGTCCAGCAAGAAGAAGGCGCAAAAAAGGCAGGGGCAAACTTTCATGGCAGTGTCTTTGCTCCGAGATGTTGCACGGTTCACTGTCGAGCGGGTGCATCTCCACAGCGAATCCTGCAACTCGGCGAAGCTGCAGCTTTGAAATGCCTGTGGGGCCAGACAGTTGACAGAGACAGGGAGAACCACAAGAGAGTGAGGGAGTGGAGGGGGGGGGGGGGGCAGGGAGGAAGGAGAGAGAGAGCGGCAGAGAGCGACAGAGCGACAGAGCGAGAGAAAGAGAGAGAAAGAGAGAGAGAGAGAGAGAGAAAGAGAGAGAAAGAGAGAGAAAGAGAGAGAGAAAGAGAGAGAAAGAGAGAGAAAGAGAGAGAGAGAGAGAAATAGAGAGAAAAAGAGAGAGAGAGAGAGAAAGAGAGAGAGATAGAAGAAAGAGAGAGAGAGAGAGAAAGAGAGTGAAAGAGAGAGGGAGAGAAAGAGAGAGAAAGAGAGAGAGAGAGGGAGACTCGGAGGCAAACAGCCCCCGCCGAGTTCCCCCTCCGAGCCTGCTCAAAGTCATCAATGGCATGGCGATTGAAGTCTTGAGCTTTGCATAAGACATCACACAACAGACAGAACACCTCCCATCATACACGAACAGCTGCTGCTGGGGCAAGCTGTGCGCGGATGTTGCGCAAGTCTAGGTGCTGCGGCTGCAAAGGTACACATATCCTGAGGCATCGCTCACAAAAAGCGAGTGCAAAGTCACCCAGGCCACCTGCGTCTCGTGATTGCGCCTGATTGGGAGGCGAACGACGCCATTCGAAAGCTTGACGGCGTCACCTTCTTGGAGAACCAGTTCTCCGGCTTCGACTGGGGGCTCGACAAGTGCAGAGTCCAAAGCTTGGCCCTGTCGACGTTTGAGCGGCTCCAACGCACGCCAGCACCGGCCTGGGCCGCCGGGCAGGTGGAATGTCAACAGCGGAGCCCCAGCATCTGGTGCAGACAGTGTCACCCAGCCAAACGAGTCAGCCGAGTCAGACGTCCAGACTGGCATTCGCAAAGTCTTTCCCGTCAGCTTGCAGATACCGTCTTGCCGGACAAGCGTCCCTGCAGGGAGCTCGGCAACGACAGCCGATTCGAGGCTGCACTCGCTCCTCACGACAACCTTTCGCTGAGCCATCCACAGGCAACCAGAGCACCCGGGACTAAAATGAAGCCTGCCGTCCGAGCAAGGCCGTGCATCGAGAGTGACCCAAGCCAAGTGATCCTCCATTGAATCCATCGAGATGGGCATTCGAAGCAACCCGGCTGCTGGACCAGAAGTCAACTGAACACATCTCGCAGGCTGGATCACGACATCACCAGAGTCAAGGTTCCTGCCAATCTGGTCCGAAGCCAGGTCAGGAGCTTTCTTGGCACAAAGGCCGCTGTAGAGGGCCTGCCACATGACTCCTGGGCCAGCGATGTCGCTAACAGATGGCCACTTATCTGAGCTTGTCACGGCACCACCACGGCGCACCTCTGGGCTGGTGGGCCGCGGCTCGAAAGGAGTTCCCCAAGTCCCCCAAGCAGCTTGAGCATGCTGGGCATGTTGGGCTTCCCGAGCTTCCCGAGCCTGCCGAGCTTGCCGAGCTTCCCACCCTTCCGATTCTTGAGACTGTTGGGCACCGCTTGTCGGCGAAGCCTCCTCTGTACCCTCGCTCTGGGAACCCATGGCAACAGTGAAGCCCAGGCGGCGCTTGTGGGGGCCATCACCAGACAGCGCCTCTAATGCTGCGACAGCCGCTGGCCCTCTCAAGCCATCCACTTCCAGGACTTGGCAGCCCTCGGCGACCTGAAGGTCGAATTGTCCTGCCCACTCGTTCCACCGCTCCATGGCTGAGCCCGGCGCCACCGACACGGCGAAGGCGCGGTCCCCGCGGTCGCACACCGCGAGGGAGAGGCCGGGCTCCTCTTCCGGGTCAAGCTGCAATCGCACGAAGAAGCCCTCCAGCCGGCTCTGGGATGCCATTCTCTTGCATGGGTCCCGCTTCGCCTCCTGGTGCGCTGGGCTTTCCAAGTGACCGTCTTCAGCCACGCGATCACAGAGGCTGCAGTACGCCTGCAGGTATCCGGCCACAAGCCGCATCCTCATCCAGCCAAACGCCTTCTGCTCCTAGGAGATGGCACAGGAGGAGCTTCCCTTTACCACCCTTTACCTCTCCCGTCTCTCTGCGTGTGCCTCTAGCAGGAGAGTGGTGGAAGCTTGGCAGAAGTATGAATGAAGGGCCGAGGCTCTTTCTCTCTTTCTTATTCCCTCGTGCTCTATATTTCGCTTATTGTGTGTCTGTGTCTGCGCACCAGACGAAAAAGAGAAAGCCGTTTGCCACACTTGTGGACAAGAGTCCTCCCACTCAGCTCTCTGCAGCTCCGTCCACAAAATGTCAGGCGTGGCTGGCGGATCTGGTGACTTTGCTGGCTTTGGCGGCTGTGGTGACTCAGCTCGGGTGCCGGCAGGGAGGACCCATGCACGCAGCCGAGCAAATTCCAGCAGGTCTCGCCAAGCATTGCCTGGAAGACGTTGTATCTAGATGGTTGCACAGCATCCGGAGCACAACCCCCCCCCCCCCCCCAAGCAGCTCCAGAGCCTTTAGACTGTCCATGGTAGAGAGTTTCCATGTCTCCGATAATCCAGACATTGCGCTTGGCTCTGGTGACCGCCACATTCCTCACATCGATGCTTCCAAGCTCAACCCAAGAACCAGATTTCGCTTTTTTCACATCAACAGAAAGCAACCGAACCGAAAGGCAGCACACCATGTGGTAGGCTCATGAGAAGGCATGCGCAGCTGAGGTGCAGCCGCCGCTCATCTGCATTGAAGCCGATGCTCTTGCCAGACCTGCGCAGGGACAAGTACGACTCCAGCATCTGAACAAGCACCGGTAATTCGTGCAACAACTCAAGCCTGACAGTGGAAATGACGATGATGTCCCGCCTTGTTTGCTCGGCAGCTGCGCATTTAAGCTTTAACTTTAACCCTGACCAAAAAAAGTAAAGGGAGAGCTGCACGCATCCAAGGCGCTCGTTCCCTTGAAATCCATCCACAGTTGCCACGGATGTGCAACTACGGACGCGATCGTGGGCCTTTTTCAAGAGATCTTCGAAAAGTTCTACCTGGGCACGGTACGGTGTGATGATACCGACGGTAGTTCCCATTTGTGGCCGGCACTTGCGGAAGAACTGGTGCAGAATTTGCATGAGGAAATCAGCTTCGCGAGGATTGCGATATGAAAAGCGTACCTCTGCATCTAAGAAGGCAGGACATGAGTGCAAGTACCGCACAAGCCTGCGACTAAGCTGTGCATCCCCGCTACCGTACCCTTTGAGAAGGCTGCGCGCCTGTTCCTCCATCCAACGTTCCTGAGAAGTGTCCATCCTCGGCACATTAACGGTAGCTCATTGACACGCTCGTGGCCTCAAAGCGCGGATAGAACGTCGGAGAACGTGAGAGAACCCTGCCGTTGCCATCTAAGCGGCAGCCGAAAAGGACCAATCCGATGCTGCTCAAGAGGATTCAAGGCATCCGCATCTGGATCCAGGAAGGTCTCTCTTTGCAAGACGTTGTCGGCCGTCCGGATACGTCCAGCCTCGTCCGAGCCAAAATACAATCCCCGAGATTCACGGGTGTGGGCGGGAGGGTTTCGCGATTGGGTTCATGGCCGCAAGAGCTTCCAAAGGCTCAGCGATGATCAGCACGTGGAATAGATGGTCTTGGGGGATTGCGGCCAAGAAGCGTAAAAGCAGTCATTGGACCAGCACAGGATCGGTGGATCCATGCGGTATTGCTCCTCCAAGAGATCTGGTTCAGTTCCGAATTGCTCTAGGCGCTCGAACCTGAGCACGTTTGGACATGTTGATGCTGATGCTGAAGGTGTCAGGAAGATGTTCAGTAGTCTCAAAGTGTCGCCGACTTATGTGCCACGCCACTCTACAATTACATACCAAGTATGCGGAGAATATTGAGAAGACTTCATCCAGGCCACATGGAACGTGCATAACCCGCACGCTTGGCCAGCGTCGACGACACGGTGGCCGGGAGCTGTCGCGGGTCGCCCACCAGGAAGAGGCGCTGCACCCAGCTGCGCAGTGCCACGAGGGTCTCGGCTTCGCATGCTTGGCAGGCCTCATCGATGAGGACTGTCGGGATCTGCTGGCCACAGATGCTGCTCCGCCCTGCCACCGTGAGGGTGCAGAACACCAAGGCCGCCCTCCTCAGGAGCGCTCCTTTCAGGAAGGACGACTGCGCCGTCCGCACGGCCATGCAGGCATGCAACAGCTCGACGTGAACGGCCGAGGCTGCATCCAGAGCATCCAAAGTCTGTTGGGAAAGCATGGTCCGCAGGCGTGCATCCACGTTGATCTCGAAGCTCCTGGAGGGCTCCACATCCTGGGCGTCCTGGGTCCGTTCATTCTGTGCGGTGCCAGGGACTGGACATTTCAAGGACTTGCGCACTGCCTCCATGGCCAGCTCCTGATTCTGGAAAGCAGCCGTGGCGCAAAGCCTCATGTCTGGGGATGCCTTGTCCGGATGTAAGAGGACCTTGAGACGCTTCTCGGCAGCAGCCAGGGCCTCCTCCGATGTCGCGGGTGTCGGGGCAATTGGAGATGCATCCAATCCGAGGAGTTCGATCAATGCTTCCAAGGCCTTGGCCTTCGCATCCGCCTCATGATTAACCACCCAGTCCACCAGCGCGTAGGCACGCTTCCGGTCCTGCGCCATCTGCGCCATGTCCCTAGCGATGCCGGCACTGCCAACGGACTCCCCGACCGCCCCGCCCTCTTCGGAACCTGCCGCAGCCGCCGCTACTCCCTTTCGAGGACTTCGAGGAGGGACTTCCACCCACTCGGACGAGGCAGAAGCCTCCGGCTCCCAGAGCTCCAGGAGCTCCGCAAGCTTTTGCTTGAAGAGCTCGAGCTGGTCGCGCAAGGCTTGGAGGGTGCGGAAGACTTCTGCTTCAGCTGACAACCTCCGCCTCTCCTGCCTGGAGCACATGAAAGGGGAGAACTCTTGCGTTGCAAAGGCAACCTCACTGCAGAGCTCGACCTCTTGGTCCTGGACAGTGTTCAGAATGTCCTTAAGCTTCCGATGCACGAAGTCCAGGAGGCGCACGACCTGAACGGCGTCCTGGCCTGGCTTCTCCTTGCCCTTGCCACCCTTGCCACCCTTGGACGAGTGCCAGCAAGCGAAGGCCTGCACAGGATCGCTCACCAAGAGGGCAAAGCAAGAGTTTCCTGCTTCATACGCCCATGGAGGTTGCTGGAGATACGGCTTCGCCTTCCCAAAGCCCTCCCCAAGCCAGAAGCGAGCGATGCGTTTGACGCGCTTCTTCCTGTGGTCAAGAAGAACACCTGAAAGCCGGGCATCATCACCACGCAGATCTGACCACGGGATTCCCGCACGGTCTTGTGTTGCCACCAGGACCACCTGACACCGGTGCTCAGCACCAAGGCGATCCAGCAGGCGTCGCAGCACCTCCTGCACGGCGATGTTGGTCGGAGCACACACAAGGCATCGGTTCGCATGGCGCTTCCTCGTGTCGACGTCCGGTGGCTCCGGCAGGTTTTCGCATTTGCTGCCGCGGGCGCGCTTTTGGAAACGGTTCCTCCCTTTGCTTTTTGGTGCCTGCCTGCAGCGGGGGTAAACAACGTACGCGTTAAAAATACCCTGGCTAACACAACCGGCGGGATCACTCAGACACAAAGAGGCGCATCAACATCACGGCAAGCTGCGCAGAATCGTCGGCATCCTCCTTGGCCTTGACGCACAGCGCCAGTTTCGCGCACTGCTCCAGAAGCACCGCCAGCGTATGGGTCTTGCCAGTTCCTAGCAGACATAGAGATACCATGAGATGTCGAGACTTTCAAAACAAAACATGATGGCAGTGTGGCAGTGTGGCAGTGTGGCAGTTTAGCCGTTTGGCCTGGAGGGCCCTGCACCAGGCGAACGCCATGCGGACAGTCAACCAGCTTCTGGACCGCGCGTGCTTGCGAAAGGTTCAAGCCCATGTCTTGCAGGTCCGCCTCGGTCAGGCCGGAACGCATGGCAGCACACTGCGCCTCGGAGGTCCCAGTGAAGGTGCTGGCATCACAGTCGCGGCGACCAGAGATCTCACGCTGCCAGAAAATTGGATGGTGGCCGCCAGGGTTGGCCAGGGCGGCTCCGATGCGGATGGATGTCAGAGCATGACAACTTAACATGGCAAGCCTCCACTTTTTTGGCTTGCCTTCAACGAGCAACCTCACCCCCGTTGCTGAGGCATCCTGCATCACAGGCTCGCCATCCCAGCCCTCTACAGCTCTGACTAAGTTCCCCGATCGAATGCCCAACTTCCAGGCTCGCCCGTCTCTCCTGACATGGCCAATTCGCCAAACGCCCTCCAAGCTCGGACTCTTGATCAGCTGTATGTCTGCGCTTGCTTCTTCGCAGCCTCCAGCGTACAGGACCTCAAACATGTCGGTGGCATCACACGGCGGCAAGCGCTTGTCTTGCGAGATGAGGACCACTGCATGCTTGCTCTTCGGCGTGGTGTGAAGAAGGCCCAGCCGGTAACAACCTGCTGCACGAGAGGGTACTAGTGGTAGCAGGAAAGACTGTTTGTGCCAGATGCTGTGGAAGGAAAAGCTTGCAAGACATTGTGCGCCTCCAGGATGTACTTGCAATGGAAGGGCCTCGCGGGGCATCTCTTCTGCAACCAGCGGGCCAGGCAAGGCGGCTGGCTTCGTGATGGCACCATCCTTCAGAATTTGCATGTACGCTGAGCCTTCTGGCTCGCAACAGTCTCGCAACCATCAAGGGTCAAAAATGCTGCAGCATGCGCCTGGAAGAGCAGGCACATTTGGCCTGGAGCTCCTTGGGCACACTTTGCCTGACCCCGGCCAGCCAGCACCAGCATCACCTCTTCAGAATCCGATTCCTGAGCTGCACAACCACAATGACACAGAATCTGTGCTGCAAGTCGCTTCTTTCTGGCGAGCAGCGGGAAACCATGGGGGTATGCGAGGAATGTCCTTTTTCTCCGCCTTCATCGTCTCGTGTGCAACCTGGCCAGATCATCCAGATCTGTCCAGTGGCAAGCAAAGCCATACAACACAACCGACTGTCCCAACACCTTGCCTCCAGCGGAACCAGGCGCACTTCCTCTGCAGCCTCCAGGTCCAAATCATAGGGGTCCAAGGATTTCTTCAAGTCCTCACGCAGCTCCTGACACTCAATGAGACAACCGGGCAAATGCGGACAGAGGAGCCAGTAGGAGCCTGGGAGGACGGAGGAGGCTCATAACCACATGGGAAACATGAAGACTTTGTCGCACAACGGGCCTCCAGCATTGGCAGAGCAAAGCTGCGCCTCAGTGAGACCAATGGGAGCCCGTGCATGGCACAAAAAACCCAACGGACGACTCGCGCAATATTCGTCTCAGAACACAGGAGGTTAGCCACCTGTGGTTGTGCTCATTTAAACCATGCTTTCTGCCAAGGCTCAGGTACTCGTACTGGTTGCAGAACGTGTCGGGAATCGGCGTGTCGATCGTGAGCTCATATGACAAGGGGGATCGCAGCAAGTCTTTCGCAGTCACAGGCTGCGAGATGGAGAACCTCCAGAGTTCTGGAGCCAGTTGGTCGTCCAGCTGCCTGGTGATCAGGAATCGGGAAACGTGAGATTGGGTCAGCACGATGCTGTTGTCCTCCATCTCCAGCTCTTCGCTGTCTTCGTCTAGTTCTGGAAGTTCTGGGACCTGTCCGTCCAAGCCCACATCCTCCCCGGTACCTTCACCTTCGCACTGCAGTTCCTCAAGGACTTTGACCATTCTCTCAGGCCTCGGTGCACTGCTGAAGCCCGTCTGCTCCAAGCCCGTCTGCTCCAAAACCGGCTCCGCGCCGGCCTCAAGGGCCTCCAGGGAGTGGAAGAACGTCTCCTCTGCAGTGCGGCCGATCATCTCAGAGGTCGTCCGAATCTGAGCTCGGCGGCCCCTCCACAACCCAGTGGTCCACCGCCTCCAGAAGCCCCACTTTTCTGCGGCAGCGTCGTCCGCGACCCGCACTCTGATGGTGGCGCCTTCTGCCGGCCGCATCTGCTGAAAGAGTCGGAAAACGGCCAGGCGTCGATTCGCCATGGTCCAGAACTGCCCCTCCGTCCAGTACACCTCCACAATGGGGATCTCACTCGTGGACTTGCCCTGAAGAAGCTCTTTCAAGGTAGAAGCGATGCTCTTTCCATCCTTAAAGTGCGCCGAGATGGAGAAGTGGGAGAATCCAATCTCCTTCGGTGACAGATCGATTTCCGTCCCTGCTTCGTAGGGGCATGGAGCCTGCGACTTGCGCAGGGTACTTGTGTCCAGCGTGTCGGGCTCAAAGGCTATCGGCAGAAAGATCGATTCCAGAAACGGAAGCGAGCGATGAGCGGAGCCTCCACGATGGAGACGGTGCCTTGCATCTTTCAAGGTCTGGGCAAACACATTGAAGTCACTGTCAACCTCTTCTGTCTGGAGGTTTGAAGCCTCCTCGAGCTGTTTCAGAAACAGGTACGTTCTTCGCAACACCCGCGTTAGAATCCCATCGTATTCAGACCCGCCAGCGGCTTCACTGCAGCTCTCAAAGTTTTCGCCATTCATCCACTTCAAGACAGCTTCAACAAAGCCCGCCCGCTTTCGAAGCTGTTGAATTTCCAAGTTTGGCGGAGAGTGGAGAATCTTACCTGAGAGCCATGAGTGTCTCTCCCAGCTTCTGCATCCACGCAACCGGAATGTCAGAGACAATCTAACATGTCCCCCCCCCTTCTCCTGAAGCTTACGGAAGCCTGGGCTAATTTTAAGCACTTTGCCGGGCAGCACTTTCGCAAGTCTGCGAAGACCTGCGCAGACGTCGCCTCACACCAGGCCCAGTAGGGGTCGAAGTCGCGGTGGGTCAAAACCTGCCGAATTGCGTAGTCACCAGTCCCGATTGCTCAAAGCCCCCCGAACACCTAAACGCCTAAACAGTCTCAAACCCAAACTGGGGACCTCCTCCTCTTCTTCCAGGTCGTTCACAAAACAGCTCAAGAAGGCGACCAGGTGATTTGCCGAATTCCCTCTGCGGAGTTCCATGGGCATGTCCCAGATCCTGGCTTTGGTGTTTAACTTGCTTTTGGGTCGGGGGAGAGAGTGTTTGTCGCATGTAGGGTCTAGAGTCTAGGGTCGGCTAGGGAGATTGGGGGAACCGAGGGTCCCGTGTTGAGAGCTGGGCTGAGAAGGCGCTTACTAGACAGGAACCTTGCACCCGTCTCAAGAAATGCCTTGCTGAAGGAGCGCAATGTCACAAGACTGCGGGAATGAAACGTTTCGGAGTTTCCCGGAGCCCAGGCCTGAAGCACACGAGCGGAGGCGTCGGTACCTGGATGTGGGCGCAGGCGCGGCCCAGCAATGTCAGCCGCCAGCCGTCTTCAAGAAGACCCTGTCGGACCAGCACTTCGAGCTTCCTCGACAGCTCCTGCTGAAAGATCAGCTCGTCCGACTTTCCAGTCTCGAACTGCTTGAAGCTCTGCATGAGCAGCAACGTTAGAACGCCTCCCCCAGAACGAAGGCAGCGAAGGATTAAGGAAAAACTCAGTGTGAACTTGCTTTCCACAGGCTCGGCTCTACCAACGACAAGCTTGTGCACGAAGCCAGCTTCCACTTGCTGCGTCATCATGCTCCATGCGTTCCCCTGCGCATCCTGACCCCGCCTTCCTGCCCTTCCTGCCATCTGCATATACTCGCCACCCCGAATTGGGCGCTGCTCGTTTCCATCAAACTTCTTGAATTCGCTCCCCCGGGGCCAATTGAAGATCACAGCCCGGCTCGGCATGTTCACTCCCACGGCGAAGGTCTCCGTCGTGCAGAGGACTCGAACGAAGCCCTCCTGGACAACGTAGGGGACTTCCCCAAGACAGAAGGACCTTGAAACAAACGAAAAGAAGGGCGCCGCTCCTTGAAGAGCTTCTCTGTGAGTTCTCGCAAGACAGGTAGTAGCCCACCATGGTGAAGGCCCACGCCCCTGCATGGAGGGAAAGAGGGAAACACACAACACGCAGCACTTATGTTGTGATTCAGAGATTCATTACCTCCCCCCCCCTCGGATGATACTCCAGGGCTGAACTCCCCACCATCCTGCTCAGCAGAAATTCGCACTCTCGAACCGAGCGCAAGCTGCGATCTTGTTCGGCCAGCTGCTTCTCCACGACCTCTGCCACTTGTCGACAAACTTTCCTGCAAGCGCGCGTGGCCCAGTTGTCTTAAGAATAAAACTACTGACCATCGAGGAGCCGGCCCTCTCAAGCCTCCCGAATCCTTTATCCTACAGTAACATACTTGTGCTCGACGTCTCAGACACATTCGCATACCGCAACAGGCCCCCCCGCCTCCTCATCTCCGCCCGGAAGCGCACGGAAGGTGCCAATTTCCGGGCCATCTCTGCTGCCTCTCGCCTGGAGAAGGAGAAGATGATGAGGGGCATCTGCTTGCTGGACCTTCATGCGCCGTTATTCTTGCCCCCGTCTTGCCCCTCATGCGCCAACACTGACAATGCCTGCACACGTTTCTGCGTGGCTCATTCATGGCCGAGGCACCTGCAAGCCTCAGTCTCCCAGTACCGCACTGCAGCACACCGATCCAATTCGAACTACGCAACAAGCGCAACAGCTCAAGCACATCACGCATGCATGCAAGCGACGTGCAGGATGGAGACGAGGTCCTGGCCACGGTCGAGATCTCGCGGTGGCTTCTCGGGAGGCTTCGGCAAGTGCATCACAGCATCCTTGCGAGAAGCGAGAACGAGAACACTACGAGAACGAGAGCAGCAGCAACCGAACATGATCGAACATGCACGGCTCCATGAGTTGCTGCGCAAAGTTTAAGCCTGGCATCCTGGTAGCGAAGTTTCCTGAACTTGCCCTTTCTATCCGAGATGATCTCCATGGTCTCGGCGGGCGGGCACGCAACGACTCCATGCACCAGGGGCACTGGCCTCCACCGGGTGAAGACGGCGTGGCACGGGGCATGCCGTGTTTGCGCCATCCAACCCACCAGGTCAACAAAGTTCGGTATCGTTGCAGAAAGGCAAACGAGAGGAATGTGACGCTCCAGCAACACGATGGCCTCTTCCCAAGTCGTGCCACGCTCGTCGTCTGCTATGTAGTGGACTTCGTCGAAGATGGCATACGACAGCTTGCGCATTAGCTCTCGGCGATCCTGGGGCCCATCGCTGCCCGCATCTTGCAAGTCGTCGGAGAAGTGGTCGCTGTGCAGAATGCTGACTAGCACTTCGGTTGTCATCACAACTACTTGTGCGCGCTCCATGTTGCCCGCTTGGGCATCGCCCGTAAGTAGCGCGACCTTCTCCGCCCCAAACTCGCCGACAAAATCCCGGAACTTCTCATTCGACAAGGCTTTGACGGGAGCTGTGTAAACACAGCGGCCTCCAGTGGCGATGCATTTCTTGATGACGTTGCGGGCGACCGCCGTCTTCCCTGCTGAAGTGGGGGCAGCAACAAGGACGCTTTCCGAATTCTCGGTGCAAGCGAAAGAAGCGCGCTGAAACCAGTCCCACTCGATGCCTTCTTCGGGACCTGCACACACACACACACACAAACGCGCACAAATCGCGACATTACTACTTGACTTGTTGGCCACTCAAGGCACAGTGGTTCGACTCAACCCCTGTTTCAGCATCTAGCTACTCAGAACCATCCCCGAAACCATTCGCGCAAGCATGGTTGTAGAAAGTCCCCCAAACCCTCTTGCTTCGTGCCGGCTTTCTCGGGAGGGTAGTACCACGCCTGCGACTTCGTCCAACCTTGGCAGCGTGGACCGCTTCGACTCGGCAGGCCGAACGCAGATGTGCAGCTCGCGGGTGGGCACCCGCTCTTCGACGACATCCACGCAAAGCGCTGACGACAGATCGGCCGTCAAGTGCTCCGCCCAGGATGCCATGGCAAACAGCACTTCGCCGTCGGTCTTGTGGTCATTAAGTTTTGGTGCTGCTGGACGTTGGGGCTTTAGGGTTTGAAGTCAGAAGGAGGAGTGTGGGTATGTGTGTGGATTTCGACTCTCGCACACTGCACCAGGCAGGCACGTCTGGGGATTTAGGGGAGTCTGGGTAGGGGTTGAATGAGGTATGGAGCATGGAGTGTCAGCCTGAAGAGATGTTGCAGTCGACAGAAGCTTCCCATTGCACTACTGCGATAACCGCCTTCCGACCACACTGAGTTCTCATGTGGGAGGAGGTACAGGGGAGCACCAGCTCAGTCGGCGATCGTTCGGCGATCGTTGGGTGGGGTGTACAGATGTTGACCCGGCTCTTGCAGCAGCATTCTTCATTGCTACATTTCGCTCGGTTGCCATCTAGCGATGTCGAAGACTGAAGGCTGAAAATGGCTGAAAACTGGGGCTCATCCCTTTTCTGCTGGAAGTAGCCGTTAGTTGGCCTGGCCGGCCCCTTTGGGTCTGGATAGCAGCCACTTCTGTGCCGCTTCGGCTGTCAGTGACGTGCCGCACCGACGCTCGCAGTCATACCAACCACAGCCCTGGCACACCCACGAAAAGAATCATAAAGGGTGTTAGGGCAGCACTCCCGCTGTACAGCATGCTTTCGTGGCTCAGCACTTAAATTGAGGAGAACAGTGTGGCGAGAAGAGGACGCGAGAACCTCACAGCTCCAGCTTGGCCAGCAGGGCGCCGTCCACCACATCTGCATCTTTGGCAACACAGAGCTCAGCGACGGTGCAGTCTGCAGGCGCTCGCACGATAACCTCCATCTTCATGGCCACGACCGTGAAGAGGACATCGTCCTTCTTCACCTTGCTTCCCTCTTCGACCGCGATGGCAGCGATGACGCCAGGAAGAGGGCAGGCCACGTGGGAGTTGTTGGATAGGTTGGCCATAGGACCCGAATACGATGTTGTCCCAGGAGGAGGGTCCTTGATGGAGACTTCATAGGTGACTCCATCCACCAGCCACTCGCATGTTCTCATGTTTTCGTGCTCTCGCGGGCCCACACGAAGAAGCTTGATGCTCACCTTTGTCTTCGGCAGGGCAGCATTGGCCTGGGACTCGGCTTCCACAACACTGGGCCCTGGCACTTCAAACTCAATCACCTCATTCACAGAAAGGCCGTAGAAGAACGCTGGGGTTGGCAAGCACGTGGCCAGCGGCCCCACTTTGCCGAGGTGCTTCATGTAATCCCGGAACACGCCTGGGTACATCAAGAAAGCATTCATGTCCTCGCTGCTAGGCTCGACGCCGAACTCGGTCTTCATGTCTGCCCTCACCTTCGCAAAGTCCTCCGCTGCCAAGGTGTCACCTGGCCTGCCTTCCAACGGCTTCAGTTGACGGCCTGTCAGGATCGCATCCTGCATTCGCTTCGGAAAGCCAAAGTGTGGCGTGCCCATCTCGCCTTGGGTCGTTGGGTCGTTCTAGCCTAGCATACCTCAGGAAACTATGTCCTCAAGCTTCGTAGATTTGGCCCGCTTTCCGAGCAGCGCAAGAAACATCAAAATGATTCTCTGGATGCCCGGTCGCCTCGGGCTAACTCAATGGCACTCTGCGGCCACTGAAGCGCCTGCATCTTCGGCAAATTATCGAAGTCCTGGGCTCTCAACATCCACAAAACTGCAAAGGAGTTAAGGCAGTTAAGGGGTTCGGTGGCAGATGCCCAAGCTCTGGTTTCACCAGTAGATTTCTCGATCTTGCGTGGGGATCCGAAAGCAAAGCTGACAAAGAAACACCTCACAACCTTGAAACTTCAGACAAAAAATCCAGTGTCCTTGAATTAAAACTCATTACTTGCAGGTATTCTTGAGCAGATACAAATTGTTGAATAAGTCCGGGATACCTTGTCTCCCAAACGCTTAGGATGCTTGAATAAACACGACAAAAACAAAAGGCACTGAATAAACACGACAAAAACAAAAGGCACTGATGTCCAAATCCAACAGGGAACTTGAACCAAAAACAAATTCGAAGCATCTTGGCTGTATCTAGGCGTCGGAAACTTGAATGCCCTGCTTCAGCAGAAAAAGCGCGATGTCCCCGACCGACTTGGAGGAAGGTGTAACCTTCACTATATCGCCGCACCACTTGTTGACATCAGCGTACATTTGGAGGACCTGGTCCCAATTTTCGGCATTTCCGAGCTCGCGGCACTGAGCATACATATTCGAATACTGGCCACCGGGCACCTGAACAGAGCTTGGGGCAGGGGATGTGATCCAACCCTCTTTCTCAAAACATGGACCACCTAATCCAGGAACAGCCCAGGAAAAGCATCCCTTTGCTAGACAAGTAGAAGCGGGCAACAGTGTAAGGGCTGGTGTCTCTCAATACCTACGCCTGACACCCCCCTTCGACCCGTGGCCACCTGGTGCTCGAAAACGCGAGCGGTCATCGCCTTCATGCCACTCTCGAAGGGGCTGTACATGTCACGCACTTTTGCCCAATAGGAGTCCAGACCTTCAAGCATCCTGTGGTCAATCTTGGGATCGCGAGGTCTTCCTTCCATCGTCGCAAGGAAAGCATTCAGCGATGGCTGTGATGTGCCATCAGCGATGGCCGCAAAGCACCCATCCACGATGTCGCAGCCGGCATCTGCCATGGCATGCAAGGTGGCAAGCTGCGCGGAGGAGGTGTTGTGCGTATGGAAGTGGATGGGTAGATCGGTCACTGAGCGGATGACCTGAATCAGTGGCGCGGCATGAGCCGGTTTCAGCAAGCCTGCCATGTCCTTGATGGCAATCATATGTGCGCCCGCATCAACACACTTCTTGCAGAGCTCCTCGTAATAGCCAAGCGTGTAGATCTTCTCCTTTGGGCTCAAGAAATCTCCGGTGAAGCACATGGCAACCTCTGCCACCTTCTTCATCTTCCGCACGGCGTCGATCGACAGCTTCATCTGGTCAACGTCGTTGAAACAATCGAAGATCCGGAACACGTCCATGCCAGAAGTGGCAGCCTGGCGCACGAACTCCTCGACCACGTTGTCCTAAGCCGATCTTAAGGGCTTTCGAAAAAAGAAAGAAGAAAAACCTGGCACCATGAGGTCAGTCGATCAACCTGGCTTCTGTCCGCAACGTCACAACCTTGCGGCCTGTCTTTTTTGAAGTATTTCAACATCCAACCACTCTGTGGATTTGTATGCCCCCTCCCACTCCCAAGGGCAGCTAAGATTCGGGGTAAGACTTGTAGCCCACTCCGTTGGCACCCCGAAGAAGCATCTGAGTGCAAATGTTGGGGATCGCTGCTCGAAGCTCCTCGAGGCGTCGAAAGGCGTCCTGGAGCAGACAGACGAGCAACTGACAAATTCACAGCCACAACCCAAGAATAAACATGACAAAAACAACATGCGCCCCTGCTCACTTCTATGCATTGAGAGAGTGAGCCGGGGCTTGCATGGCTTGCACCCAACAACAACCACGAGCGACACCACTGTATGGAAGCTTCCACGGAAAGACACGAACGTTCAGATGCCAGAGCTGCTGATGCGAGTGACCTATCACGACACACACACACACACACACACACACACACACACACACACACTTACAAAACCCTCCTACCCAAATCTAGCCCCACCAGTGCTATCAGACTGGCATCGAAGCTTGGGTCGCGGATCCTCGTTCAAGAACCTGTAGGCGACGTCGAAGGTAGCCCCACCCCAGCACTCCAAGGAGAAGTACTGGTGCAAATGCTTGCTCATCTCGGGTGCAGCCTTGAGCATGTCGGCAGTCCTCATTCGCGTGGCGAACAGAGACTGGTGTGCGTCGCGCATAGTGGTGTCCGTCAGCAAGACTCGCTCCTTCGAGGTTTCTCGCACCCACTTGGCCATGGCCTCCGGCCCTTCCTCATCCAGGATTTGCTTTGCATTGCGCTCAGGTTTCGCTGCAGGCTGCGGCTCCACCTTGAGGGAAGCAGTGCGTGGGCAATAGCTGGGACCCTTGCCTCTGAAGAAGGAGTTTGCTCCTTTCACGGTTGTCTCCGTTAGCAAGGTGAGGATCTTTGGGGGTGTCGGCATGGTTCGCCTCTTCTTGACTTTCTGATCTGCGGGAACTGATGTGAGCGCCGCCCGCTCTTCGGGGCTGTACTCTTGGAACTTCCCCATGCTGCGGAACTTCTGATAACGCTGCTCCACGAGGTTGTCTGAATCCATCCCTCCAAGTTCCTGCAAGCTTGCCTCTACAAATGCACTGATGTTGCCCATGGTTGCAGGGAAAGACTTGCAATCCTCGCCCTCCTTCTCCCAAATCACCTCGTCAATGACTCCCAGCTCCTTCAACTGCGGTGCATAGATGTTTTGCTTGGATGCCAGTGCCATGCAATCCTCCGGAAATTGCACCTTCTTGTGGTCATCATCCTTGTATCTACCTAAGATGGAAGCTGCACCTTCTGGCGTGATGGTGGAGTAGTAGGCTTGGGACAGCATGCCAATCTTGTTGCCCATGGCAATGGCCAGGGCACCCCCAGAGCCACCCTCACCGATGATGACGGTCACAATGGGCACCTTCAAACCCCCCATCTTGGTGAGATTCGCAGCAATCGCCTCGCTCTGCCCCGCCGTCTCTGCGGCGAACGATGGCCAAGCGCCGACCGTGTCTACGAGTGTTACAACAGGCAAGCCGAACCGCTCCGCCAGATCGAAGAACCTCAAGGCTGTCCTGTACCCGGCAGGCGCCGGCATCGCGTGGTTGTGCTTCTCTCGCTCCGTGGGCGTGTGGCCCTTGCAGCAACGCATGACCACGACGCTGCGCCCACTCCGCAAGGTTGCAATGCCGCAGCGCAGGCACTTGTCAAGACCGTTGGGGCCCTTGCCGTCACCGCCGAGGTCGATAAAGCGATCCGCGAGTTCATTCACAATGTCCGTGGAGTCGTAGCGGTCGAGGTTTCGTGCTTTCATGTAGTTTGGGTCACCAGCTGGGAACTGTGTAATTCGAGGCACGGCGATGGACGAAGTTGAGGGAGCATGCTTCGGCTTTGCTGCCAACACCGAGAGCACCTGCCAAGCGACAGACTCCATCTCTTCTGCGGGCACAACGATGTCAACTACACCATGATGCTTTCCGAACTCGTTGCTCTGAAACTGGTCGGGACATTCATGATCGTATGCATTCTGATGCATGCCAAACTGTGTGTTGAGGATCACTTGCGGCCCAGAAAAACCAAGGCGGCCCCTGGCTGCTCCGATGCGAACATCAGACTGCATCGCATAGGATGCGCTGACACCTCCATAGCAGGGATCGACCAGTAAAGTGATGAATGGCAGACCGGCCGAGCCAAGAGCGGCCACAGCACAAGAGATTTTGGCCATCTGCATCAAAGCCAGCGTGCCTTCGTGCATCCTGGCGCCACCACTCGCACACTTCACGACAACAGGCAGCCCATGCTGCTTGGCATATTCAAAGCCGCGTGTCAGTTTCTCGCCCTCGGCACAGCCTAAAGAGCCTCCGAAGAACGCAAAATCATGTTCCATCCACATCACTCGCAAGTCTGGCGCCTTCTGAGTGTCGCCGCCCGGCTTGAGAGTCTTGACCATGCATTTGATGGCTGACAAGTTCTTCACCCTGGCTTGGTTCTTCGCAAGCTCATCCGTATAGGCGACCCCTCCAAAGTCAAAGCGCAGGAAGTCGCTGGAGCCGACCTCTGGCCACAAAAGCTGGTCTTCCTCTGCCTTCGGCGGGTTGACGGCCATGCTTTCGCGGCCTACGGCCCTTGCAATTAAAATTCTATGCGCAGCACGAAGGCCTGGGTTCAGTGGCTGTCAACTTGTCAACTTTACCCCACAATTGGTTTACTTTGTCGGGCGGATACCGGCTTTCATATTCATGAGCCACAAAGCTGGCAGTCCACAGGAAAGAATCCATCCTATGATTGCACGACCGAAGAAAACGCAGCCCGTGGTTCCAAGGACCGGAAGTCTGCTCCAACGCCAAGGTTTTTCTGACTTCCTAGATACCTCATGAAACATGCAGAGCATGCGGGCAGCGACACACATCATACATGTTCACAACGCATTTTCCTTCGCCAGGAATCCAAAAATCTAGAATCTACACACTTGGTGTCTGGAATCAGAATAAGACCATGACTGTTCCAGGGTTCTGGTCCCCATCATCGTCTACCACTTGCTGGAAATCTGTTATGTGCAAGTCATCTATCTGGCCAGACTTCGCAGATCGAAGCAAGGAGTCTGAGTTTGTCCAAATGGTCTGCTTCAATCTTGAAACCCCTCCCTCGCTGTGGTGCCCTGCACCAGTGATGACCTCGACACGGGGCACGCCCAAGGTTTGAGCTGCCTTCAGGAGTTCCGTGGCTTTCCACCAAGCGAAGTTCAAGTCCAATCCATGCAGGTCGAACCAAGACAAATCTGATGGGCGGTCGTGCCTCTTCTGAACCCACCTGAAGATCTCCTCATTGTTGCTCCAATCCAGGTTCTTCAACTGGTCATACAGATCATCGACTTCTTTGTAGAGCCCGCTGCGTTCTTCCTGCAACTCATTCGCTTTGGCTTGCTTGGCTTTGCACTCGGCTTTCGCCCCACTTTCCCAATCCTTCTGAGCCTCATCACGAAGTTGATTCACTTGCTCCTTGAGGCTGTCACGGCGTGCCTTGGTCTCCTCAATCTTCGCCCTGAGGGCATCTTCTTTGGCAGCCAGGCGCGCGTAGAGTTCCTGGCGTTCTTGGGCCTCTGCTTCGTCGTCCTTCACCTGCTCTTGGTAGGCCACCTTCCGTTTATGGTAGGCTGCATCCTCAGCCTTGCGCTTTGCCACCCAAGCTGCGTGCTCCGCATCCCGTTCCTCCTGCCTTTTCTCCCGTTCGCGGTCCATCTGCGTCTTCACCTTCTGAAACATCTCGGGGTGTGCCTCCAGGTACTTTGCCATCTCCTCTTCACTGATGCGGCCATCGTCGTTCCCGTCAACCTCTGCCAGGCTGAGGACACAAACGCCTTTGGCTCGCCCTTTCGGGTCCAAGACGTAACTCACCGGTGCGGGGATGGTGCCATATCGGCCGACCTGTACCTTGAACTCATCCCAGGATTTCCCATCTCCAAGCAGGTGCGGGGCAAACCACACGTCTTTGCCCCCTGAATCGGGTGCGATGAATCCAAATGGTTGCCGTCCTGCAGGAGCTACGAGCTTCACAACCCTGCCGGAGTTGATGTCGCTTGCATCTTTCGTGCCATAGCCATGGGACATGGTTTCTGATCGGCTCAACTAGCAATCCAAAATGGCTTACGTTGGGCTTGTTTTTGGATGCCCTCCATTCCACAGTCGTGTTTGACGGACTACGGTACACATGTGAACGGCAGATTGCAGGTCACCAGGCGTCTCGATGACACAAACTTGCGCAATGAAGGAACTGCAACATGTATGCCGCTTGAAAAATACCTGCGCATCAAAGCAACATAAGACTGGGTCCCGACCCGTGACGTCATCAACAACGTCCGATTTGTCGCAGGAGCTTGCAGGGTATGACATGTATGTGATGCGAGCTGCGTATGTATCACCATGTGAACATGGCGCACGTGGGCTTCAAGTACTTTTACTTGCGGTGCTCGGCCACCCGCAGTACGGCTCTGTCCAGGGCCACTGCGCATGGCTGCGGGTGCCCCGATCGCGTGAGCGGGGAAACCAGCGTGGCGTCGCAGCACTGCGCTCCCCCGCTGTGGCTGGCGGCATTCCGGGGGCGCGGCGCAGGGCAGCTGTAATCACTGCAAAGCGCGTCCCGAAGCCCGGTTTTCCGCCAGGCTTGCTCAGCCGCGCTCGTGAAATGGCCGGCGCGTGCAAGGGCACAAAGAGCCAAGAGCAACGCTGGCCGGGCTGGACGCTCGGCGGACGGGCATCTTGCCAAGGCAGAGCCACATCTCGGTGCTGAGAGTGCGGAGGCGTGAAGCTCTGGCGCCTGTTCTCCCGCACGGAACGATAACGATCCAATGTTGGGACTGGCTGACGTATGCTGACGTGGGGTAGCCACGGGTGACGCGTCTGGCGTGTCCTCGTCCAGCGTGTCGGAGATCGTCCTGGCAGGCGAGGCTGGCCCGTCCGGCAGCAGCCTCATTTGGGCAAGCGCTTGGGGCGCGGGCCTACACATCGTCCACGGTGCGGGTCATGCCCCTCGCCTGTGTGCCTGGAACACGTCGGTGCACGCTTGTGGTTGCGCGCCGCCCGATTCGTGAGGAGTTATGCCGCAAAGCCTGGCGGGCGTCCATCAGTTTGGGTTGGCGGTCAAGAAACCCCTTTTGGCAGCGCGTCGCGTTGTTGCCCTTGGCGTTCCTCTTTTTTTCTTGCCCTTTCCCGCAGGCGGATCAATATGTACAAGGCCAGTCCCCGTCGCGACCCCGTTTCGCCGCCGCAGTCTCATGGGCGTGCAATCGCACTCGTCCGTCGTCCCGCATCGGCTGCAGCTTTGCCGGGGACTCGATCGGCCCCCCGCGCGTGCAGAAGGGCTCACGGAGGTCGTGTCGACCGCCACCTGGGCCCCTTGCCACAGCGGCAACCCATTGGCGAGGACCTCTATACGTGGCGGGAGTCCGCCAGCGGACTGCGGGAGTCTCACGCAGGAGCACCCGAAATTGCGCGCTGGGAATAACGACGCCGTCATGGGTGGGCATGGGTGGGCGCGACAGTGAGGGATAGTGAGGGCTCGCGCGGAGTGAGGCCCGGACTGCGAGAGCAGCAGAGCGCGAGATGCAGTCAGCAAAATGCGTCTCGCACGCGCGCGCATCACACGTCCGCGTCGCCCCGCGCCAACATGCGCCAACTACCTCCTCCGCGCCTCCTGGTGCGACACCTTGCCGGTCATCCACGCACGGGCGCCCACAGTCGCCGGCCGCCTACTGCATGCCTTGCAGGGTGACGTGCCCCTGCCGTGCGCTGCGGCTGCGGCACGCGAGCACCTTCTTGCCCAGGGCTACCACGCCCTCGCGTGGGAAACCCTCGCCCACCCCCACACGGTCCCCCCCTGCCCGTGGCTCATTTGAGGGGATGGCAGCGCCACCTTGTTCCCCACCCTCCGCCTGCCACCTCGTGGAACGTGCCTGGCGCGGGCGGGGCCGGATTGACCGGCGCATCGCCAACGACGCCTGGCGGCCGGTTCAGATCCGGTGGCTGCGGGGGGAGAGGCCCGTTCGGTGCGTCGGGTACACTGTGCACGGGCGGGTGAGGCTGGCGATGGAAGAGGTTTTGTTTTTTCCTCGCACCTTTTTACCAACGTCCAACGCGGTCCCTGTGCTCTAGCCCCAGCCGGGCGACATCCTACGGGCAACAGGCAGCGGGCGGTCATGCCAGGCGGCTGCCGTGTAGTGGCTGCGCAGTTGAGTCAGTGAGGATGTCGCTCAGGGGCGGCAGCTCCCCATCGACATTGGCCGTGCCTGTGACAGGCAAAGAGAGCAGGCTGGCAGCGAAGGAGCGCGCGGCAGCGAAGGACAGGAGGGCCGACCAACGGAGCGTGTAGGCAGAGATGGCATCGGCTCGTGAAGGGGGCGGTGCTGACCGCGCCTTGCACCTTGCGAGCAGGCGGACAAAGGTTGCGGCCTCAGTGCTCCAGCACCCACCAAGCTCGAGCGCGACGACGGTCAGCCGGCAGCGGCCGGACCCGCACAATTCAGGGTATGTGCGCTCCTTGGCACGTCGGGCTGTCAAAAGCGCAGCGCCAGCTGTTTTTGTTCCCTCGGATCTTTTTTTTTTCCGGCTTGCCGCAGGCACCGCAGCGTCGTCAGCGCAGCGGCAGTCGGCTCGGGCCCGGCGCGTCAGCGAGGTGTAGGAGCTGGTCCAGGTCGGGCCCCACTCGCTGGCTGGTGGGCCGCAGGCCAGGAGCAGCCCAAGGCCGTGCTGGCGACGGCCTGCTGGACCGACGTCGCACGGTCCATCCCAAGTGCGGAGTGCGCTGGACGGCAGCGCGGCCGCTTTGGCCAGGGCTTGCGACGGTCCTGCGCTCCGACATTTTTCCCTCCCGCCCCGCCGAAGCTGCGAGGCCGTATTAGCCAACCCGCTTCCAAAGATTCAGTCGAAGTGATCATGTACGCGTCCTGCACATAATTCCACGCCCAGTCTTGTGCTGGACAGACACGACAGCAGTAAAGAACACCTAGCTTCCACGCCAGTCACAGCATCCCCAGCACGCGTCAAACTGCTCAGCAGCAGAAGCACCATCTCGGCCACGCCTAGCCTCCGCAGCACCAAAGCATCATCAGCTCCGACTGGAGCACCATCCAGCTGGGCCGCGCCAGTCTCCGCACCCCCAGCTTGCGACAACGTGCTCCGCAGTCAGCTCTCACCGGCAGTGCCACCGGTTTGGCCACGCCAGTCTCAGCACCCCTAGCATGCGTCGGCTTGCCCAGTAGTAGCAGCACCAGCTGGCCATGCGCAGCCACCGCAGCACTAAAGCACCAGCTGCTCCCGACGGAGCACCATCCAGCTCAGCCGCGCCAGTCTCAGCACCCCCAGCTCGCATCAGCTTGCTCTGTAGTAGCACCCCCAGCCTGGCCATGCGCATCAGCTTGCGTCCACCAGCTCGGCCGCGGCAGTCGCAGCATCAGCACTCGCAGCTTGCGTCGCCGCACCATGTCTGCACCATCAGCTTGTGAGCGCGCCACCAGCTTGCGGCTACACATCCTAGCACCACAGGCTGGCTGGTCCTGGCCGGTCTGAGCGCCAACGGCTTGAGTACCACCATGGCACACGGGGCGTTTCATCTGCTGCTAGGGGAGCCATATAGGCTAGGTATTGCACCGAAGAAAGAGGGGATACACCCTCCAGCAGCAAGGTTCCCCCAGCTATGCAGAAGCATCCAGGAGCGAACCGCCTTTCAACATCGAGCACGGAGGGGATAACCCTCCAGCTGTACAAGGGGTCCCCCCAGCTATGCAGAAGCATCCAGGAGCGAACCGAGGTGAACATGTGTGTGTGCATGTGTGCGTGTTTTAATTTTTGTTTTTTTTTTTTTAAACTGCTCCTCTCTCGAGCACGGGGTGGCCAGCCTATGGCTTTTTTTTTTCTGCTCCTCTCTCGAGCACGGGGTGGCCAGCCTATGGCTCTTTTTTTTTTTTTGTTGCTCCATGCGGGGCGGTGGTGTGGCCAGCCACTGCTGCGGAACGACCTGACCTTCCGAGCCCACTTCCTGGGCGACCCGCCACAATCTTGGGCACGCCAGTGCGTGGTCGCCGAAGCGGTCCACCGCGCCAGGGCAGCCATGGACCAGCCCGCAGGTGTTACTGTGCAGAGGCAGAGGTTGACGCAAGCTGCGTCTCAAAGCGATCTGCATCGCCATCGGCGGGAGCGTGGTGGCCGACTTTGGGGGGATCGCAGCGAGCCATGCTCCTGTCTGCGGTCCTGCCTGGGGTCGCAAGAGTGCCTGGGAACTGGGTGGCACGTCTGGCAGCAACTTGCGCTCGCGGAAGTGCGCTGACAAAAACCTGCTCCGATGCATGCAGGAGCATTGAGCACACCGAGCACTCAGGAGATTGCAAACACACAAGTGGAAACGAGTGCTGCAGCCATAGCCATCTTGCGGACTATGATGCGGGAAGAGTTATCCGAAGTTGAACATTGTATTTCATCCCGGTTCGAGGCATTCAGTACAAGTTTGCATGAAGAGTTGGCTGCGGAAAAACAAGCGCGAACAGCCCTCGAAGAACGCGTCGCTCGTTGCCCGTGAGGTGTTATCAAATCCGTAGTGGGGTTTGGAAACAAGTCGATGGAGGAGGCGGAAGCTGTTGCGCGCGAAGTTCTCCAACACGAACGCGGACTTTGCGATGTTACTGTCACGGACACCGAGCCTGCTTTAGCACTTGCGCGCTTCGAATCGCGCCATGGCAATGAAGTTCATCCGTTTACCGCGGAAGCACCCGCGATTGCAAGCCGCTAAATGATGGGCCGCTGGGAATTGTTCCCGTGAAGATCGCCGTCGATTGAAGGTCGTTAGCAAATTGAAGAAATACCTCAATGAACTAGGCAGCTACACCCCAAAAAAACGTGGTTGCGAGCTACAAACTTGGCAAAGTGGTGCTTCGAGAGAACGCGAATGGCGACGATTGCTTAGAAGCATGGTTGGACCGCCTTCGGGACTTGATTGCTCGTTACCCTGGCATGAGGTACTGCACGAATGGAATCAATATGTCCAACAGATGACTCAAACGTTAAACTTGCAAAGCTGGTCTTGCAAATGCACCCATGGCTATTGGAATTCCGCACATCATGTGGCAAAGTTGCCAGCAAATAGGTGGGTCACGTGTGCGATGAGTTGGTCGCCAAATGGAGTGCGCGTTTCAATGGAGATACCTGTTGGACTGAGTACGTGATAAGATTTATCGACGTCGCGTTACTTTAGAAGATTTTTGCACCAATTGGATCCAGTTGGTCAATCTACTATCACTTTCTCATCCTAGGTATGCATATGATGCCCCATGATGCCCCTAAACAACACTTCCAAGAAGAGAAATAGATGACATGGCAGAAACCATCGATTGGTTGCCAATTGTAAAAATCCCGGACATACAAATCCCAAATGCAAGAATTTTATTTCCCTCGGCCGACTGCAACGGCCAGAGCAACGTTGATCGACCTACAACCACCGCGGGCGGTCCCGGTTCAGGCGCAGGGGCAAGCGGCTAGGCCCTTCATTGGTGGCGAGGTCGAGCACGCGGTCCAGTGCAGGGCCGTCGCTCGGCCCAGGCAGTGGCGCAGCCGGCCACGCTCGGCCCAAGGCTGTGCTCGCCACGGCGAGCTGGACCGCAACGGAAAAGGCTCCCCACCAGCGTCTTGCCCAGCCGGAGGATGCCGCAGCGCGCACGGCTGGCGGCGCACGTAGAGCGCGGAATAGCGCGGAGCCGGACGAGGTCGCGAACAAAGTGCTGCGCAGCAGTGCTCCAGCGGCTTCCTATCTCGGAGCCTAGGACCACTAGCTTCTGCGGGCCGCCCCTCGCGAGTTCGGGGTACGTGCAGGAATTATTAAAATGTAAACTTCCGCAGTCAGATGGAACTCAAACATTATGTCCGAGTCAAATGGGCAAAGTTTCGGAGAGACTTGTCTTCGGACGACCATGTATTATGGTCAAAAAATGAAGCATAATACATGACGCAACAGGATCACCATACACGGCGACAACAATATACGATGCAAGGATGACAACAACGTGTCAAAATGAAGGACAAGGTGTCTGAAGTTCCTACAGCTCAGGTCACATCTCACACGCGGCAGCTGCGTGGACCACACGGAAACACCATCACATTTTTTCAAACAAACATGTGTCCATCGCGTTGAGATTGAACTTGTTCGATACAGTATTGACTCCAACCGTTGTTTGTTTGGAACACTGGATGCATTGCAACGACGAATGCTTCGCCCTGCGGCTGGTTGGGTGCGAGTTGCAAACGAACATTGGCACGGCACTATGAGTCGGAAAAACACATATCCTGGTCTCGCCAGCTAGCACGACGTCAATACAACGTCGTTTACCAATTGTTGCGAGTTTCCCATGTTGTCAAAGGGTTTCCAGAAAGTAACTGGCAAGCAAATTTTGCTCTACAACTGCATCGTCGACCCGGTCGCCCGCTAGCAAAGGGAGAATGAGCGTCTCCGCAGTTTTGAAGCCTGTAGTTTTCCAGCGGTGAATATTGCTGGAACAGCTACTTGGCCGCAGTACGTACAACGCTTTGCGACTGTATAGACCGAATCGGGCCAACACTCAAGCACGCCCCCATCCCCCAAGAAGGACCGTGGTCCATGAGCTGCAGGAACAAGCTGGCACTTTTAATGTGCGAAAAGCGGACTGTGTCGGCGTATTGACTGCCTGGCATGGACCGCCGCCGCCTTCTGCGGGATCGGGCGGGCCGGCACCGGCCTTCGTCCAGCAGTGACAACGTCCCGCCCCTCGTCGGTGACCCCGGGGCGCAACGGGCCAGGCGCAGCCCAAGGCCGTGCTGGCGACGGCCTGAGTTGTTGCGGACTTTCCGTTGGCTGTGTGGTGAACATGTTGCGTTGCCGATCATTGCCGTGTGAGCATGCACGGTGAGGGTGAGCGCCCTGAGAACATCATCACAGCGCTGCGATTCACAGGGTGCTGCTTGGGTGGCTGTGCATGCACTGCAACGCCACCGTCGACCAGAACCAATCTTTGCTGCAACATGTGCCGAAACTGTTTGTCTGCCCTAAGTTTAGCCGCGATGGGTTTAAGTTTGTTGCCGGGGATCTCCCGCATAGTGCGTCCTTGCCCTGGGGAGCGCGTTCCACGCCCAGAGCTGCGGCAACCAGCAACGGCCGTTGGTGCTCCGACCCCTCTGCCGAGGCAGCGTGGTGCAACCACGGGCCCCAACGCCCTTGCCACGCACCAACAGCTGGCAATTTATTCGTGCCACTGTTACATGTAGCTGTTGCTCGTCTCCACCCCCGTCGCGCTGGCAGCGTGGCCTCCCCCACGCTCACTATGCATTGCTGTGAGGCCGTGCCTTCGGCACCCTGTGCCAAGCATCACCCGTTGCACCTGCCGCGTTGGTACATGCACGGCATACCGTTAACAGCTCACTGCCCAAGAAGGACGGGCATTGCCTGTGCCAGAAGCCCAACTGTTGCCAACACTTGCCGCCGAGGCAACGCCCTCCCCGACAAAACTTTGGTGCATCTGCTTGGGCTTGGCGAATGTCACGTTGGCGACGGGTACATCCCAGCAACAGATCCGGAGGCATGTTTCATGGGGGAAGCAGCGTCAGCACTCCTGCAAGATGTCGCGGCGTTGCATCATGAGGGTGCCGGCCCACCTGCCCGTCCCCCAGCTCCAGCGCCCGGTGGCCCACATGCTAACTAACACTGCCCCGGAACTACCTGACGTACCGGACGGCTCTCCCAGCTCTAGCGTTGAGCATGATTTGCCCAGCCGTGAGCACGAACCCATTCCGACACCCGGTTGAGCTACCGGGCTTCCTTGGCGAACCTTGACCCCTGTCCTAGCTGAGGACGTCCTAGCGTGGCCGTGCGGATGCCGTCGCGGCCCGCTCCCCGATGGCCGGACTTGCCCCTCTCCGTGCTGCCGGCCGACGACGCTGAGCAGGTCTGCTTGCGCTTCTGACTCCCGAGCTCGCTGTCGACTCGCCACTGGCGGACGGCCAGAATGCGGGGACGGCGGCTGGGGAGCCGCCGCGAGAAAGCGGCGGGAGACCTACCCCGAGCTCGCGAAAGCGTGGCGCTGCAAGCTGGTCGTGATCCCGATGACGAGTGTGATGGAGTGGATCCGCCGTTGGGCGACCTCCTGGCGGATGCAAGGGGCACTGAGAACGTGCCACAAAGTCGCCTGCAAGTCGCAAGCGCGCTGCCAGATGCTGATTTGGTACTTTGGGTGATAGCAGTTTTTGGTTGCAAGTGTTGGTAGACACATGCAATGTGCGAGCAGCTGACCGTCCATGCATTCAATTTGTTCTCAATCTCGGAGTTTCTTTCACAATCCTTTGGCTTGACACATGTGCGGTAATTGCAAAGACCGGCATCGTGCGCGATGTGCAAATTCATAATTATTGATTACCAGTGTTCGTTAAAGCTTCTAGCTGTCAACTTTGGGTACGCGACACGCTTGCGCCGCTGGGCTATGCGCAACGAGGCTCCATCATGCATCGCTGCGCAGGCTTGGGGGAAGGCCCGTGCGTCAGTGGCGAAACGAGTGTCGCATCGCAACAGGGCTCCGCCGAGCAGCACCGCGCCGTAAATCACGAGATCCAAGAACACAGGGGCTGCGATTTGCAAGATGGCATACCAAACTTGCTTGATCTAAGGTTGGGTAATGATCTATATGCACACAACAGAAACTTAAGATGCTGACTGAAGAGATGTATGCTACTGAAGGGACTCCTCGCATCCCCAACAGATCCGAAGTTGGCACAACGTCGCGTTATGAAGACATGTTTGAAGATACGGTTCGCAGATGTTAGCAGCTTCGACCCGTCTAGAGCTGCCAGGGCCAAGGTCGGGCCGCCCTTCCGGCTACGGTACGTCTGGATCGATCACAGCGTCTGCACGTGCTATGCGCGGGTATGGCCATGAGCGCCACACAACTCAATCTGCTACGCATGCGCTCTTGCATAGATACGGAATGAGTTAGGTACGTGGATGGGGCAGAGAGGCGACTGTGACGGGGTTCCATCTGCATGGTGTGGTGGAGCTGCATACGGGCGCTGTTTCTAGTACCGGCCAGCTCCGGCTGTGCAGGAGGGTTTGCTTACCCTTGAGGTGCCCACTTGTCCCAAGAACTCGACAGACCATGACAACTCAAAGAGAGCTACAGCAGCCGCAGCGCCAGGACACAAACGACCTAGGGGTCCCATCATGAAGATTTAGCGTGGGGCCCAAAGCCGTGAGACGGTTGATGGAAAGTTCCTGCGGGCCCGTAAGTCAAAGGTTGCAATCATCTGCTTCCTGCTGCAAGCATCTGTTGCAGCTTCATTGCTTTCAATACTTGATGATGCGTGGCACGGCATCTGGCGACCCCGGCGCTGTCTTGGGCGAAGTGCTGGTTCGGCTGCATCATGCAAAGTTACAGTTTACCACGTACACATTACATTTTTGAGATATTGCTTCATCGCTTTTAGAATCATCTTCGTCGTCGCCTTAGACACAGCCCTTGCAAAAAAAAAACGAAAAAGCCCTTTCGACTTGTTCAGGTTCCGGCTATGTTTAAGCTTACTGATTGTGGCACTGACATGCGCTCGGCCCACGGCTTCTTTACGATGAACATCAAACATCCACTGTAACATCATGCTGTACTCATATGAAATATTCATCTGCACAGCTGAGATGCCACAACATTACGAGACAAAACTCGCAGAGTTATAGCGGGTGGAACGGCTCGTGCTGGTGCTCGCAGTGCTCTTGACAACCTTCTTGCGACCCTCTTCCCGCTTCTGCTGCTCAGTCGTGGCCAGCTCCTCCTGCAGAAACACCGGATGACATGTCATTCAAAACCATTCTACTTCCTTATGTTTTGAGCGGCAACTTGGGCTGTCGTCAAAATCACCATCTCAAAGTTGTTTGCGCAGAGCCGGTCGGAAATGCTCTTCGCGAGCTGCAGTCGTATATGTCAGCCTAGCAAGAGCGAAAGTGCTGGCTCTGGGGACTTCTTGATCAACATCTAGGACATGCCAAGAGCGACCTCAGAGCAAACAAGCAATAGGCCGAATCGCCGCAGTTACAACGATAGCCTGCGGCGCACTTGAGTAGCGCCAAGCGGTGCCCAAGCTGCTCCATGGTGATCAGCCAGTGGGGTCAGCGTTGGGTTCCGTCGCAAGGCCACACTGTAAGAATCCTGCAGCTGGCAGTGCCAACATGTCGATGCCACGTATTGAGAGCCAGACTGCTCCATGGTGGTCAGCCAGTGGAGTTAGCGTGGGGTTCCTCCACTGAGCCACACTGTAGGAATCGCAGAGCCACACTGCGAAGAAGCCTGCAACTGACAGTGCCAGCATGTCAGAAGCCACGTATTAAAAGCGCTCACCAGTACCAAAGACTTAGCAAGCAAACCACATTACATCAGGAATCACCAAAGCGACCCAGCCGACGCCAGACTTGGCATTCACGCGCAATCGCTTCCCATGGTGGTTAGCGACTGGAACAGTCCATGAGTATTCCGTACAGTTTCACCCATCTCACACGTGTTACTCAACTTTGACGAAATACTTCGAGAGGGCTCAGGGCACTGTGGGATCCCGATGGCAATACATTTTGAACCAAGGCCTGTTGAGTTGTTGCTTGGTAGGGTGCTTTGCGCGCGCAAGGCCTTTGAGGCGGCCCAGTGCGCCGTGGCAGCACACCACTCAGGACGGGCGCGATTGGGCCGGCGCACGGTCGGTGACGCAATCAGCTTGTTCCAATATGGGCATCTGCCAGAGCCGGGAGCCGAAAGGGGATGCATACATCCACTTCTCGCAAGGCCGCCAAGTTCGTCGAGTGTAGCTCCGAAAAACGCTAATTTTGCACTTGAGTTCCACCTCTTCAGCCTCAGGGCAGGCAGAGGCAAGAGCTAATGGCGAGGCTTCGTCAGCCTCGAGGAGCTGCTGTGTACAACCAGCAGAGCCTCTTCATGTGCCCCCACGGAGGGCTCCGTGACATATGGCACTGAGAGAAGCCCTGCTAACGGGAGGACCCTACGGAAGGAAACAACAACACGCGACGTGACATCCGGCCACTCTAGGTTGTAAATCGACCAGAATTGCTCAAAGCTTGGTTGGCCACAGAGGCACAGAGAGCCTGCCGTATGACATCCAGGAAATGCACGGGAGGTGCGTTTGGCTGAAACGCGCAATCTTGGCGCTGCCCCAGCGCACTGGGCAGGCTTGTAGTTACGCCTGCCTCCGATTTCGGCGTCGGCGCCGGGGAGTTACCTGATTCCCTTGCATGCAATTCAGCACGTGGCTTCACACAAGGCGGCCTCGAAGCCTCTCTTGCTTTCCCGGGCTCCGCCGAGTCGGCTCGCTTGGCGCGTGACCTGGGGCTGGGGGAACACGCACTCCCGGCGGGGGGACTGGGAGGTGCGGTTCGTGATCTGCGAGGTTGTACGTGTCCGCGTTCGAAGGGCAGGGCTGTACTGCTGCGCTGGCTGCCGGAAGCGGGGCCCTGATGTCCGTGCATCACGGCCTGGATTGCCACCCTGGGGTGAGACGATGTCAGCAACCCTTTGGAATATGTTGATCCCAACTCTGCGATCCTGGGGTAAGACGATGTCAGCCACCCTTTGTTCCCGAAAGGCCTGTTTGTGGGGGGCTTTAGCGACGCCAGGGCCGTCTATGCTCCAAAAGCTGGCTTGTGTGCGCAGATACTGAGGGGGCACTCAAACGTGTCCTACGCTTCTTGTGTCTTTCTGGGGTCGGATTTGGCTTCACTTGAGGCACATTCTCCAAACCCCCAGCAAAGGGCCTACCTTGTCCCAAATCAATAAGCGTTGTCGAAAATCCCCTTTCCCCAATGGCAATGTTGCAACACGTTGGTCATGTCAGACCGACCTTCGGCATCCAACATTGCCATTGGGGGCTCGGGGGCACATGCAAGGGCTTGTGACCGGAGACAAGCATCCTTTTCCAGGCTCTTCAGGTTCCAAGTCCTTGCAATTTCAAGGTAGCTCTCAAGGTCGGGCTGCGCTGCTTACTGCGTTCTGCAGACCCTGCATGTAACACTGCAGCAACCTGCAGACCCTGCAGACCTGCAGCAAGCATGCGGAATCTGCAGCAAGCCTGCAGGCCCTGCAGCAGCCTGATGCAGCAAGCTTGCAGACCCCTGCAGCAAGCCAGGGTCTGTAGGCTGTCAGCAAGCCTGCAGACCCTACAGCAGCCTGCAGGCCAGCAGCGCCTGCGGGCAACCTGCAGACCCTGCCGCACGCCGCCCCTACAGACCCTACAGCAAGCCTGCAAAACCTGCTGCCTGCCTCTCCCCCAGCCTGCACGGCTTCCAGTCTTCAATTACTTGGGCATTTTCCTGCATTCACACAGAGTCCATTTCCCCTTGTAAACACAAAGGCTTGAAGGCCCCAGAGTCTGCAGGAAGCTTGAAAGCCCCTGACCTGTAGAACTGCAAATTAAAAACCAGGTGTCACATGCTCCGCGCTGTAGGAAAAGCTTGATTTTTCCGCCAGTCTAATTTCATGAAAACTAGTACTACACGCTCCGCGCTGTGGGAAAAGCTGGATTTCGCCTCGGGTGTAATTTCATCAAAACTGGTACTACACGCTCCGCGCTGGGGAAAAACCACAGTGTACTACATGAATGCATAGTTTTTTCAAAACTTTAAGGTTCATGTAATGCTTCTACTTGGAATCAAGGTACTGCACGC